CATGCAGATTACCTATACATCAATCCCTAAGGGATCCTCGGCAAGAGCCAGAGGTACATCTGCACTCGCAAGTGCCTCATCGTCGTCAGTGCCCAAGGCAATGCCACCAGTGCCTAACAAGGCAAACATGTCACCTCCACCTAAGACTCCTCCGCCAAAGGCGAAAGGAACAGTACCTTCAGATCCTCCGAGACCAAAAGGTCCTACCAGAAGAGGAGGTCAAAATCGGCGCATTCAACGAAAAGCAGCTAGAGAAGCCCATAACAGTGGACTCTGCAACCATGCAGACGCTGCACTTGGCGAAGCCAATCAAGGCCAGGCCATTAACACTATGTGCCGAAACATGGCAGTAAGACACGTCAGCTCTATCGATGCAACGGTAGAAGCAGCCGAGCAGTTTACACAACGCGTGCAACAGCACGTAGAAACATATGATGAAGAGGAACCGTGGAGCACGGAGTTTCTACCAGTCGTGGAAGTCCTATTCAGGAACTTGAGCAGCGACGAAACAACTGTCATACATGACAATCATACGGTAACTATGCCTATTGAGAAATATCTCGATCTCCTCAGAATCGCACAATCATTGCGAAACTCTATCCAGAGAGACAAGGAGGAAAGAAAGGATCATCTTGACACCATCCAAGATACTCTATCCAGAGTGGAAATCCTTCTAACAGCACTGAAGGCCTCAAAAACAGTCTTCAATCAATTGGTCCATTCCTCACTAGAGATAGAGCGAAGACATAAAAACCTCAAAAATGTCCTTGAGACACTTTTTGACGACCAAAGCTCTGAGGAAGACCAGTCAGAATCTGACCATGAAGAAGTCCTAACTCCTTCTGCAGCACAGTACTGGAACAGCCTTCATGCCCACGCCTTATCTCCCTCAGGAGATGAAAGTGAAAGATCATGGGCGTCCTCAGACGGACAGCTTGAAAGAAGAAGGGCCGAACGGGCAAAGGCTAAGCAGCCACAACCGGCTAAAGCCGAGGCAACTCCAATCAGCTCACAAGCTGCACCAAAGGCCGAGCCAAAGGCGACTACATCCAACCATGGATATGACACTGCAGACGCCGCCTTCACCAGGGCTGAGAACAGATTACTCGGAATCTTTTCAAGTTCCGACGAAGATCACTCAGACCCGGATGAACCACATCCGAACGTCTATGCTCGAGCCTATGATCCAAACCTGGATCCAAATCTGAGATAAGGAAAATCTCAGAGTTTCACAACAGTGACTCACAAGGCTCTAACAAGCGCACAGTGAAGGGCTGCATAATTCGATAGAAGAACATTACCAGACCTGATCCTGTACAGACGATCTCTCTGACCAATGTGCATGAAAGAGTTCAAAAGGAGTTATTTCAAGAGTGACTTCAACAGTGTACTTCAGTGCTATACCTAGCATAAACAATATGCTGTTTTTATCATGAGTCCAAACTCCGCAACTGTGACAGTGGGCATAATAGTATATGTGTGAATGTGCGGCCATGCTTCCGGTAAAAGAAAATTAGTGTCTGTTTGTTTGCGTAAACCTCTAAAGGGGTAGCTCTAACAGGTACCTATACAGCAATGGCTGCATGCTCATACATATACATTCCGCTGCCCATTGGCTCACAGTGGTTTTACCATATTGAGACAAGACAAGCTCTCCTTGCGTAGCAAGACAAAACAACTACTGTCCGTGTGCAGGGCGCTGCCCTTTGATCCTTAGGGAATAAACTGGTCATACACCTCCTAACAAGGAGCATCTCCTTGTGGGTGTATCGGCTCACCCCCCCCTTAGGGAAGACCCCTTTAAGGGGGCTTTAAAGGGGCTTAAAGGGGGGCTTAAACGGGGGCTTAAGCCCCCCTTTGTCAAAGGGGGTGGGGCCCATCCTCAAACTTTCTATCCACATCGGAGAACCAATTGCGGGTTTTTTTTTGGCGTGTGCGAGCCGCGTCGACTACACGCTGCAGCACTCGGTCCCGAAAAGAGAGCAACTGACAAGAAATGAATAAGAAACACAAAAACGCTGGGTGAAACAGGAGCTGCGCATACGGGAGAACCAATTGCGGGTTATGCCAGTTGGAAGACGCCACAATCTTCAGAACATACGCACCTGCTGCCGGTGCAGGTCGAAGCCATGACTGGCCGAGAGATCCTGAAACGTCCGGCTCTCCGCAAAACGTTCTTTAGGGGCTGCCTGCCTGGGTGGCTCGCGCCGTCTCTCTTCCGTGGAGTCAGCCAGGCACCCTCACTGAAGAGGTCAAAATGGACAAAGTGAACCTCTCGGTGCAAGAAAAGCCGCAACATATCTTTGGAACTGGCTCAGGGAGCCTACAGGTTGAGCTCTTTTGCGCCAATTCTACCTTGTTGCACGGTGCTGAAATGGGCGGCTGGTTGTTGCAAGCTCGGCCAGACAAGACCTCTCAAAGGCTTTTGAGGGTGCACTCTGTTCCGTTTTTGCGGAAAGATGGTGCATTGTGGGCAAGTTACTACTAACCGGAAAGCGGAACAAATACAGGTGTTCGAGTGGCAAGTTGTACCGTAGAAGATTATCGACGAGCTACGAAACCCGCCTTCGCACACACATGACGTATTAAGCTGCTTTCTGCATTGTTCAGACGGACTAAACGGATACAGTCTGTCTCCACGAAGATAAAGTCGGACATGGCCAAGGCTCCAAGTCTGACCACGTACCATCCTTAAGAGCCACAGCCGAATGTAGAGCCGCGCGGCAGACGCTGGAACGGGCCTATACCTCGTTGTGACTTCGGGTGGGTTAAGAGGGAAGTTCTGCATGACATGGGCCGCACACATGCTGGGAGAGCAGACTAGCACCAGTCCGCCGCAACGGTGCGTGGTAGTGGGTAAAAGTGGAGAAGAAGCACCGAGTCCACAGCGGCCCAATCGTTGAGCAATGTAGCAATTCTGAACTCACTGGTTGACACACACGAGGAAGACCAATGTCTGTTGCGTGGCTGCGCAAGTAAAGACAGAAAAAGCCATCTTGGGCGTCAGTGGAGAGTTTCGAAACAAAAATACACCAATAGTGCTTGTGTCGTGCCGTTCCATCAATTTTCAGCCTAGCCAAAACCTTCCGAGAGTCCAGAGGCAACTGGCCAATGCAACATGAAGTCCAGTCAGGTGGGCACAAGATGGTTTGGATTTCCAAGAACAGTTACGCTGCTGCGTTTGCCGCTTTCCTAGAGCAAGACCAGTGATCAGTATGTTGAAGATCATGTTTTCAGAAGTGTAAATGTATATGTATATGTATATGTATATGTATATGTATATGTATATGTATATGTATATGTATATTTATATGTATATGTATATGCATATGTATATGTATATGTATATGTATATGAAAATGTATATGAAAATGTAAATGTATATGTATATTGTATATGTATATGTATATGTATATGTATATGTATATGTATATGTTTATGTATATGTTTATGTATATGTTTATGTATATGTATATGTTATGTATATGTATATGTTTATGTATATGTTTATGTATATGTATATGTTATGTATATGTATATGTATATGTATATGTATATGTATATGTATATGTATATGTATATGTGTATGTGTATGTGTATGTGTATGTATATGTGTATGTATATGTTTATGTGTATGTGTATGTGTAAATGGATATGTATATGCATATGTATTTGTATGTGTTTTTGTATATGTATATGTGCATGTACATGTACATGTACATGTATATGTATATGTATATGTATATGTATATGTATATGTGTATGTATATGTAAATGTATATGTATATGTATATGTATATGTATATGTATACGTGTTTGTGTACGTGTCTGTGTCTGTGTTTGTGTATGCGTATGTGTATGTTCATGTCCTCAGTGTTTCTCGGTGGCCGCAAGTACACACATCGATTCGATTATAGGATAATGGCGCCAAAACGGGGTGTTGACGACAACTCATTCGGACAATGTGGACCATTCTCGATCTTGCAACTCCGTTGACGGCGAAAAGCCAGGCCACCGTTTGGTTGAATTTGGTTGTTGACCGCAGCTTTCAGTGGATTCATAATATTCCTTTAGAGTTGATCTTGGCTTGGCCTTCGTTGGAGTGGCGATTGACACAATTCAGTTCCATGCACGCAGTCTTTCAGATGTTGTTGGCGGTCTACTAAGTTCCAAGTAAACCGTATGGAAACAAGCGATGCCTTACGTATCACCAGCAGTGGCCGTTGTTGCTGTGCAGCAAAGGAATGCTCGGATCAGACCAAAAGAGCCGCTAGCTCCGATCCGAGCAGCATGCGTTGACCTCCATTACGGCAACGATCACAGCTGCATCCCCCTACGTCATTCCCGTTGCCGTCGTTTTGGCCATGTTCCCGACTTCCAGGCTTCAAAAACGCCAGAGCAGCAAGGAAAAGAGAAGAGCCACAGTTCTCGTTTCGAAGGGTTGCCGGTGCTTTTGTAAAAGATTCTCTGCATGGTTTCTGCATGTTGGTTGCACCATGTCATGCATGAGGGCCAGATAAACAAGAGCAGCCAGCGCAAACTGTGCACCAGGTATTTGTGCGCCATAGATTTCACGGTGAAACCCAAAACAATCCTTTCGAACGGAACTCTCCTTTTAAGGGTGTCGTAAAGTGCAAACAAGTTTTCGAGAGGTTTGATTGCATGGCCTGACCATGGCCAGGCTGCAGCGCCCGATTTGTTGATTCACAGAATGCACACATCCGTGCAAGCGAGAAAGTGGCTTTAAGTGGGGGAGAAACCACGTGGCAGTTCTGTGAGCTTTGGAAATTGTTGTTTATGAGCCTTGTGAAACAGGCGAAAAATCGTGTACACACATCAACATGTGTAAAAAGCAGTTTTTTTGCTGACTTGGTCGAATGTGCGACAACGCCCAGACGAGTTTGTTCGAACCGCGACGTTCTGGCTCATGTGTTATACAGTTTGAAGGAAGCACAGATGCTTGAGATCAGCAGGCTCCGTGCCGTGAAAGCTCCGACCGGATGGAGTCGGACAAGGCTTCTTGGGGATAATAGTCTTAGCCCGTCTGTCAGTCTGGGCCAGCGGTTAGTGCTGTTGTTTTGGAATTTGTTTGGCTGTTGGGTTCCACAAGGATTGTGTGTCAGGAGCCAGCCAAGTCGACCAAGAGAATTGACCGAACATGCCCTAATGCGCTCAAACTTCAAGAGGTAATTTGGAATTATTCTGGTCACTGATTGTGTGTTTACCACAGAAACCTTGGAAGGAGAAGCTAAGCACCTTCGCCAGTGACACGCAGCAGTTCCTGGAGCGGCACAACAGGTCTTTCGACCAAGTTCAGGCGCGACAGAAAATAGGTGGAGTCTACACGCGACGGACAATAGCAGACTCCTACCAATCTGCACCAAAGAAAACCAAAATAACAGGTCCCAAAACTTGAGCCTGACGAACACCTTTTGCCCAGCCCTTAACCTTCAACCTTACAACCTTGGCGTTGAAAGAAGCAGCCTGGGCTTTGGCTTCCTGGTCTCAGGGTTTAGCTTGACATCCTGAACTATAAATTTGATGTTGCCTAGTCCGGAGTATTTGTAGCCGTGTATGGTTTTTGTTGAAGGTCTAGGGTTTGGGGTTCATTGTTCGAGGATAGGTTCGGGCGAGGTGGGTGCCGGAAGCAGGTTAGGCAGGGTCTTGCCCTTTGGGATTTTGCATCTGCAATCTGCGATCGGCACCCTTCGGCCACAAGACCTTACACCCGAAGTGTAAACGGCTAATCCGAAACCCCAAGGCCCCAGACCCAAGACCCCGAGCCACCCGAATGCTAAACCCTGCCTTTTGGGAGGTCACAGCCATCAAAGAAACAATCCAAAAAGAGATTGCGAGCCTGGGGAGCACAAATTCCTCGGAGGCGCGACGCGCCGCAGAGATTCTTGGTGACAAGTGTGCCTCGACTTTGTAGAACCTATCTTGTTGGCAGACTTCGAGTGCAATCCCGGAAAAAACAATGAAGGGACCTCTTCAGTTAAGGTGAAGACAAGAACTTCGACAGCTTGTATAGGAATGCCCTGCTGGAAGCAGGTGGCGTACAGCTGGCGGCGAAACTGCTCAGTGGCAAAGAGCCACAGGAGATGGCCTCGCGGCTTCTCTTGAACCTCGTGAAAGCGGATGAGAGTGCCAAACAGGCACTGCTCGAGGAGCCTTGTGCCATTCAATCTCTGGCAGAGGTTCTCAAGAAAGGCAACAGCAATGCCCAGTCGTATTCTGCTGCCATCCTCCGAAATGTGTCCGACGGCTCAGAAGCTCGCAGCAAGACGGTGGCCCAGCAAGAAGGTGTTGTTAAGGGGCTCATCGGCCTCGTGACAGCCGTTATCAACGACGCGGTGTCTCAGCGCCGAGCTACCGAAGCGCTGGCGAATCTGGCAAGGTACAGCGGCATCCAAGTGGGGAAGGATGCCCTTAGCAAGCTGGTGCAGCTGCGGGCGTCTCGCGACGAGGATCTGGTAGAAGCAGCAGCGGAGGCTTTGGAAAACTTGGGGAGCCACGCCGCTAACCTGGACGCCGTCAAGCAGGCCGAAGGGGTTGAGCACATGTTGATGCTTGGGGGTGAAGTCTCAGTGTTTCAAGCTCCCAACGAGTTTTGTTTTGTTGAGCGTGTCGTATCTGCATCCGGCGGGATTATCTCTTAAGAGGTTTGGGATCTCAGAGATGAGAGTTCCTGGCCACTGCGTTTGGCAAGCGAATCCTTCCCACCAGACTGCTTCAGGGCCGCTCCTTTACCCTTAACCCCTCGCTATTGTGAACTTAACCGGCGAAGTTTGCAAGCAAGGTGAACGAGGTTTATGCCAATGTGCAAAAGCTGAAGAGTGACATGGCATCGGATGCTAGAGCAGCTGCAGAGGCGCTTCTCAACGCTTGTGAAGACGAAGATGACGACGTCCTTGAACGCCTCGTGATCAAACTGGGTGGCATGGCTCCGGTCATGAAGCTGCTGGATGGGGCGGCGCAAGAACATGCTGCAGGGCTTCTGAAGCTGCTCGTGAATGTCGGCGACAGTGCCGTGCGGACACTGGTCGAGCATCCCAGCGCCATCCCTTCCTTGGTCAGGATTCTCAAGAACGGCAGCGCCCCGGCCCAGGCTGACGCCGCGGGTGTGTTTCGCAACGCCTCCCACTCGGAAGCTTGTAGCAAGGCCATGGCGGAGAAGGGCGCCATCGAAGGGCTCGTGGACTTGTTGAGATCACAGGGCCCGACCCGACAACGCAGAGCGGCCGGCGCCCTCGCAAACTTGGCGTCCCACAGCGAGGAGCTTCGGGCTGCCGTTGGGAAGGCCGGTGCCATTGGCCCTTTGCTAGAGCTGAAAGCGTCGGATCACGACGTGGCGGAAGCCGCTGCAGACGCCTTGGACAACTTGGGGTTGAACGATGCGAACAAAGAGGAGATCAAGGCCCACAACTCTAGCACTAGGGCGCCGCATAGTGACTCTGCAGGCCAATAGAGGTTAGGTTTCGGAGAATGCATCCTGCAAGCGCCGTTTCGCATACTCTCGGTGCGCTCTTCGCAGGCCAGCGAGAAGACGGCACCAGCTGCACAGCCAGAGGCAGACAGCCCCTGTCATGCTTAAGAATGGATGTTCCCTCTGAAGCATCCCGGAGTTTGAGGGGACTTGCAGGAAGGTCTTTCGGTTCAGGTAATGTTCGGCCTGCATATGCAGAAGCGCCCAAGAAGGTGGCAGAACAAGTGCAGGCAGGGTGTGGGAGAGACCACTAGAGGTTGATTATTCCTCAGGTGCGGTGAGGGATCTGGGGTTTAAGCTCGAGGAGTTCCGCCGAGAAAGCCGATCCCAAGGCCCGGAGGCCCGGGGTTCTGTCGTCAAGCAGCCTGTCAGGAGCCTGCAAAAGAGCAGATGACCTCAGAAGCCTCTGCCAAGGAGGCAGGGGTCTTAGTGGTGTGGGGGTTTAGGGTTTGAGGCGTGTCGGGGGGATTGATATGTCGAAGATACAGAGGGTGCAGGGCTTTGAGGTCCTCAATGGCATGAGCTCTCTTGTTTCTACCAACCCCCAATACACGGACGATCCTTGTCCTCCAGGTGGGCTATCCGAGCCCCGCGCCTTGCCCGAGCGTTGGCCTCCCCGACGGTGCGGGTGCGAGGCTGGCTCAAGGAATTGGGGCTCCAGGGTTTGAGTTTTTTTGGGTCGGGGGCTGAGGCAGCGCGAGGCGCAGGCACTGCATGTGGCCACTTTCAGAATCCTAAGCCTTAGAACCTAGCTCAACGTGTGGAGGGCGCTTGAGTGCACCCAAGCTTCATGATGAATTTGGTGCTGGAGCTGAACAACCTACACAGAAACCCTAGAGGCCGCCTCTGTGCGATTGCTTTTTTGGGATTGAGGGTTTAGGGTTTAGTCACTACATAGCAGTCAGAGTTTGGGGTTAAGGGTTGAGGGCTCGGGCGGGTTTTCGGTAGACTCCTCGCATGCAGCGACGGTCGTCGCTGGGGCTACTTCGATGCGGGGTGTCAAAACCTGCTTCTAAGCCATTGTGCCTGTGCCATTGTTGTTTTCCTATTCTTCTGACATTCACCAAACCTTAGACCCTAAACCCTGACCCCTGCACCCTAGAAAAGCTAAACTCAGAGGGCGGCGCAGTTGCAGCACATCAAAGCAAACCTCAAACCCTCCCTAAACCCCAACTCTTGTGTTCGAAGCTTCCAACCCTAGACAGCAAGCCCCTGTACCTTGTTTCTGAAGCCAGTACCGGCTAACTCTCAACCCTTCGCCTCGAGGTTCCGGGTTTCTCAAAGTCAGTGCTCCCTGAGCATACTCGCCTTCCCTCACTCTCAACGCCAAGCCCTAAACCCTTAAATCTCGACTTATGGGTCTAAACCCGAGCAGCAACAAGCCGCACGACCTCAGACCTTCCTGCGTCCAGCAGCAAGCTCTTAACCCGCACCCGAAGCCTCGACACCTTGTAAGTCCAAGCTTAGGGTTGAGGTTCCAGAGTTCATGCTTTGGGGTCATAGAAACCTTGCAGGGGGGCGGGCAGGCTGGCAATGTTTTCCTTGCGCTTCGACAATGGGCCTATCGAGGCAAAGTTTCGCAGAATACACCAACTATTGACGCCCGGTGTGCAATGCCTACCAAACCCCTTCCTTTAGAGTGTGGATGCTTGCATTGTTAATGTGGCTCCTGCTTGAGGGTGCCGGGAGTGCCACACGTAGGCTTGCTGGGGTGCAAAAGTGGGTAAGTGTGCTTATGCGACAAGGGTTACTCTCTGAGCAGCCCCAAAGCCGTAGTAAGCTCAAACAGGCAGCAAGACGGCCAAGGAAGAACAGAAATTTCAACGTGCTCATGGTTGACGCCGATGCTGGTGACAATTTTGGCACGATGACGATGGATTACTTGGACGAGCTTGTTGAGAACAAGGGGCTCATGATCGCAGTGTGCACAAAGCACTATGGCGAGAAGACAGCGTCTCCGTACAGCTCCTTTCATGAGCTGCGGTATGCCCAGGATTATCAGCTGGACGTTTTACCACTGAAGGTGGCAGATGTCTATCCACCGCAGCCCCCAAGTGGCCCCGACCACAAGTACGTTCCTTGGCTCCCGGCATGCTCCCTTCGTGTAATCTTCGTAACCTGCAGCCTAATGAGCTCCAAGCCCCTCAAGACCAGACCCTGCCTGAGGATCAGAAGGGAGAGGCCCGGAAGCTCCTTCGGATGGTCTTGCGGCCCAATATCTCCTTCTTCGACTGCTGCAGCCCCTGGGCCTGAGGAATTTGCGTGCCGTGAGTAGCTATCCAAAGTCCTTAGCACCAAGCAGAACCGGAACATGAAAATGCACACCCCGCGCACGCAAGACCCCTAAACTTCCTGATCCCTTCAAAGCAGCTGAGGCTTGAGTGAGCAGGAGATTGCACTCAAGATTGCCAACAGACTGTTGGGAAGGGGCCACGGTGTGTCGGGTCACGGCTGACAACTTGCCCTCAGCCCTAACCCGAGACCCCCGTAACCCTCAATCCTGGACCCTGGCCTCCGCTGAACAAGAAAGTGCGGCCTCGCTCCCACGCCTTGCGCTTTCAGCAGGGCTTTTCCACGGGTCGAGCTGTGCCCTCGGTCGATAAACCCGGAGAGTCCAAAGGACTGCGCTCGAGCAAACAGTCTTGCCGAAGGGTCCTTGCCTTGGAGATTGCGAGTTGGGATCAGGGTTTCGGGTTTGGGGTAACGGTCAGAGTCAAATGGTTATGGAGTTCAGGGTTTGAGTCTTAGGACTGAGGTTGAACACTCAAGAACCCCAGCCGGCCATGGTCCAGCCCAGACACTGATATCTGTGCATCAACATGCAGCCGTTTGATCTATGAAGCTTCTGGGGCTATTGGAGTTGGCATGCTGCGCAGGAATATGCAAAGGTTCTGCTACTACATGACAGCCCAGAAGTGTCAGATTCTGGCATATGCGTTGCATTGTTTCGCAGGAAGTGCTGGAAATCACAGGTCTCGACTCCTGCCATGCGAGATTGTCTGCAACGGAGAAGCGACCGCAGTTTTCGGTTCATGATAAGCGGGAAGCAAGAGCAGTCGTTTACAGCACTAGTATTGGGAGCTGTGATCATGCTTTTTTATGATCTACCAGCATGCGACTTGCATATGAGCCACTCGACACATTCACTATACAAGTTGCGGGCCAGGCGGTGTTGCCAAAGCTTTGCATGGAACATAGCAGCTTTCACAGTATCGTGGCAGCAGCCGCCATCACAGCTTTCGCTTGCCTTTGAAATATATGACTTTCCGGTAAGAGATGGCCGAATGGCGATGTTGGACGAGGAGCTCGGGACGAATCTCTTAAAGCAATCCGTTTCTTGGTAACTTGCCGACAGGTGGTCGCCGACGAGGAGAAGAGAAGACAAGCCCGATGGAATCTCAAGCGGGTCCGCATTCAGTTGGTTTGAAAATGGTGGCGATTTCCATCTGCGTGTTGCTCTGCGAGAGGCCATGCACGACAGAAGAATCGCAGATATCGAGCGGGCCCTCATTGCGGGTGAGGAGTGCGCGGGGCAAAGCGCAAGCTTCACTATCCATCGCTTGATCACAGATGGGCGTGCAGAATCCACCATGATCTCGGCAGGAATGCTGCTTGTACCCGATGGAGCTGGAACATGCAAGACACACGCTAGTGGAGGCCAAGAAGGCCACGAGGGTTCGTTTTGTGTTTTGGCGCGCCAGGTTGCATCTTGAAGACAAGTAAATGCCTGGTCTCCGCGAAGATGCATGCTAGTGACGTAGTGGCACTCCTTCTCAGGCAGATGCCAATCAGAAGCTCGATCGAGCTTTGTGAGCATCTCAGCATACATCGACTATCACGCATGGCACGAAAGGAGCAGTCCTGCCCGACCAAGTGTTAGCTGCAGCTCTGTTGTCTGGCCTGCTCATGATCTGATGGTCTCGTAGTCGTTTTGTCGCGGGAGTCACTCGAAATGTCAAGAGTCATCGTCGAATTATTCGGAAAACTCCCCAACGATTGAGTTCAATGCAGTCCCGGCCGGAGCTAAAAAACTTGCACACGGCATCTTGGAACAGTTGGACGTACCAGGGCAAGTGCTGATGTGGATGCCATTTGCGATGCCATCAATCAAGCTGCTTATGCTGACGTCAGTCAGAGCCCCATTTGTCGGAAGACATCCTGGTGACCTGCGAATGTCTCGATGTTGCCTGGCAGATCCCGCCAGACTGCAGGCAGCCGCAAAAGTCTCAGGGCGCTTTCGTATTGGATAGCCACGCAGCGGCCAGTTTTCAGACCAAGGAAGCATCTCTGGAGATGCTGAAGCGTCAGCAAGACGCCCGAATGCTGGTTTCCCAGGCCCTTCGTGTGCTGCTTAAGGTGCATGGTTCTCATGACGCGAATGGCCTCGAAAAAAGCATGATGTCCAGCCTCGAAAGCAGGCGCAACGGTCAGGTGACATCTTATTATTGCAGCAGGCTCGTCTCAGGTTTGCCGTTTTTGATTTATGTTTCCTTTTCTTACAATGAAGGCCATCGAAGATGCCACTGTAATGGGTCTGATGGACTCAGAGCATGCGTCTTACTTCTAAGAGTTGCCGAGCCGCAGAGCTTCCCTTTTTGGCGACATGTTTCCATGCTGGAAAGTGGACGGAATCGCTGAGGCTGACCGCAATCAAGTGTTGCTGGCCGGCTTCCGTTGTACTGAGCCAGGGTCCATGGTCCATGGTTTCTTCTGTCTGAAAGCCGCAGCTTCGTCAAGCAAAACACCCGCTGCTACCGCCCATTGGAGAGTAGTGTGCGACAAGCTTCAGCCAGGCGGAAGGTCCAGAGACTGGAAATCCAGGCAGCATGATTTCTTTCAGATTGTGGCAGACTTCTCGAATAATTGAATGTGCGCAACATGGGCAGGCAGATGAGGTGAGGAAGCTTGAGGTTGCGATACAAGGCTGCGCAGATTCTGATGCATCGTGTTGGTCGGGCTTCATGTGCCACTAGCTTCTTGGCAGGCAAGTCAATCATGGGGCTACGAGCATGTCTGCTCTCAGCTGCTGCAGCAGGCTCATAGCAGCATGGCATGCGCAATCTTGGGTTCAGCATTTGAGACCTTCGAAAGGCTCTTCCGGACCTTTGAGTTTTGAATGTCTTCCCTTCGTAGACCTGTTCCTGTTAGGATCAGGTTCAGGGAACGCTTCAGCCTGATTCGCGTTTTTTGCCAACTCCCGAGAGGACTTCCAGCCACTGATCTGGACAGAGGGCGAGTAGTTCTCCGGCAGGAGGAGAAGAAGGCCCGAACTCCGTGCATCCTCCGTGCATAAGCCTTGGAGACTAGAGGCTGCTGCCCGAATCGTGCTCAAGGATGCACGCCTGGGCAAAAAGGTTCGGCCAGTTTGAGTTGAAGAGTGTGTGCTTCATCTCTGGGGCTTGTCAGGCCTCTGCCAGGTACTGAGTTTGTCGGGGAACTGCTTTTCTGGAAATCTTGTCTGTGCGTGTGAGCGACAGCTACGAAGGCTGAAGGCCGCGTCCAAGACCTCCGCGAGGCCATACAAGGAGGCAAAGCTGCAGGTGGGGCTCCCACGGATTTCGAGTGATCGCCTTACCTTTTGTGGAGCGGAGGTTCACAAAGTAAGTTTTGTAATCACAGTTGGTAGATGCTTGGGGAAAGGGTTGCGAGGCAGGGACGGTTAACAGTCGGTAACTTCGCTGCGGACCGCAACTCTGAAGCTTTGAGAAAGCTCACATTCTCCAGGAATGACGGCTGAGGAGCTTCAGCCATTCGATACAGCGCTGGATCAGTTGCGACAGGAGGAGCGCGTTCTGCTTTTACACCGTGTTGTGTGAACGCAAATCCCAAGTTGTCAGGTTGCTGCCAGGCAGACGCTGAAAGAGGCGGTAGAGATTGCAACAATTGATGTCTTGATGCTCGATGCCAAGATATGCCGAGCGTTTGCTTGTTCCCTTTCGTGTCGTGTCCTTCCACTGATTTTGCAGCTTTGGGTGTCGAGGCCGGCTATTGATGCAGCGAGAGCCGCCGGTACTCGCCCCAACTGTTCGTTAAGTAGTTCGGACTGTCCGACGAGAGCTGGACATAGTAGCCGATTGCTTGCGGGCAGCCAATAGAGGCATTCGGGTTTGCTCGTGAACTGGAAAGCTGAGATGATTCGGCAGCAGTTGTGGATTGGAGAAGCTGATTGGAAGGGCTTTCTTTGCCGTTTCAGACTTTCAGATTCTGCTGCAGCATTGCACCAGCATGCGATATCAATACCCGTGGCACTAAAATGAGGCATTGATGAGGAGGAGCATGCTGCTTAGCTTCCGATCCGAACTCCAGCAGCAAGCCATGTAGCAATGTAGCTCGTGCTGAAGTTGGGCACCTGTTGAGTCTGGCGATTGCGAAGCTCCTGGTTGAAGATGCCTACAAGCCAGCAGCTGTGGCCTCAGATATCTCGGGACGAAGAAGTCAATTGACTGTTGATCCGCAATGTCGGACAAGGCACGCGCAAAGCTGAAAGAGGCTGTTCCATCCTCGCTACCTTTCGGAGACCACACGAGTATGTCTGCGTCTTCGGCATGCTGTGTCTCGACTGCCCAGGTTCAGAAGAGAGATATACCCACACTACTGGCGGCCATCGAGCATGCCAAGGCTTGCGAGCAGAGCCAGGAAAATGGGACCACTTGGCCAGAGGGAGCATCAACATCGCAGGTCGTGGGCCTGTCCGTGATGGCCATTGCCGAGGTGTTTGCGCTTGTCATGTTCCACAAACTTGCATACCTTTCGCGCCGCAGCACCCTAGGCATCAGAGGTCTTGAAGGAGGAGGAGCTGAAAGTGCAACTTCGGAAGTACTGCGCCCAGTTTTTCGGAAGGGTGGTGTCTCCTGACGTGTCTGGAATCGGCGAGCAGAGGCGGATCCTGCGGCTCGACCGAAGTCTGAACCAGCAGGAGCTCCGAGCAGCGATCAACATCTCAGAAGTTAACGGCCCGGTCCTATATGGTCTCTGCCATGTACCTTCTCCCACTCTTAGATTCACTTGCTCAACAAGGCCTGACAAAAGCTGAACTGGCTCCTGCTCGCCTGGGCGCTGAGATGCGATGAGTCGTGCTTAAACGTGGAGCTTCCGTCTTCCGTCTTCTCGCCTCTCCGGTCCAGGCCGGCAGCTGGCAGAGCTGGAGCAGCAAGCCGCTGCCACGACGAGCCCACCTCCGAGCTCCCAGCGTCTGACAGAGCCTGGCCTGGTCAAGTCCGGAGTGCACCGAAGGACTCTCTACAGCCATCGAGGCTGGAGAGATCGTTGAATTGCAGGCAGGTCGCCCAGAGGTGTCTGCGACAACTTGCAGGGCAACGAGACTTGCAGGCTGCTATCAGAGATGCCCGCGCCCTCGTTCAGAAAGTGCTCACACCATGCCCAAAGCCAAGATGCTACCTGTCACAACTTATTCCTGGCGAAAGAGAGACACGAGGTGTGGCCGAGGAGCTCATCCAAGATGCAGAGAAGGCGGAGCCCAACGGCCGACACTGGTGTGGTGACCTCTTTCGTTGGCATCCCAGGCCTTGAGAAAGGAGATTGAGCAGGCGGCACGAGACATGCTCTATGACTCAGTCGGGACCTGAGCTTCCAAATCAGAACCGGCAGGCACAAGCCGTTTAGCCGCCTGGCAACTGAGATCAAGCGCTGCAGTGGAGCGGCGGCAGTTTCCCGAAGCAAAGATCTGCCTGAAGAAGGCGGAGAGCAGCTTAATGCCAAAGCGGCTTTGCAGCAGCGACGCAGGACATCTGGAAATCGTCACACTTGATCACTTGGTGTTTGCTCTGGCATGTTTCAGTTAGCCCTTGCATTGTGCAGGAGCCAGGCGAACTTCGAAGCCGCTTTGCAGGCAGAGGGAGGGCTCCAGTGTTTCAACTTAGAGCTTCAATGCTGCGACGCTCGGACCGGAGGCCATCGGCGTGGATGTGGGATCCAGACCCGGGTCCCGAGACGCGCCTCCAGCTGCCGGGCGGCGAGCCTCAGGTGCGGTCCAAGGCTCACCGCCTTTTCGGAAGATTGAACCTCGTCACGCCGCAGGTCTTGGCAAGAGACGGATGTCGGCCATGTACGGCGGTCCAGCGGTGGGTTCCTGGGCACGCACCAAGACATTAATTACGATGACACTTTACTGAGAGAGTCTGCTCAATGTAGGAGGAGCATCTGGAGTTGGCGACGCATACTTCGAGAGGCAGGGAAATGCTTGGCACCCCATAGGTTTCACTAGACCTGCTTTTTGCAGGATGGAGACAATCAAGACGGCTATCAGGGGTGCAGAGGCACAGAGCGCATGACATGGGCCTTGACGGCAGTGTGCAAGCCTGCTGCTTTGTCAGGGGTTTCAAGCATCCCTAACTAGGATTTATTCGTTGAAAATTGCCCGGTCCGCAGGCTCTGGAACTTGACGAGACGGACATCCTTCCAGCACGAGAGGTTCGGCTGTTTCTCTTCGTATGCTTTGCTTGCTGGGATCTCAAAACCCAGCCATCGTGCCGGCCTGCAGAGCCATCTACAAACAACGGATTGGCAAAAAAAAGGCTTCCACAAGATTACTGTTACAGTCGCAGGGGCGAGTGGGTTTGATGTCTAAATAACAGTTTGCAGTAAGAGGAATTTCGCTACTTGGTGCAGCTAGGGAGTCTGTCACAGTAGATTTCAAGCAGCAGCTGCCTTGGCTAGTCTAGAGCTTCGAAGCAGTAAGAATGCATGACTCATGCCATGAAGCGTTTTTGTACGGGTGTTGCAGTACATCCCCGTGCCGCGAGCTCAGTGTCAGAAGCATGGCTGGGTGCTTTCGGTTGTACATGGCATTTCGTAGACTTGTGCCTCACGTCGAAGCATCTGGTTCCAGGCATGGAGAGGCCTTTGCAGCGGCACACCGGCGATTGCCAGAAGAGCCAAAGTTCTGCGTGGCGAAGGCACGATCTCGTGTCCCAGCTTGAATCTGCGAGAAGTGTCATGTAATCTTGTCTGTGCGGACTTACAGAACCGATGAAAGCACAGATACTCTTGTCGGCCTAGGATGGTTGCCAAAGCCCTGGCAATGCAGAAGCAGGGGAAGGACATCATCCGCATGGAGGCCCAGAGAGAGCAACATATTCTGCAATCGTGCTGCCTTCTTGCATCGTTGCCGGCTGGAGGTAGGTGACCCAGACTTCAGCACTCCAGACCATATCACTGTCCGAAACCCAGATCTAGGTCTGGGTCTGGGAGCCCGCGTTCAAGTCAAATCACTGCATCTCAGCAGGTGTTGGCCAGACTTCCTTAGCAGATGGACCCTTCACCCCTTCGCCTGTCTTAGCCACAGCGTGAAGTGACACTAGCAACAGCCAGACTGGCACCATCAGCGATTCAGAGCTCCGAGCCATGCCACGCCATGTGGAGTCCGTCGCTTTCCAATGGGACCACCCCGAGCAGGCCCTGCTTTGGAGACCATCCAGGAAGGCTTTCCGGCATAGCGCATTTCTTGACACGGAGCATCCCTCCGGCAGGGATCTTCAGATTGGCGTCTGCGACGGAGTCTTGGGTGACAAGAACATTCATGTCACCATCACTCCGGACAACAAGCGCTCATTGATTCTGGATGGGAAGAATACTGACGGCTTTGTGCAATCCGAAGTTCGATGCAAAGGCCGGGTTCCCCTGCTACTTGGCAGCTGTGATGACCGCACCTTGCGGCACAAGTGGCGGTGTGATGAGTTGGATTTTCGCAAAACGCTGCACGGGGAGGCGTTCCCATATGTTGCTGCGATGATCCGCAAGATCACTGCGCGATGTCACGCCAAAAAGCCCGTGGAGCTTCTCATGCTCGGTCTGGGAGGGGGCACGATGCAAAGCTACGTCTCGCACGAGTGCGGAGATGCCAAGATCCTTACGATCGAGGCTTCCCGAGGAGTCGTGGAGGCTGCCCGTCGATTTTTCGGCTTTACGGGCCAAGCAGAGGTTGCTGGTGCTCAGGAAGCACTTCGCGATTTGGTTAAACAAGACAAGCACTTTGATGTGATCGTTGTTGACATCACGGACACCGTTCTAGGAAAGGAGGATGTGGAGAACTTGCGTCTGCTACTCCACCAGGATGGTCTGGTATTGCAGAATCACACCAACTTCCTGAAGATGTCTGAGCAGCTGGATGCTTTTCGAGAGGTCTTCACCAGTGTTGAAGAGCAGAGCTTCCCGGGCGGTAATGTAGTGGTGACAAGCACCAACGCCGCTTCCGACAATCAGACCCTGAGGCAGTGATGCCTGAACAAGCGATGATGTACCCCGCCATCCCGCCTCAACTGGCCTGATTCCCCGCTAAAGTTGGTGTAAGCGAGGGTTTGCTCAGGTCCTTCGGGATGATCAGGGCTGAATTGTGATGATGCGAGGTACTTTCACTGGGTTGGTTACGAGGAGCTGTACAGTCGAGGAGGAAGGCAGAGGAAGTCGCGGCATGAGGCTTCCGGGTTTGGATTTGTGGCTGTTTCGGGTTAGGGTCTTGGGTGGACCTGGAGGTTCCAGGCTGGTTCGCTCCTTCGGAAATTCCTGGTTGTGCAAGATGAAGGGTCACACAACCTGGACGAACCTTTCTTGCGGGCATGTGGGAATTCCGTATCTGACGGGTCATATCGGATTGTTGAAGAGGATCGGCGGTCTTGGGTCACGCAGCAGATCAGTGCTAAGGCGAGTGCTGTGGAAGCTTTGCAAGCAGGGCGAACTCATTACGAGGCCACACTGAGCACTTTTGTCTCTACAGGTTGAAGGGAAGCCAGCAAAGCCCCACTCGTTCCAGGCAGCCGGAGGATCTCCGTCCTTGCGTCGGGCGGTTGCGGCTTATCTGGAACGCACAAGGCATGTACAACGCTGCAGTTGTAGGACTGCATGCGGGTCACCGAGTCTTTCTGTCGAATGGGGACTGGTGGAAGGCCTGGCTTACAAGCCGATCCTGACAAGGCAAGTCTTGAGTCTTGGGCAACTTCGATGCTGCATCCCGACGCTATCAGCAGGTGCTCTGTATGCCCGGTGGAAAGCCCGTGATCTTCCACACGATCGCGGCAGTCTGCGAGGAAAGAGCAGTAGAGGCCTCTTCTCATACAGATTTCGTGCCAGCATCAGTGGTGCACAGGAAGGCGACGAGGTGGGGTCGATTTGCAGTGTCTGAGCACATCTGAAGGCTCGTCAAAGCGATTCTGTCAAGTCGTGGCACAGCAGGTGATTTATCCAGATCCTGGATTTCCCGCCTATGAAACCACCATCAAGTGGAGTGGAGCGACGCCTGTGCCCCTTCGGCTTGAGGAAGCCTCGGGTTTCCGTTTCCGTCATGTGGGGAGCCCAGTGACGTGAGGGTCAGAAATTCCCCAAACTCTCAGCTCGGGATCCACGAGGAGGAGCTTCGCAGGCTCGCATCCCCGCGTCGAGCACCCAGCGAGATCGAATAGAGCCCCGACCAGCCACCGTGGTACCGAGCGAGGCACCAAGCTGATCATCTTGTGCTCGCCTGGCAATCCAACGGGTGGGGTGAGCTGGGCAGCAGTACAGTGTATTTTGCAAACGTGCTTCTATCGGGTATTTGCTGATGTAGCTCGTTTCCTGGGACGAAGGTGCTCACCCGAGAGGACCTCGACTGTGCAGCAGAGATTGCACAGGCTTGCAACTGCTGGGTATTGAGCGACGAGATCTACGCGAGGCGCTGTGGCTGCTTTGCCAGCATTCTATCAAAAGCTTGCGCGGACTGCACTGTAGGCTTGTTTTCGATGGTGAGCCTGACAGCATCGCCCTGCGCAAGGCGGCCTGAGCTTTGCTGGTGTTCTCTCTTTTGCCACGTCAAGGGTCGGAACAGACGAAATGCAGAGGACATGCTGGAACGCACCGTGATCTTGGATGGCTGCAGCAAGTCCTTCGCTGGGACTTCAGCCTTGCTTATTTCATGCAGCAGCTGCTTCTGCAGCAGATGCAGAGGCCATGACTGGCTGGCGCCTGGGCTTCGGCCTCTTTCCTGCAGAGCTGGTTGAGCCCGCCCAGAACCTCGCAATCAATAGCTGGACCTGTAAAAGCCTCAGATCCCGGTGCTTTCAAAATTGAGGCCTTCGGCCTTTATGCCATGCCGTGCCTGTTTTCTGAGGTGTTCCCCCCTTCGTCGCTGCTGGTGCGGAAACGGCTTTGGCCACGCCGGAGGTGGGAATGGCAATGAGCGGTCAACATGCCGTGCTACTCCAACCTAAGCACCCGTTTGGGTTTTATCCTCTTCGACGTGCCCACAGGAAGTGATGGCCCCGATGCGCTTGGAGTATGCAGCCAGGCTTCTGCATAGCGTTTAATGAATTTAATGGGAAGGGGCGGCGGGGCCGCCGACGAGATGCATGCAGGCGCGATCTGGTTTACGAGAAGCTTGTTGAGATTCCTGGTATCTCCGTAGCTGTGCGTCCAGCGGGAGCCATGTGTTCCTGGCTTGTTTCAGCCACCTGCATGTGCCTTCTCGTGGGTACTTGCAGCTGGAAATGCGACATGCGGTGCTAGCATCCTTTGGGTGGTTGTCTAGCGACCGCATTGCATCGGAAGAATTGGAGATGTTTGTGCCAGGTATCTTCTTGCGAATGTTACTGGAACCGGAATGAGCTCCGCGAGGTTTGCGGACACATTGCTCGAGGACCATGACACCGAGTGTGACACTCCAAACCAAGCCTGAGATAGTTCCACGCATTGCGAGGAGTATGGTGTCGCAATCCTCGACGGAAACTTTTTTGGGGCTGGTGGCGATGGCTTGATCAGGCCGGCAAATGTCCTTGCGTGCCCTCTTCTCCTGCGGACGTCTGTCCGAGGATTTCCTTTGCACAGTCTCGCAAACGGCTTGCGGAAGGATGTGCTTTGAGCTCAGACATTTGTGGCATAAGAAGCTTCTTTCATGCAGCCATCCATCAGTGGGTGCGAAGCGACGGCCTTCAGGAGCGCATCAAGCAGTTTGTGGCCAGTTTGAAATCTTAGAGATCGAGTGAAGCTACGGACGCAATGGCGCGAAGAGACCATCTCTCCATAAGGTGCTACAACAGCACTGTACAGAACAAAGGATTCTGTATAGAGAGCCTCTGATTGCTTACTGATTTACGGAAGAAAGTGCATCGCTCATGACATTAAGATTGCATGCTATGTTTCTGTGACGGATGCATTGGCTTCGTTTTTATTGGTGCCTTTGCTGAAGCAACCAGTGGCCAGGCACTTGCCGAACAAGAGAAGAAGCTCCAAGCATGTGCAGCCGCAGCCCCGGAACGGACATTGAGTGCTTAACCGTCCGAAGTACGCCGATGCTGCCGGACTGTCAAGTTGCCTTTTCGTCGACCTGCTGGATTCATTGTCGATTTCCCCACTCCCAAAGCTCAGACCTGAAACGACCATGCAACAACAGAAGCAAAGAACTCGATGGCTGTGGTGCAAACACTTGAAGCAAAGCCCCAAGATAAGAAGTCTAAGGAAACGCTTCTCCTGCCTGATGCCTGCTGCTTCGGATTTGGCAGGAAGCTTTGCGGCACTCTGTGCCACAACCGGGCCGCAGCTGACAGCATTGGGATGGCCTCTCCGCCGATTGTGTGTGGGTGGCTCCGCAACGACCTGCGCACTCACGATTCTGCTGTGCCTCCGCTGCAAGTGTCGTTTGGATGAGGTGGCTGCAAGTCGGGGTGACCGAGCTAGTTAGTCTAGCAGGGCGGCCGGTGATGCAGCTGCTGTCGCGTCGTTGATCTCGGCCATGGAGAATTCAACTCAGGTTCTCCATCGGGTAGCCGAGATATCTCAAAAGCTGCTTTCGTGTAATGGCAGAATGTTTGCTAGCAGTACTTTTCGTTTGAAATGTTTATTCATCGACTGTTGTCCGCTTGCCTCTGCAACTGAGGTCAGGCTTATCTACTCTAGTGATTTTTGTCTTGGACACAAGGAGCTTGACATGGCCCTCCGGTGCTGAGAGAGTGGGGAATTTGCGGGCTCGCTTCCTCTTCGAGTCCCTGCTAGAGCTGAAGGCGAGCTTATGCTGCTTGGGCTCCGACCTGGTTCTCCGGAGCGGGAAGCCCGAGGATCTCCTGCCCGCGCTCCTGCCCGAGGGCTCCGTCCTAGTCACACAGGAGGAGGTCACTGCGGAAGAGAAGGCCGTGGATCAGCGTCTGCGCGATCGTTTGGAGGCCATGAAAGTCGAGATGCAGTATTGTTGGGGCTCTACCCTCCTTCACCTGGAAGACTTGCCCTTCGAGAAGGATCTGTCTAACCTTCCGGATGTCTTTACTCTTTTCAAGAATGCTGTGGCTCCAGAGCTCAAGTGTGCTTGCAACGCCATTCCAGAGGCGTATTGCGACCTGCCGAAGCCGACGACGAGCTTATCGATCCGGTCGTGTTTGCCAGATCTCAAGCCTGGATCCTTGCCCCCCTCCGATTTATTTCGGGAGGACTCTGAGCATCAGCCGGCATGGGAGGACATGATTTTTCCGTCACAGTCTTGGGGTGCCGATGTACTCACATCCCTTTTTGAGGGTGGTGAGAAAGCCGGCCTGCACCGTCTGGAGCGCTATTTTTCAGGGCCGCTGGCCAACTATGCCGAAACAAAAAACAATATGCTGGAGTTCGATGCTTCGACCAAGCTTTCCCCCTGGCTTGCAAACGGCTGCCTCTCACCCAGGCGGATGTTCGAAGCACTGCGAAAGCAGGAGCTGCAGGCTGCCAGTGCTTCCACATATTGGCTGTTGTTTGCACTTCTCGTCCGCGATTTCTTTCGTTTTATGGCCGTGAAGTATGGAAGCCGCATTTTTAAAGCGACCGGGATAATTGGCAAGAGTCTTGACTGGTCTGGTGGAGATGAGGAGTTTACTATGTGGTGCACTGGAAGCACGGGATACCCACTGGTGGATGCCAACATGAGAGAGTTAAAACGGACTGGATGGATGTCCAACAGAGGAAGACAAAACGTGGCGTCCTTCCTCATTTGGGACCTGAAGGTTGATTGGAGACGTGGCGCAAGATGGTTTGAAACACAGCTGATAGACTATGATGTGACTTCCAACTGGTGTAACTGGATTTCCGCGGCTGGCTTGTCTGGTGGCCGCATCAACAGGTTCAACGTGGTCAAGCAATCTCATCAGTACGACCCCAGCGGAGACTACTTACGCAAATGGCTTCCTGAACTTCGGTCATTGATGGAGGAAGAGATCCACGAACCCTGGAAGCTCCAGCCGGCTCTCCATAGCTATCCGCCCCCATGTGTTGACCCTTCGAACTTTGCAGTTGCCGCTAAGCCGGCTGTTAGGTCCTCACAGCAAAAAGGGTGTGCCTGCTGCTTTGCATGGGTCGCCCATGCCGTGCTTATTCCTTGCATTGGCAGTCTGCTCTGAGGCCTTGGCGCAAGCGCGGAAGCTAAAGAGCAGCATCCTCACGCAGCCAGTCTTACTGCCTGACTTATGCAAGGCTACAGATGTATTAGACAGCCAGCTGCTTCGAAGGTCTGCATCACATCAAGGAAGCTCTTGAAAAAGCACAGGAAGTGGCTTGTCCCAGTCAGTGCCGCAGGCTAGAAGTTCAGACAGGAAAGAGTCACGCAACTCGTGGGGTTTATGGATGTGCATCAGCTTTGCATCAGCAGATATCAGCGGAGCTTCGAGTTCGCCGGTGGCAGGAAGCATCGAGACTGCCTTAGAGAAAGCACGAAGCAGAGTTTTAGGGTTTAAGCTTGGAGTTGTCGGTTCTTAACTTAGGGTGCAGGTTCCAACAGCACAAGCCCAGCAAAGGGCCCGACAAGAGGAGGTGAAACCAAAAAAGGCACAGCAGAGGTCCTTGTAGGGAACGTGGCCATGTCTCAGCAGAATCATCAGAGAGTCTTGCCGCGGTAACAGGGAAAGACAACCAGCACCTCTTGTGGTTCATGTGCAGGATAGCTCTTATCATGCTTGCCATTCGATCTGCGAAAGCACCCAGGGGTCAACATTTGCAGCCTGAGGGCACCCACACATGCATTCGCAAATGGTTACCCGTCACGGAAAAAGACAACAGCCCAGATGCACATTTGGCCTCTGTAAGGCTGGCCTCTCACACATGGAAATGAAGCAGACCATCGATGCCGGAAGCCAAGTTCTTTGCCCTGCCTCCCACAAACACGCAAAGACACGTTGGAGGCGCAGAAGGAGATCAAGAAACAGGACGAGGACCATGTGCAGAAGCGAATGTTTGACACTTTGTCGTCTATCGGGCTGTGTGCCGATGTTCAGGCCGCAGAGAAGCTAGAAGATGCCGTCGATGCTCGGGATGTCGGCTGTCGATTTTGAGGGCTCGCCTGATTTGAGAGGGTGAAACTCCAGCTTGTGCCAGGCCGAGAAGCTTCGATGGGCCATAAAATGGGCCAAGGCGCGGCCAAGCATCGAATGCTCTGAAACTTCCTGCTGGTCATCTAGAATCCAGGATGCTCGAGTGGATGAAGACGACATAGCAGATGCCGAGGAGGCGCATCAATTGCACCACTCAGCTGCGGCGTGAACGCTTTGCAGCAATCCATTGGCATGCTCAGGTCTTGCAAGAGTTGGAGTGGAGGGAAACTGCGCTCGCGAAGCTGAGAGCAGCATCTTGTGAGCAATAGACCTGGATAGACCTGGGTAATTAGTGGACTTAGCAATCAAGGGCAGGTTTCAGGCGGGCAGTCGTCGTCACAGAGTCTGGATGTTCGCTGGAGGTGCGAATGGACCTTAAGCCATCAACTCCGGCGCCTTGCAGCGATGATGAGCTCCGTACTGGGCGCCCGCGTTCTCTCTGACTGCGAACATCTGCGAGCAGACCGTGTGAGTCTTCAAAGAGGCTATGCATACGGGCTTTGGCCAGGACCCACGCGCCAGCGAACCGGACTTCGAGTTTCAGGGGTCAGGGAGGGTTTAGGGCCAGGGTGTTCGGATTTAGGGTGTAGTGTGTGAGTTTCAGGGTTTAGGTTTCAAATGTCTGGGACTTCAGTTTTCCACATTTGAGGTTGATTTTAAAAGGTTAGGATTCAAGGTTTAGGGACGGTTCAAGAATTTCTGATCCTAGGGTTCAGTGTTTAGTGTTTACATTTTTAGGATTAAGATTAGGGAGGGTTTAGGGTTCGGGGATTTTTGGGGCCTAGGGCCTACATGTTTTGGAATCAATGTTTGGGAAGGTTCTCGGATTTTGCGGTTCAGGGTTTCGGGTCTAGGGACAAGTAAGGTCTCGGGACAGTTTTTACGGCCCTCGTTTTTTGTGGGTTTAGTGTTTTTTAGGACTTGGGGGGTCTATGTGTTTCGGATCTACGAGACGGGAAATGTTTGGATCCAGGGTTTAACTGTTCAGGATTTGAAGTTTCGGGTTCTGGGATGTTTAGGGTCTGGTGGGTCTAGCATATGAGTTTTTCGGACTTGGAGTTTAGGGAGGGTTAAGGGTTGGTGCATCTTTGGGTCGAGGGTAAGGTTTAGGGTCGAGGCTCGCGGAATTTTTAGGGTTTAGCGCATAAATGTTTAGGACTTAGGGTGGGAGTTAAGGTTTGGGGAAGGTCTAGGGATTGCAGACATGTATGTTTAATGTTGGAATGTTTAGGACTGAGTGCTAAGGGAGGGGATTCGGGGATTTCAGGTCTATTCAGGGAGTGTTTATGGATTTGTAAGCTTACTTTGTAGACTTTAGGTTCACGCAGGGATTGGGGTACGTTTTTGTTTTGTTTTTTGGCTTAGTGTTTAGTCGTTGGATTTCGGGCTTAGTTCAAGGATTTCGGGGGATGGTTTAGGGCTCGCGGTTTTAGGGTTTAGTGTTTGAATGTGCAGGGTGTGTGTGTGTGTGTGTGTTTTCTTTTTTTAGGGGGTGGGGGTGGCTGAAGGTTTAAGGTTTAGTGTATACATGTTTAAGGAAGTTGTTCTGGTAGGTTCAGGGTTTGGGTGTATGAGTGACTGAGTGTTTGGTGGGTGAAACGTCCGAGTGTCTGTTGTTTTTTGAAAACACATGCATACCTATGTACGTACATACATACTATATATATATATATATATATATATATACACATGCATACACATATAAACACAGGCACATACACATATACATAGTTTTGAATGTATCTTTTTACGCGTTTCTTCTGCATACAGTCGTCCGGGCTACCTATATGGTAGATACTTACGCCATAAAGTACTTTGGCACTTACATAGGAGCCCCTCGAAGGCTTAAGTATATACTTTCTATATGTACGCTCGCGGCTAGATCAGGACATGAATGAAGTGTCGTGTCGAGGATATGGAGTGAGGTTTCCCAGGCTGGACAGAATTCAGGGACAGGATTGCTCGTGGCCGGTAGTCAGACATCCTGAGTTTCTGCTTGTCGCGAAGGACTGCTTAAATTTTGTCGTTTTGGCCGGGATCCATGTCGAGTTTGTCTCCGCCTGCTGCAACAACGCTTTTAGGATCTGACGAACCGCAGGCCTTCTGGTCACAATGGGAGCCGGGGTTGCCGCTGTAAAAGCACATAGGCATGCACGCATGGCATTGAACTGACCACAAAAAGGATTTCCATCATGTATTCTCTGCTCGCCTAGGCACAAGAATCCAGAAACGTAGAGGAACTGATGGAGGTGGGTCCGAGGGTTTGAGACGGTTTGAGAAGCATTGGCATGGCCTCGGTTTTCATCAGAACGGAGCTGCTGGTTATGTCCCTTGTGTCAGGCCCTCAAGTTTGCACAGGATTTGGAGGAGGCGGGCGCAAAGAATTTGGTGCTGCAGGGTCAAAGCCGCAGAAAGCCTGTGACAGGAAGAGCTGGAACCGTATGAGGAGGTGGCTTTTTCGTTGGCGCTCATGTGTCATTGTTGTGCAGTGGCATGTCGCAGCGCAATGTCCTTTCGTACCTGTTTGACCCCAGAGGAAAGCAGCACATCCTCAAACCTGCTACTCCTTCAGGCCCTCCTGGAGTTGCGCCAGAAACAAGCCCGAGTTGAACTGGCGAAGGCTTTTCACAAACCCGTCAAGCCAGTCAGCTACTCTGAAGACTGTCCAGTGCACCCGGAAGGCAATTGAGCAGAGGGACATAGCCGCAGCCGTCTCAATTTGCTCGGTGCAGCTGTTGTTCTGCTTGGTTCTGCTGCATCTTACATGGTCACTAAGGCTTTGAAAGAAGCCTTGAGGTTGGCAGAGCAGGATCCTCAGAAAGGTCGGCATGCACCAGATAGATCCAGCTTCGAAACTCACGTGGCAGCAAATCGAACCACGCTGCTTCACTGGAACTGCGTGCGTTTCATGGGCTGTTTCACAGGCCGTCCGTTCTACCTCCGTCATCTACTTAAGTCGCCATGCCACCCATGTCATCGCAACGAGTCGTTGGAAGGGAAACTTCCCCCAAGTGAGATGCAGATCTGGTAGTGGCCACAGAGCATACTGACGTTCAGTGCTTGCGATGCTAGGCATGGTATTCCGAGAAGCGACCCTTGCAGATTCTCCATGTTCCCTACGTGCTTGAAATTTCCGCGTGCTTGCAAACATCGCCAAAAATCGTCAAGAATCGCCCCCAGAGGTCAGTTGAGGACATGGAGGACTCGGAAGAAGCAGCAGAAGGACATCGAGTTCTTGCCGAGGAGCTGGTGCTGCAGGCCTTTGATGTCTCATCTTCCTTGCTACTCCGTGCCATGCCCGGTAGAAGCTCGGAATTATCGAGTAAGAGTCTGGAAAGTCGCCGCCTATCGAAAACGGATAGACCCCTATCCGGATAGGGGTCTATCTGACATAGACCCCTGCCTCCACCTGCCTACCCATTAGGCCATAGACCCCTATCGATAGGAGTCTACGGGAATCGGATAGGTACCTATGACTAGGGGTGTACCACATATAAAAGGGGTCGAAACATCCCTCTATACATAGGGGTCTATGGCTGGGGGATAGACCCCTATAAGGCGCATAGACCCCTATGGTTTTGCGATAGAGGTCTATGCGCCTGCCCCTCCCTGCATATTGCCTTAGCTTTCAAGCGCCTGCAGCCATTATAAGGGAGCGAGTGCAGGAAGCAAGGAATCAAATGCATACGCACAAACAACTGCGCAGTGAAACTCACAGGAACGGCTCGTTCTGCAGTCGGTCCGTCGGTCGATACGCGAGCACGCCGTTCTGTCAGTCAGTCGGGCGGTCGGTCGGTCGGTTGACCTGCGCCGAGCGCCATGCAGACAGTCAGTCGGACAGTCGGTCAATCGGTCTGCCACTTTTTGAGATATATGAAGGGCCGGCAACCGTTCTCGCCAAATGTGGGGGCATGTTTAAGAAAGATGATGAACCGGCATCCAGTGAGGGGGCGTGCTTAAAATATACGATGACCAGGTATCGCCAAACGAGGGGGTGTGTTTAAGATATGTGGTGAGCCGTTATCGCCAAATCAAGGGGCATGTTCAAGAGATATGATGAACCGGAATCACCAAGTAAGGAGGCGGCGTGTTTAAGATAAATGGCGTTCCGGAATCGCCACATGAGGGGGCGCATTTAGGGGCCGTGTTTAATTTATGATGAATCGATATCATTAGCAAAACATGCGAATGTAGCGAGCGATAGTGCCAATGCACACTCACAAGCAGCTGCGCAACGAGGTCAAATGTCAATTCATTCGAAGGGTTTGTTCTGCGCTTGGAAAGGGCAAAGAAGTAGGGTTTGTGGAAGAACCGTTCAAGGGTTTGGGTATCAGGGTTCGGAACCCTGCTTCAGCAAACCCTACTTCCTTCACATTCCAAGCGCGCGCAGAACAAACCGTTCGAATGAATTGACCTTTGACCTCGTTGCTCAGTTGCTTGTGAGTTTGCATTGACACCATCGCTCGCTACATTCGCATGCTTTGTTACACCGTTTTGAACCCTGATTCGGCAAACCCTACTTCCTTAAACTCCAATCGCCGAACAAACCGTTCGAATGAATTGACGTATGACCTCGTTGCTCAGTCGCTTGTGACTGTGCATGGACACCAGCGCCGCTACATTCGCATGCTCTGCTACTATAGTGGTTGCATTAGATGGAGGCTCCTAGCTGCGAGAAAGCCGTGCACGAAAGCTAGTAGGTCGTGGCTACTGCACAAGTCAAAAGTGTTTCAAACAGGACAAGGAAAGGCGTAGGGGCCTATGGCTTGAGATATAGGGCCAATCGCGATCGGGATAGGGGGCTATGGAAAATCGATAGGGGCCTATGCTTCATAGTCGGCTAGCCTAAGTAGAGCTATGCAAATGGGTAGGGGTCCGTGGATGCTTTGGGAGGTAGGCGGAATAGGGGGCTATGGAAAAACGATAGGGGTCTGTATTGGGGTCTATCGACGCCTATGGTAGGCGGCTACTTACCAGACCCATCTTCGAATTATCCGGGTTCATCACTATTGACGTATGTACTTGGAAGGGTCTAACTCCCAGCGAACTACACATCAACCAGAGTCTGCGCTTGGGATTTGGCAAATCGGGGCCGGACGTGGCATGCATGTGAACCTCATCCGATTGAGCGTCTGCAAAGATCAACCGATCAAGCAGAGCCGCGCATGGTACGTAATCAACAGTTGGATTCGTGAGCTCGGATCGGAACCAGCTGTGGGGGTGTTCGATCGCAGATTTCGGAAATCAATGCTCGGTACGTAGATCTCGTGAGTTGGGCCAGCAGTGAACAAGCTCATGCCAAAAGCGCATCACTGTCTGCGAGGTTTCGTCAGGTTTGGAATTTTTCCACAACAGATGTAAAAATGCGGTTGCACTCGGGATTAGGGTCTCATTGACGTGTCTTTTCTCTCTTGATGTGTACTTCCCTGATTCAGCATCCACGCTGAGGTGATCTTTGCGTTCATGCACCGATCTGCCTTAACACCCTGCCGAGTGATTCTGTTTACCCCCTAGCATTTATCATTACTTCCAGGTCTTTGTGAGAATCTTTCTGTTGTATTGGTGTCTGGCTGGTGGTGACTGCATGTTGCACTTGATTTTGTTCTGCTCCTGCTTGTAACGCTCTTGTTTGGTTGTCATTTATGCAAGCCCACGACTTTCTAGTACCAGATATTTCTGATTGTATACGTTGTGCTAGTCACATTAGGTATTGTTGTTTGGTACTCCTATCACCTTGAGGACTACACACTCGCACCAACCCTCTTTTCGAACTACTGGCACGAGGCTCCAGGTCTGCAACTGTTACGATTGCAGAGCAGGGCAGAAGACTTCTATCTATCTATCTACCTACCTGCCTATGTATCTTTCTGTCTATCCGTCTATCTGCCTGTCTATCTATTTATCTGCGTATCTATTTGTTTATCGACCAATCTATCTATCTGTCTATCGCTCTGTCTGTCCGTTTGTCGTCGGTCTGTCTGTCTTTGTCTGTCTTTAGTATCCTTACTAGCACTTGTGGTTTCTTTTGTTCTTAGTCCGGGAGTCGTCATTGTTGTTGCACATGAGTCATGTTCATAGGTCGTGGCTACAGAGGCTTGCTCCTGTGATCCCATGTTCGGGTTGTTGTGATGATGACAAGTTCTTGTGATGTCATGAATGTGTTGTTCCAGTGGTCATTGCATCTGTATCATTAGAAAGACCACAGCTGTTTGTACTTTGGTAACTCTTGCTCATGACAGCGTTGATGACGGTTCATGCTGCGGCTGCTGGTTTCAATTCGAAGTTCTTTTCGACTTTCTCCGGTTGCTAACATTCGGGTGCGTGCTTCCTGTCGACAGGCTTTGACTGGACAAGTGGCCGCCCACAAGCTACGAGCAGCTGTGGAAGTGGGGTGCCTGAGGAGTTGAACGGTCCGGTGAAACTCCCTGTTTGGAAAACGTACCTCCGAGGAAGCTTTAGAGTGGTCTCCTGATTTCGATCGACTGGAGGGCTGCAGCCCGAGCGATGTATGCCGGTGTGGGGAGGTCAATTCGATTCATGTGTTGCAGGTGCGAAGAAGATTCTCGCAAAGGAAGAGAAGCAAGATGCTGCACGAGCTGCGATGCAAGGCATCAACATGTCTGAACACGCTTTGAGCAGTTCCTCTATGTCAAGAGACTGAAGAACAGGCGCTCTAATGTCCAGAGATGCGACAGAGCTCGCCGCTGCCATAAGGCTGGAAGACGTGCCAATAGTTTGTTTTTCGTCGGGGTGTGATCCTTTTTATGTTCATTGCCAGGCACGGCAGAGAGGCCGGACTGGAGGCAGTGATTCCACTGCTGCCAGTGTTAAATGTCTTTGACGTTGCAATTTTGTTCGAGCATTGTCAGTGCTATTCTCTCGGATGAGATTCGCGTAGCTTTCGGATCTTCGGGAGCTCTGAGAGACACCCGCAATGTGGATTCGGGGTTTTCAGGACACTAGAACACAGTCCTGGATTCCGCACTGTCGGCATCGTGGCATTAGACGATACAAGGTTCGACTTCGGGGTGTTTTTTGTCCAATGCCAGGCCTAGAATCTAGAAATGAGAGGACTGAACGATTCACATCGGTTGTAGAAAGTCGCCTGACATATGTTTGGTGTGGGAGCATGCACCATGCTCAGCACTTCGCTTTTACTTGCATACACCTCCAACATCGTCATCTTCTCCTTGTCTTTCCAGTGTGGCATATGCTTTCAAAGAGTAGCAACGTAGTGAGTGTTCACCTGCTTAGCTATGCCATTAACTTCGGCTCCAGTTGTTCATCGGAAGCTCTGTGCTTGTCGGTTTCGGTCAGGATTGGGAAATGAGACGTGTTGCGCCGGTCTCAGCACTGAAAAGCAATGGGAGCAAGCTGGTTCGTCCAAAGCGGAACACTGTCCGGCAAGGAAAAAGCACTTGATGCCATCCGGCGTGACCTCATCGATGATTCTTCCCGCTAGCGGAGCTTTGGAAGCTCACTTCTGTGAGGCGCTGTAGAGCGCTGTCGAGGCTCCTCCGTAGTGAGGGCAGCCTCAGTTAACGACTCGAGTTTCACAAGCCTCGGTGGGCTTCATACGGTGCCTGGTGTGCGCACTTGCACCGCTTAGAATGTCTGCCTGCGAAAAGTCTCTTGACACCATAAGATCTCCGTTCTTGCTTCGGTGACTCTGCAGTGCTGGCGGCCTGGACAAACCTCCAAGAGTGAGGCAACAAGCTGGTTTGTGGCAGCATTTTGGCCTCAGAACCTTGAGACTTTAGACGGAGCTCTCCCTCCAAGCGAAATGGGTGGAAGTGGAAGCAAGGTCGCGCACCGAGGATGGCGAGAGCATCAATGTCAATACCGTTCAAGGCTAGATGACATGATCTGTGGGCAGGTTACTTGGAAGCACAATGTTCCATCTCCAGCAGATTCATCGCTGAAGAGCGTTATGTCCGAACCGCTGGATGAGCTCCGGCCTCTGCCGGCTCTGCCGCATACTGGCTCCATGCCAATGTCCTAATGTGGCCAGATTTTTTGATTGCAGTGCTACCAAGGGTCAAGTTCTCTGACGAAGCCTTTTGGTCCCTGCGTCCTGTTTGCCGCAGTGGCTGAAACCCAGCATGATACTGCACACTACATGGTACAGCCCCCTGAGAAGATGTGTTCCAAGAGAAATCTTGAGCCTACAAGCAGAACTGCACACGTAGTCGCCAGGAAGCATCTTGGAGCCTTGAAGCGAGAGCCCCTGCCAGTGCAGCATTCCCAGACTCGATACGTAGCTGACATGTCGGCACTGCCGTGGCACTGCATCAGGCCTTTGTTTGCTAAAGCACTCGGTGTGCACGTGGCCAAGCACGAGGTTACTGTCAGTCTCCCGGTATCTGCAGTACCTGCAGGAACCTGAAGTTGATTCGAGACGGAGTAGACAGCTATCTTTGCAAGGATAGAGACGATGGGACCTTCTTGGTCACAACAACTATTGGTGGATACTATGGTGGCGAGTGCTGTCCTCAGTAAGTTTGGGTCCAGCTAAGGCTTTTGTGAGCATAGACTCGTTGTTTCCGGTGTTGAACAGCGCAATGCATACTTAGTAGAATCGGTCTTCCTGCTGTGACGACAGATTATGCAGGGTGGTTTTGTTCATCATGCAGAAACTTGCCTGCAGGGTGGACGTGAATTTTGTTCACAGCTACGATCCAGACACGAACACTTGGGTCGCCTCCCAAGCTCTGCTATGTGTTGTGGTGCCAGAGTCATCAGCCTGACAACTGAGATGCAGAAATGCGATCGAGACCCCGGTCTCCAGAAAGTCAGCAATGCCGTGGGATTTCGGCGCCATACTCGGATCAATGTCTTTCCCGCTGTTGTTTTCTCTGTGTGACCCGCGCGCGTACACAAGTATGCACTTGGAGATAGGTCTCGATTGAAACGGGCTACACTCGTGTCTGCAAAGTCGCGGGATTCGGAGGGGGTGCGGAGTCATGCGATCTTGTGTAAGGCTTCACGAGTCTCCACGCACCGTTCCGGCCTCGATAAACGACACGACATGCGTTTTAGGTAAAGGGTTTATCAGTGCTCTCAGCTCTTTGCATCATGTTGTGCCATGCCACGCTTCCATCCTGGTTCCGCAGATTGAAATGTGGGCTGTGAACGAGCCAGCACGCAACTCTGGTGTCGAGGCAGGGCAGCAGAAACCCCAGCTGAAGTGCCAAAATTCGCTCTGCAGCAGGTGGTAGCCGGCCTCAAGGGATCCGTAGGCCTGTCTGACTTGGGTGAAGCTTGCACACTCTGGGTCTCTCAGCATTACTCTTGCCGGCAGGCGCAGCGATCTATTCGCTTTCTGAGAAGGAAGTGGATGTTGATGCCAAGGCGGTTTGTCCATAGTCTCTCCTGATGGTAGTTGCTCGACATGCCGATTCCCGGTCGCGGAAGTGGTGCCACATGGAGATTTCGCATGCCCTATCGTGCATTCTGCCTCCGGCTATTCTTGCCGTAGTCGCACCTTTCTTCCGCCACTGTTAACAGCTGTTAACAGGCGGACCAACCATCCAAGGACGGATCTGGCAGATGTCCCCAGTACTTACAGCATTTTTTGCGTTTGTCCAGCCTGGCCAGAGTGCTAGGCAAGCTGGTAGCACAATCCGGGCCACTTGATGAGTACATCAAGAGTACGGATCTCAGTCGGAATCAGGCTAGACAGGTGCCCCGCAGTTCAGCTCAGCTCGCCACCCCAGGCCCTGCGCAGTTCCTTGAGACTGCCTTTCAAGCTGTGAAGGAGGGCAAGGTCCTCCGCCCTGTCCGGGCTGCTGCCCCTGCGATCACGCTCACAACTTGTCCAAAGCCAGGGTGTGCCCGGAATCGCTGGCTGCTTACATTGGGGCATTCGTGCGTGTCATTGAACCTCGCACCGCCACCGCAGCCCCTTCGAGGTGGAATTTGCCGTCATCGAAGAGAACTCAAGCGGTGTCAAGACCAAGGACCTTGCACGGAACATTGGAACGAGGGCTGGGACATTCATGCGGTGTCTGGTGGGTGGATTGTGAAAATGAAGCCGAACGGCAGCATGAAGCAGGAAGTCATTGACACCGACGGAAATGGCACGCTGAAGGTCCCTCCTGCAGCAAAGTTGCAGAGGGCCGCTGTGCAGATCGCTAAGGTCAACTACATGCACCATGTTTTTGACATCGGATCCGGCACGGCTGCCTCAACGACGTACAAGGAGCTCAGCATCCGTACCACAGCTGTTCGGCACCCGAAGTAGAACGAGGATGAAACCTACACCACGGCATTGAGCGCTTGGCACACGAAGGCTGCTGTGATGCTGTGACATCCCTAGGCTTGGTGAGTCCAGATTTCGACTGGTGCCAGGTGCACTCAGGACCTTTGATCATCGAAATGTTCAACGAGTGCGCTCCTTCATCCGACTACATCGGTGTTGGCAGTATTTGCTGATTGCCTCTTGCATCTCTGGCGGCAGGTCATTCCCTGTACGCCACGCTGGTGAGGACGTGGTCAGAAACCTCGCGCCGCAGGCGGAATGCCTGCTCTTGAGATGGGTTCCGTGAAATCCTTTCTGCCAGAACATAGGGCATCCACAGCATGCGGGAATGTCAGCTGGATGCCATAGGGCGTCGGACATCCGGGCAGGTGGAGCAGGTACTTGCTAAGGCAGTGGAGGAGACGGCGGCAAGTGGCTAAGGCTTGGAAGTGAGCTGTTCTTGGAGATATGCTTATTGTGAGCTTTGGCTTGTTGAGTGGAGGCTGCCCCGAGTGATTCACCAGATCGTTTGACGTTGAAATTTCGAGAAGCGGGTACAGTTTTTCGTCCCCGGTAGGTCTGGCTCTCGCAGATAAGTGTGGGAGCCACTGAAGTTTTGAAGGGGGAGGGAATTTTGTCCGCAGGTGATGAACAGGAGCCTCGTTGCTTCATGTTGAAGGTTAAAGCCCCGCTCCCCTGTTCTGAGACCGAGTCGCTTCGCCGATTCGGACCAGGCTCAGGTCTCCTTCAAGGCCTTTCGAAGGAACCCCTCCATTCAATCCATGATTCTGTGCTCGATCTTTCGATTTTTGATGCCGGAAGGGCTTCTTCTAGAAATGCCCTGTTGGAGGATGGACATGTAGCCGAAAGAGCTGCAGCAAGTCCAGTTCTGGATCCGACAGAAATTATGCTGGGCCTGGGTATGAGCCATGGTAGAGCACTCAAAGGCCAGAGTAGTACATGTCCGACTTCGAGACTCTGAAACTTCTGGGCTCGAGAATTGAAACATCAGAACCTTGCTTCTGATACCAGGTTTCCCACAAGCTTCTTAGATGGCATTGACTCATGTTGCCGGTGGTTATCAGAGGAGAACCCTGCAGTGCAGCCAAGTTGGCGCACCATTCTCCACACAGCCGAGTCACCTATTTCTCATGTGGCCAAACCTCATCTGTCAAGCCGGTTCTGGCTCTGCTGGCAGCATCGGGTGCGCAGCTGAAGTCCGGGAGGCGACGTTTCGCCAGACTCCAGGCACTTCCTGGTGTGGAGGCTGCGGAACTTGCAGAGCTCCGAGCAGCTGAGCTGCCTTCTCGAAAGCTTGTCGTCATATCAGGGTCTCCGGAATGGACAGAACGCATGGGGAGAGATGTTCTTCGCATCATGGAAGCAGAGGCCCTTTCCAGTTGCGGTCGCAAGCTGAGGGCACTTGTGGCCCAGGATTTCAGGGCGGACAAACCGCCACCGATCTCCGAGTGGATGGGCCAAGAGATCGATGCAGCGTTGCTCTCTGTTCAAAGACTGAACTTTATTGACACCTTTGGTGCGGTTTGTGGAGCTCTTCGTGGTGGAGGCGTGCTTGTCCTTTGCACACCCGAACTCGAGGATTGGAAGGCTTCTAGTGCTGGAAGGCAGTGGTGCAGGGAGATCGAGGCCTTGCGTCGGAAATCAGATTCTTCATCCTTTACGTGCTTTCTCAGCCAGCAGACTTCAGAAGCAGAGGCATCTAGCCTGGATCTGAAATCTGTAATGCCAGTCTGGCGACGGAGCGACCAGCCCGATATAGTTGCAACAGTCGATCAGCAACGCACCGTCGAAGCCGTGATGCAAACCAGCAGTGCCAGCCCACTGCTGATTTCAGGCAGGCGCGGTCGTGGGAAGTCTGCAGCCCTCGGGCTGGCGGCCACCGTTCTGCTGCGGCGAGGCTGTGAGAAGATCCTTGTGACTGCGCCATCGCGAGAATCCACAAAGCAGCTTTTTGATTCCGCCGAGCGCGCCGCCCGAGCTGTCCCCACGGACCTACGAGTCGCTCGCCCAGGTCCTGGATGCCTGGAAGTTGGACAGGTAGGATGCTTGAGATATGTTACAATTGGCGAGCTGCTTGGGAGCAAAGGCCAGGATCTTCTGCGCAGCTGCCAGTACCTCTTCGTGGATGAGGCAGCTGGAATTCCTGTTGCAGAGGCCAAGCGACTACTGATGAGGACCAGGCGTGTGGTCATGGCAACAACTCTGGATGGCTACGAGGGGAGCGGCCAAGGATTCCTTCTGCGTGCACTGCCTGCACTTCGAGAGACCAAGCGAGACCTACGCCACCTTCAACTGACGGCACCTCTGCGGTGGAGATCTGGCCCGAAGCCCAATTGCAGCCTGCCACGTGCCGCCAGCCTCGGCCTTCGGATGTGGTTGAAGGTAGCAGATTTAATGCCTGCAGGCACATGGCTCAAATTCGCAGTCGCATCATCCGAGCCAACTTGTCATAAGAAGTGCGACATACTCTAATAGGGGTTGAGTCAGCGAAGGACAAGACAAAGCCACAACAGGACACTGAAGGGATTTGGCGTCAGAGCTTGCAAGATCAACGTAGAATGGGGAATCTCACAGGCAGGCCGTGAGGAACGTCATGCATTCCACGGCTTGTTTGCATGATTTGCGGTCTGGGCCGCAGGTAGAAGTGCTTCAACAGATGGAATTTCCCTTGAAGAGATAGAGAAGCACAACACGAAGGCACAAGACAGAGCTCCAAATGTGCGTTGTGGCTGCATTTCGCTGTTGAACAGGATGATGCCTGGATGGTTTTGTTCGGGGAAGTGCTGGATGTTACGAAGTTTCTTCCGATTCATCCTGGCGGCGACTTGGTCCCGATTCAGGTTGAACTGCAATCACTAATCACGGTTGGATCCCACCTCCGCTTCATGCAAAGTGCTTCAAAGCGAGAAGTGCAGAACTCATGTTTCTGCATGTCTCCTCGGCACGCGCCCGCAGAGATGCACGCCGGGAGACTTTCAAAACACCAGTGCTCTGTGTGGCGCTGCGCTCGGAGGTGAGGATGCTATCGACATGCGCCCCGCTGACGGTGGCTGTGGCTGGCTGCTGGTAAGCATGTTCATGTTCGCACAAATGTCAGGTACCTGGGGCGAGATGCCACAGAAGCCTGGGTGGAGATTCACACACCAGAAACCCTTGAAAGGATCTTCTGCCGCAAGCAGCGCCTTATGATTGGGCCACCTTGCCCTGGGCTGCACGGCAGAGTCTGAAAACTGATGAAGGAACCTGCACCACATCACCAAAGTCGGGAAGTTGCAGGCAGTTCCCTGGTGTGCCTTTCTCTCGCGACCTGCTTTGAAGCTGCCAGGAGCGTGGCGGACTGATTTCCTGGCTGTTTAATCGACTGACCGCGAGCCGCGGAGCTCCCAGTTCCGCTTGCTGCTGCGAAGCACCGGCAGCCTGCAAAGCTGAGGTCCGAGTCAGTCGGAGCCAGGGCCTCGGAGCGTCGGCCCCGACCGTGCGGGTGGGTCTCCGGCATCCTCCGGCCAAGGACAGCTGCGGCGGCGCCCGCGCAGCAAGAGGAGGAGGACGACAGAGGCATCTTGCCGCCTTTCGCTCTGGGTGATGCAGTATGGTAAGCCTGGTAAACGAGACCGCGCAGGCCTCCAGTTCACACCACAGTTTGAAGAGGAGGGTCCGTCGACTTTTACGGGTGCTACGGGCGTTCATCCATCGATGTTTGACGTTGTCGGAAGGAGCTGAAGGCCACGAACGGCGTCTTTACCCTCGAATCCTTGCAGCGCTGGAACGGAGTCCAGTGGCGTGGCAGCTTTTCGCTTGGACCACTGACACACCAGACATGGCCCTTCGAGATCGAAGGTTGCCCATGCTCATCAGCATATGCGGAGTGGTGGTGGATGCAGCTCGGCCACGTTCCGTGCAAGTCTGGAGCTCCTTCATGCATGACCAGTGGCCGGCCATCTTCAGGTATCTCCAAGTGAGAACTTCATTCCGACCTTCGGATATGGAAAGCTGTGGGCTGGAAAGGACGGGGACCTACCCTGGCAAAGCGGCAACAACTTTAGCTCAACCTTCATGCTATGATGTGCAGACAGGATTGCACATGGGCCATGGCGACAGCTGCTCGCATGCATTCGGATATTGTGTTAGACTGGAAAGACAGCTAAGCTTTTCTATCACCTGCACGCTTGGAGGTCTCCCTAAAGGCAGAGGATGCCAATCGCTTCGACTGGAAGGTGCAGGAGATTGGCTGCGGATGCTTTCGCTTACAGAGTGAACACCAGCCAGGAAAAGAGATAACAAACAGCAGTATTGGCAGGGTGCCAGTGCATGGCTACAGGGGTCAGGCCGCTAGGCATCGAGGCATTCTGAGCACGCAGTACAGGCTTTCTGCTTTCCGGGACACACTGGGTCACTGTGATAAAAAGGAAGCCAAAGGATCAGAACCCTCAGCCTTTTGCGACATGTGCATCTTACACCGACGATCGTGAAACTCTCGCACATATTTCACTGGCAGGGCATGGCACACCTGGTGGGACGCACGCACGCACACACGCACGCATGCACGCACGCAGGCAGGCAGGCACGCAGGCAGGCACGCAGGCAGGCAGGCAGGCACGCAGGCAGGCAGGCACGCAGGCAGGCACGCAGGCAGGCACGCAGGCAGGCACGCAGGCAGGCAGGCACGCAGACACGCAGGCACACAGGCACACGCAGGCATACGCAGGCATACGCAGGCATACGCAGGCATACGCAGGCAGGCACGCAGGCAGGGGGGCAGGCAGGCAAGCAGACAAGCAAGCACACACGCATGCAAGGAAGCTTGCGCGCACGCAAGCATGCACGCAAGCCAGCCAGCAAGTCAGCAAGCAGGCAGGCCGGCAGGCAAACAAGCAAGCAAGACAGAAACGTCCTTCTTCCACATTTGCTTCTGTCACAGGAGCTTGAGGACATGCACTTCAAGTCTCTCGCCGGCTGGTACGGTCATTTCACTAACAAATACCGGCAGGCTAGCGTGAGGGCAAGTTCATTTTCCCATCAGAGCCTCTTAGCCTGTGTTCTTTATGTTCTTTGCAAGCAGCTTGATGACTGCATTCTAGCAGGTGGGCATTCTGGAAGAGCTGAAGGACTGGGACTTTGCCGCTGTCAAAGCAGAAGCGAAGGCAGGGTCGTTTCTCCAAGCCGTTGCATCACGGTTTGGAGCAAGTTCTCCTCCTGGAAGGTCAACGTCAAGTGAAAGGCGTTGCTCAGATGTTGCACACGTGGCGATACGTGGTTTCACTTTCTTGCACAGCTCCCTTTTCCCGCCATAAGGCATCTTGCTGTGTTCTGGTCCCGTCCGACTTGAAGTCCTGACTAGTCGAGTGCAAGGTATAAAGAGTAATTGAAAATTTATGAGTCCTGACAGTTACCCATCCATGCAGGAGTCCAGGAGTACGAGTCAAATGGGTCTCGATTTGGTCCATCCAGTTGGCAGCAGACTCCAGTAGAGTTGATGCTGCCGTCCTGAGTCCTTTTGCCAAAAAAACCTTTGACTACAGCAACAAAGCATGCAATGTCGGCAAATAGCACCGATCACAAGCAAATCGCTGAGCTATGGATCATCGCATTGTCCTCTGAGGCTGTCCTCTGGAGCACTTGTCCAACACATTGCTGATGTTGAATGTCGCACGCTTGGTCCCTCTCGGCACTTGAGCAGCTTACTCTGACAGGACGATGAAAGTTTGTGATGATTTTTGCCGCTCGATCGCCGCACACCTGCTCTTGCGTCCCAGCAGAGGCGTTGGAAGCCAAATATAGAAGTTCTAGTGCCAACGTGGCCAACTTGTCTATGCCCACGTAACCTCAGAACCAAGCGATCCAGCACATACTTAATCACAGACATCAGCCTTGGAGCCAAACCTGCTGAATACATGCGCGTTCATGTCGGATGCCTTCGGCAACAGCACGGCAGGAGCCCTCTGCCCGCAAGGGGGCCCGCACCTGCATGGATGGCCGCATCTGTACTAGAGGAGTCATCTTCCGATCCACGCATTCCGGAGTAGCACGGAGGCAGCTCTAGGATTGTTTGCAGACTTCGGGAGTAATGTATCTTCGTTTGAGCTTGAATTGCAGGGTGGTGCCACCACGACCACGAGGCTCGATTCTGAATGCTTTGGGCAGTGAGCTGCTTCGTCTTCGTCTACAGGCTTGAGAAATCGTCGTAGTCAGACCACTAGAACAGAGAACAGAAGAGCGCGACAATTCCAGCGAGGTAAGCTTCCTCACCATCTCTCGACCGTTGACCTGTATCTTGAGGCGAAGCTCCGGATGGTGGTTGGCGTACTTGCCACAGGGTGAAATTGAAAGCAGAGAGAGCATGGCAGATGGCCAGCCTCTGAACTTAGGCAGACCGCGTCACCGATTTACCATCGAGGGAGTCGCATCCAGAACTCAAGGCCTCGCAACTGGCAGCAAGTGGAAGCCTAGCTGCTCGAAAGCTGGGGGTTGGGTTGCTGCTGTTTTCGAACGTGAATTTGGGGATGCGCTGCTTTCTGTTTCGGATGCTCCAGGAGCCGAGGCGGGCCGGGCTGGGTGGGGGAGCCGGGGAGCCCTGGAGCCGAGCCACACTGCGCACTGTGGTGGGCCCACTCCGTGTCGCTGTCGCAGGCCTTTCCTGGCGCCAGGCGCAGAGCGGTGCAGATCATCGCAGAGCGGTGCTTTCACGCAGTGTCGGAAGCCCCTTCTGGGCAGGCGGCAAACGTGGTACAGACAGATCTCTGACAGGCGGCAGCAGGCGGCTGCAGCGGTGTAGTGAGTACCAGCTATCCGCTCAGAAATGCTGAGTTGAAGGGAAGCAACTCCGCGCTGCCTCAGCGTGCAAACAGCCTCGCGCTGACCCAAGTGGACAGGGAGTTATGTTGTCGACCCGCACTGTGAACCACACAGTCCAGCACACCGCCGTGCTGCACTCAGGATCCGAATGAGCATGCGAACCCGCCGTGCAGTCTGAGCTGCTGTGCTGTACGGATGAAGTTGGTTCAAGCATTCATCGACTTGATCTAAGCAGCCCGCAGCAGTTTGCACAGTCGCTTGGCAGTTTAAGGTATCGTGCCTGGAGGCCCGGTGCTCAATCGCTGTCACCGAAGAAGCTTCTGTTGACTTCAGATTGTCTTGTAAGGCAGCTCCTTCCTGAAGGGAAGCTTCAGTGGCTCTGCACAGCATGGAACTCGTCTGCCATCAAAGGAGGAGCTTGGGCCCTGTTTCTTCCAGTGACCTCACAACATGTCCTCTCTTTCACTCGCCTGCCGAGGCCACCAAGTCGGAACAGGAGCATTGGTGGATCGCAGGCCCCAAGTGAGCGGCGAAGACCTTGTGCCCTTGATGCCCCGTGTAGATGCGGTGGACTCGGCAGAGATCGCCTGGTACATCTGGTGAGCAATGGACACACTGGAATGGTCTTCTTCCCGACGTTCCGGGTATCCCTACGACAAGCCAGCAACTGAGAATCGGCAAAGCGTTCGTAAGACCGTGCGTTTCTCTGTCAGCAGGCCATGCGGCCCAGGAGATGTGCCTAGCTCAGCCATTTTTGCTTCTTGCCTTGCGAATGGCTTTTGACTCTAGCGGGACTGCTGTTGAGGCCCGCACGAGATGGCAGCACCATTCATATTCCTCCAGAGCTTCTGTCAGGCCTCGTGCTGCACACCTTACAGAAATGGACGTCCGGAGCAATGTGACGCATTAACATCAGGTGAGCAGGATGCAGAATCCATGATTTCCAGTGCCAGCCGCTGGGATGCAACGTTAGATTCAAGCCAGGCGTAAGCGGTGATCATGATCGCGGCCACCCAGGCTTCGTGGCATTCGCCGAGGCACTGGTTGAGAACTGTGGCTCACTCGTGAGGGCCAGGAGCTTGGAGTCGATGGAGCCGGATCGTAGATTCATTCATTGCGAGCATGGAGCCAGCCAAGGCCTTCAACTTCTTCGACTACAACCACACGGGCAAGGCTGCGTGCTTGTGCAGTACAAGATGAAGCATAGTACCCTGGCTTCTGCACATCGTCTCCATGCAGACATCTTGATGTGACTCGGTCCCACTTTTGCGATCTCTTCATGGAAGATGATAGTTGCATCTAGTGTTTTTCGTTTGCAAATGCATGCTGTCGTTGTACTCGTATCATCTTCGGGCAGGTCACCCGCACCCAGTGGGATGCAGGAATCTCCTCCTTGCACATTGACCTTCAGGCGGAGCGTTCTCGAAAGCGGAGGTCTACAATTCAATGTCGCGGTGCACAGGCTTTGTGTGGGGTGTCGACCAAGCAGGCGCCACTCGCAGAAGTTGGTGCCGTCTTTCAGAAAGCTGAGACTGGTCGTTCACGGAAGCAACCTGCGTCATGGAACTGCATGGTTTTATTTTTTGACTTCCGGTGGAGTGGGATGACTGTGCTCGAGTGAGTGATGTTACCCTTCAGAAGACAGGTCTATAAGATGATGGACTGCATTCGCGGACACGGCAAAGGCGAAGTCCAGCTTGATAAGTACATGCCTGAGGAATAATACGGTGTTGCTTTGTAGTCTCGATATCGGTTTCAAGACTGTGGGCCAGGGTCTCCTCGCAAAGGTGGATCGCCTTCTTCGAACAGCAGCTGACGCCCCTGCACGCGCATCTGCTCGACGAAGACCGCGGTGACATGTCCTGGCCTTGGAGCTTGGAGCCTGCGGCCATCGGAGTTGCTTTCTTCGGCTTCGGATCCTTCAAGGCGAAATCGGCGCTGGAGCCAATCCAGCCAAACAAGCCAGAGCAGCCGCGGACGTCGTGGCACGGCTTACTCGGCTATGGCCCGCGACAGCAAACCCTGCACAAGCCAAGGTCCCAGTTTCAGCAACCGAGCTAGCGAGGAGGTTCGAGCAGGCACGGGTTGACTTGCTGGTTTTTCTTTGACATCGCCTTTAGCTGCTCTGGCCGGCGGCGATGGGAATCTTTAAGGCTCCCTGCCCCAGCCCCCTTGATCAACTTGCCCACGAAGAGGACTGTTACTGGTCCCTCGGGCTCACATGACTCGGGTGGATTTTGGTTCCTCGTGCCGGACAGGTTTCCGAAACATGCGCAAATCCGGGCACTCGGACACAGAAACGCGCACACAGGTCGCTGAACACTCCGCCCATCTCCGCCCTGTGAAGGTAAGCCGTCAGCAGAACTTGAGTAGAGTCTTTCAGTGACATCAACCAGCTCCTGCCTAAATAGATGGCAAAGCTTGGTCAAATTTCATGTCTGACTCAGATGTCCGTCCGTCCGGTCATAGCGCGACACTAGTGCGTTTATGTACGAGGCTTTCCCTCCAATGTTCGGATTACAAATGATAGCAGGCCTTGCCCAGCATCCCAACCAGCCGCTCATTCGACCCCCCCGTCGCAACGGTCCCAGTCCTCAATGACAGTCTGCAACTCCGTTGCCGGTAGCTCGCACGATCGTCATCCTGCTTTTCTGTTGCAGGCCTTAACTTAGTGACGTTGCTGGATTCGCTTTGAAATCGTCCACGCTTACCTTGGCTGACTGCGATGGCACTGTCCAAACTTGGATGGTTGCTGAACCATCTGTATAACCATGATACACAACATGCACCACATGCTTTCGAAGAGGTGACTTGCGCATTGAACAGACGCGAAGTGTTCCCTGTGCCGGGCATGATTTGCAAAAACTCCGAAAACGGGCCTTCACCACACCACTACCCACACCAGTCGCCAAGCATATTGTACATCTGCTGTCAGGACGCGCTTCCAGCAAATCCGCAAGGAGTGCCAGCAAGCGCAGTGGCGCTGCAGCAGAAACCGCTCCGGTTGCATCTTGGGCTGCATTGCAAGACAATCGCGCAATTGTCTCCTTTCCTGTGTTTTGCTCTCTACTTAGGACTATGCAGCAACAGAGGCAGGTGGTGTTACGGTTGCAGTCGTCATCCATGTGTGGACGGGACGTTGTGATGCAAGCCATCCAACTTTCCGATCATTTCCTTCACGACAGAACGGCACAGGTGGCATGAGCAAGACTCCATTTTGCAGAATACGATCGGCGTACTGTTCACCACCCTATTTTAGGGTTTGGGGTGTGGCAGCCATCACTTTGCCAAGTTTAGTTGCAATGTTGAAACTGTCAGGGTCTCGTGTGGGATTGTCAGATGACCAGCCAGAGTGGAGTGTGTCGAGGGCTGGCCGTGGCTGGTTTCAGGGTTAAGGCACGACACACCTTCAGGCTCTTGCGACTTTTGGGATGTACCGTGCATGTCAGCAAAGCTCGGAATGCCTGCAGGTTTCATCCGGACAAGATGTCGAAAGGAAGCCGGTATCTGGCAGCACGCTGAGACTTCGTCTGCTGCTCGTGACTAGAGCTGCTGGGATTGCGGGCATGTGCAGTTGGAAAAGGTGCCTCAGGCACTGCGAATCCCGCGAGCGAGAATCAGCGAGACTGCGAAGAAGGTGCCCGGAAAGGGTGTCAGGATGCAACTTTCCTGTTTGGCTTCCTGTCGTGCAGGAAGCGCTTCCAGCAAATCTGCAAGAAGTGCCAGCAAGCGCAGTGGCGCTGCAGCAGAAACCGCTCCGGTTGCATCTTGGGCTGCATTGCAAGACAATCGCGCAATTGTCTCCTTTTCTGTGTTTTGCTCTCTACTTAGGACTCTGCAGCAACAGAGGCAGGTGGTGTTACGGTTGCAGTCGTCATCCATGTGTGGACGGGACGTTGTGATGCAAGCCATCCAACTTTCCGATCATTTCCTTCACGACAGAACGGCACAGGTGGCATGAGCAAGACTCCACTTTGCAGAATACGATCGGCGTACTGTTCACCACCCTATTTTAGGGTTTGGGGTGTGGCAGCCACCACTTGGCCAAGTTTAGTTGCAATGTTGAAAATGTCAGGGTCTCGTGTGGGATTGTCAGATGACCAGCCAGAGTGGAGTGTGTCGAGGGCTGGCCGTGGCTGGTTTCGGGGTTAAGGCACGACACACCTTCAGGCTCTTGCGGCTTTTGGGATGTACCGTGCATGTCAGCAAAGCCCGGAATGCCTGCAGGTTTCATCCGGACAAGATGTCGAAAGGAAGCCGGTATCTGGCAGCACGCTGAGACTTCGTCTGCTGCTCGTGACTAGAGCTGCTGGGATTGCGGGCATGTGCAGTTGGAAAAGGTGCCTCAGGCACTGCGAATAACGCGAGCGAGAATCAGCGAGACTGCGAAGAAGGTGCCCGGAAAGGATGTCAGGATGCAACTTTCCTGTTTGGCTTCCTGTCGTGCAGGAAGCGCTTCCAGCAAATCTGCAAGAAGTGCCAGCAAGCGCAGTGGCGCTGCAGCAGAAACCGCTCCGGTTGCATCTTGGGCTGCATTGCAAGACAATCGCGCAATTGTCTCCTTTTCTGTGTTTTGCTCTCTACTTAGGACTATGCAGCAACAGAGGCAGGTGGTGTTACGGTTGCAGTCGTCATCCATGTGTGGACGGGACGTTGTGATGCAAGCCATCCAACTTTCCGATCATTTCCTTCACGACAGAACGGCACAGGTGGCATGAGCAAGACTCCACTTTGCAGAATACGATCGGCGTACTGTTCACCACCCTATTTTAGGGTTTGGGGTGTGGCAGCCACCACTTGGCCAAGTTTAGTTGCAATGTTGAAAATGTCAGGGTCTCGTGTGGGATTGTCAGATGACCAGCCAGAGTGGAGTGTGTCGAGGGCTGGCCGTGGCTGGTTTCAGGGTTAAGGCACGACACACCTTCAGGCTCTTGCGGCTTTTGGGATGTACCGTGCATGTCAGCAAAGCCCGGAATGCCTGCAGGTTTCATCTGGACAAGATGTCGAAAGGAAGCCGGTATCTGGCAGCACGCTGAGACTTCGTCTGCTGCTCGTGACTAGAGCTGCTGGGATTGCGGGCATGTGCAGTTGGAAAAGGTGCCTCAGGCACTGCGAATAACGCGAGCGAGAATCAGCGAGACTGCGAAGAAGGTGCCCGGAAAGGGTGTCAGGATGCAACTTTCCTGTTTGGCTTCCTGTCGTGCAGGAAGCGCTTCCAGCAAATCCGCAAGGAGTGCCAGCAAGTGCAGTGGCGCTGTGCAGTTGCAGGTGGTACTATGTGTTGCGAGCAGTGTTGCTGATTCCGGCTTAATGTGTTGAAGGAGGGCCATGGGTTTCGAACTTGTTTTTGACAGGTTCCAGATTGCGATTCGCCAGCAGAGGCTGCATCTTGGACAGCATTTTGGGGAAAAGGGTATTTCAAATTAGGGTTTGGGGGGTCTAGGGTTGTGCAAGGGTTGGGATTCATCTATGATTTAGAGTTCAGGGGGGCTCAAGGTTTGGAGGGTTTTCTGGCTTTGGGTTTGGCAGTGGTCCACCACCACTAACCCCCAAGCCGCACACCATGTAAGCCAATATCGGAGTAATCAAAATGCCTCTAAACCCTCAACTCCAAAAGATGGCTTACCGAAGCGGGAGTACACTTAACCATCAACCCGCCGGAAACCCCATCACAGCCGGGGTTGGCCGCTTCAAAAGCGGATTTTGTCAGATATGGATGATCAATCATCTCAGGATGCCACTGAATGCGCTGATACCTTTTTGAGCCGGTCTTCCAACCAGGCCCCCTTCGTGGTCTCTGGCGTCTGTGCGCTTCAAGCTACGGGGCTCTAAGTTCAGGAGTGCGGATCGGCGGGGGCTGCATGGGATCCGGTGCCAGTTGCTCAACATTGCTCAACCGACCGCAAACTGCAAAGCCCGAGCTGAAGTAACGACATGCCTGGTAGCTCCGAGTCGGCAACACACGCTCTCTGCATTTCAAACTTGCAGCTTTGTTATCATTCTACCATGTTCTGGATCATGCAGACAAGAAGCAAGCTGGACATGACAGCCATGGACACAGAAAAAGATGCTGCCCCTTTGGGGGCACCTTGGAATCTGCGAGGGCAGATTGGAGTACAGAGTCACTTCTTTGCATGAGATCGTAAAAAGTATAATCTTTCATCTAGGGATGTGTTCTGCCTCTTCTGCCAAGGAGAGCTGCTCACCATCCTTTGGTCTGAGCCGAGATTCAGGAGTCATTGAGTTTTTTGCATGTTGTGCAAGCAAGCTCCTTGACGGTTCGCTGTTTGGGTCCTGCAGAACCCTGATGCTGGCGCTTTGGCTCTCTGATTTTGGAAGCTCGATTCATCGCCCGGCAGCTGGCCCGCAACGGGTTCGTTTGCGCTTGTCTTGTGAAGATGCTTTTGATGTTGCCTCCGAACGCAGGTGATCACCTTCTTTTTCCTGCAGCTAGGTGCGACAGTGATGGATATTGGCTACTTGAGCTTCTTTATGGGAACTGCCTCTATGATCCTGTCACCTATTTATGGCTGGATGGTGGACTCTCGCGGAGCGCTGAAGCCGCTTCTGCTGTCGGCGCTTTCCTGCGGATTTGGCTGCCTCATTAGAGCCATCGCCAGCACACCTGTCCACTTGATTACAGCGCAACTTTTCATGGGTATTGGTGGAAGTTGCCAGTGGAGCATGGTAAAGGGCTACATCGCATCAGAGCTCCCGCACAGCAAGCGTGCGCTGCTCGTTGTGGGACTACGTGCCCAAATGACCTTATTGACGTTGGGGAGCTTCCTCTATCCTGCACTCGACTCGGGATTGCAACTGTTGGGATTTGCGGATAAGCTTCTGCGTTACAGGGCTGAGGTTGGAACCTGCGCGTTCTTCTGCTGGATCGGGATTGTGATTCTCATGGCAGGCTGCTCCAATGCGGGCAGACAGTCAGATCCAAAGCCACAAAGACATGTTGAGCAAAGGGTAAGTCGATGTAGCTTTGACTTCCTTGTCGCAGCTGGCACTTTGAGTTTAGTCTCCTGCTGTCAATCAGCTTGCCGGACCTTGTGGCCCATTTACATTAAGTTTCATTTCGGTTGGGAGGCGAGATCTTTCGCTTTCTTATCTTCAACCAACACGCTGCTTTTCAGCATAGCCTTGGCAATGTACCCGAGCTGGACGCAGAGGATGTCACAGCGGCAGGTACTACAAGGCCTGGCATGGCTGTCACTCCTCACCTTGTTTGGATTTTGCGTTGGTGCAAGGCAGCAGTCTCTGGGGCTGCCACACTTATTGCATGTTTTTCTCGGAGTGCCTTCCTTGGTTTTCGTTGGTGTCTTGACATCTGGTATAGAGATTGCTGCATCGCTATGCGTCCCAGCTGATGCACAGGGCTGGGCCATGGGATTCCTAAACTCGGCACAGGCAGCAGGTGGGGTTGCCGGAAGTTTGCTGGGCCCGGCTCTGTGGACCATCTCCACTGGCGAAACAGCGGAAGTGTCTGCACCCTCATTGTTTGGAGTATTGCTTTCAGAGGGACGGCTCCCCTTCGTCGTCACCGCGGCAGCGCTGTTGCTGTGCGTGATGCTGCTGCAATGTCCACTCTGGCAGCGGGCGGAGCAGACCAAGCACCCTGGGAACAGCACCACTGTTGACATGGTTCCCATCGGATGTGCAACTGAGGACTTCGTTTTGGATGATCCTGAAAATGTGAAAGGCCATCGGCAAGCCAACGAAGATGAGAACTTGCCGTTGAACGAGGAGAATTCTAAAGTGTTCTAGTGGCAGGCGGCTGAAATCCAGCGTGCCCTTGCCTCGACCTGTACATAGAGATCTGCGAAAGCTAGGGCTTCGCCTTGGGCTGTCCGAGCCCGGCCTTGCCCCCGGAAAACGAGAAAGGCACCGGCTTTAGCTTTGCTCCAACTCTAAGCTTTGCAGGTCATCGACACGGCAGAGACGGAGATGGTCCCAGGAAGACCAGAGCCAGACGAGCCATGCGAGTCAGCCATGCTAGCAGTCAGGAAAGAAGGCGACGATCCTGGAGCGAAGCACAGCGAGGTAGAGGAGGAGGAGGCGCTTCCCGTTGGGGTCGTCGTTCAACCCCCTTTGCAGGAGACTGATGCGACGGGTGTCTCGCAAGAGCTTCTGAAAGCCTTGGCAGCACCAACATCCGAGCTTGACCTTTACGAGCTAAGCAGCGCAGACATGGAAGCAGTGCTCCAACAAGATGAGCTCAATCAGGACTTAAAGAGACTGAACCTGGCTGGTATTGAAGCGCTTGCCTACGTTTTGATGCTCAAGCACGGATCGCTGAAGCGTGCATTCAACTGGTTTGACACCCACCGGAAGGGCAAGTTTAGCCATGTGGTGTGGTCCACAGGCATGGTTCTCCTCAGGATAGATCTGGAGACCCTCACAGGCATGAAGCCTGCACAGGTTTTCCACCTCATGGACGGGAATCCAGTAAACGGTTTTGTCTCGAGGAAGGAGTGGAACCATTTCTTCGAAGCTCTTGAAGAGGGTCGGCTCTTGGAGTTGCTCGAAAGAGTTGCCAAAGAGCAGGGTACTATTACGCAGCGGGTGAAGAGCCGCACCGAGAAGCTGGAAGCAGAACGGCCGATCCGCCAAGCGAAGCCTTCCGAGCAGCCGGGGCCGAACGAGCGCAGACGCTCGAGGCGACTTTCTGTTCCTGTGGTTACTCAGCTCGTACACAGCACGGAAAGATCTGCTGATGATGATGCCAGCTGCAAGGAAGAGGAGGACCGTTTCCGCAAGAGAGCACAGCGTGCTCTGGGTACCTTAGCCGTCGGAGATGCCTTGACTTATGCCAATGACACCTTCACCAAGTGGCAGACCGACGACCACAAAGAAAGTGTCTTGTCTCGTGGAGCAGGGCAATCGTTGCTGTCGGAGCACCTCCTCCCTGAAGAGAAATGTGATATAATCGAGGACACGTATTTAGTTCCATTGCAGTCGTGTGGTTGTGGACCATACTAATACCCGTGAAAGGAGATCGCCGATGAGATGGGGTTGTGGGTCCCGTCGTATGAGTCTCTGCAGCATGACAAGCGCCAAGTTTCAGGAATCCGAATTTCGCAATTTCCAGGAATCCGGATTTCAGATGGCCTTTCCTGACATGTGTGCAAACAGTTGTGCAAATTCTTTATGCACGTGAATGGTGGCAGGCACCTCATCCATACTATACCTGTAAGCGAATCGGAAAGCCAACACTCAGGATGTTTTACACTTCATTACACTTCAATGCTGTAGTAAATCCTGCGTTGCGATCGACAGAGTATTCGGCTCAGGAGAGCGACGCGGCGTCCAAGTCGAAGGCACGCTCCTTCTCCTAGATGCGTGTCACTGTCCGCAGTTTCAGTTTCTCTTGAATGCTTTGGCTTGAGCCCCTCAGCCTTGAGGCTGATCTGGGACGCTCCGGCACGGTGGCGCTAAACCCTGGAGCCCGAGGAGACACTGCGGCCATAGTCGCTCCGGCCTCAGCCCCCCTTGGCTCGTCAAGATGTTCTACGACTCTTCGAGTCCGGTAGCATGTAGAACCATGCTGAGCGAGACTGACTGATAAGCGCGCAGGCTCTTGAAGGCCATGCAAACCCACCCACAAGTTCCTGCCAGCTCTGAACCTTGAAATTCTGATCCTTCGTCAGACTCGGTGTTCCACACTCTGCAAACAACGGCCTTTCAATTTTCATGACTGACTCGATCCAAGATTAGCCCTGAGCGCCCTACTGGTGTTCGCTGTAGCTTGTAGGTGTGCCACCTGCGCAATTTCGCCGACGAAGCCGGCGACAAGCTCAAGAAGGTCAAGGTTGGAAGTGCAGTCAAAAGAAATTGCTTGGGACTGTCTCGCCAAAGCACCACGTAATCATTGTAATCAAGATCTCTGACAAGGGAACTCACGGCCGCCTGGAGTTTCCGCAGTCTCTAAAGCGGACGCAACGCTTCGTCACAGCCGAAGCTGCTGAAATGATGGGAGGTGGTGGCATGGGAGTTTCTTCATTGCTCAAGAACTTTGTGCTGAGGTCGTTCATGCGCTTGCTGCAGAGCTGGATCTCATAACTCTGTCAGAGGCAATGGATCTGATGCAATGTCACTCATAGCTTTCACTGTTTGGCTTGTTTGCAACCTGCACATGCGGTGCGAGGGCTTTGGTCGCGAGCGACGAATCGTTGCTTACGACCTGGGAGACTTTGCACAGAACCTCCGCAGGCTTGGTGCTTTTGCAAAGTTTGGAAGAGCTGCGTGAGTTGCAATTTTTCTTGGGTTTGGATTCGCAGGATATTTCTGGACATTGGGCCAGGGGAGTCCAAGGCCAATAGTAACATCGTGGCAGATCGGGGCAGATCGGTTTCGACTTTGCAGGCCTTGTCGGAGAATCTCTCTGCTGCGCAGCGACAGCTGGTGCCGTCAGAGCTCATGGCATCTCTCCGAGCCCTCAAAGTCAGAGAGAGGTGCACACCATGGCCCTGGAGATGGGTCTTTCGGCCAGGGTCTCGACTCTGGCGGGACGCCAAGAAGGGTACTTGTGCTTGCATCCAGTAAGGTCAGTGGAAACGGCAATTCGGGATTGCAGGCTCGTCTGCAGCACGGCAACCTCCCATGCGATTCTGGCAACCTAGCAGCTCTAGCAGGTTTGCAATCTGCAGCAGTTCAAGGCGGAGGCAGCTCCGACAGATGTCAGTGAGTTGCACCACCCCTCTGCAACTCCCGGTGTACGCCAGCTACCAGTAACGCGACATGCCGGAAGAGTGACAGGCTTTTCTGTAATTAGCAGTATGTCGGTCGCTGGCTCTGTTGGGCCCGCCATGGCCCCCAGTTCGCTCGAGGTGCAGGATCAGCTCGCGCGCCTCGCGGGCGGAGAGGCGGACAGTGAGCGGTCTCTGCCGAGCTGCCCCCAGATCTGCCCAGTGCCCCCCGGAAGGTGATCGACTTCGGCACGACTCTGTCTGAGCAGGAGATTTTCTGGGGAAACGGAAGCTGTTGACTCTTGGAGAGTCGGGACCTTCAAGAGAGCCGCCCAAGCAGGAGAAACAAGAACACACGACAAACAATGAGATAAGTTCACAGGGATGAGCGAGTAGCACGGCTCCGGCTTCTGCGAACTGATGCCAGGAGAGCGACTGCAGAACCTTATCCGAAGGGATTTCATCACGATTCGCAGGGCACTGCGGGAGTTCAAGTAAAGACCTGACTTGGATTTTGAACCTAGACCCAGACCAGAGTCTACAGACGTTTTTCGCCTGCGACCTCTGCCCATGCTCATGTCCTCTAAAAGAACAGGGATGGGAAGCAAGACGCGTGCCAACCAGTACAGACCACACCAGTGGGCCATCGGGACAGAGAACTTAGGGCTCATGGCAGGTCTAAGGCATCGTGAGACTCTGCAGGAGAGGCAGGTCGTTCACGAGACCTCGGCAGCTCTTGGATTAACGACGGAAACGCAAGGCCAGTATGAGCCCACTGCCACGATACTCCCCTCGCAGTCTTGTTCAATGCTTTGCAGGCCGAGCGCGACTGCTGAAGGTGGCAAATCTGCGGGAGTTCCTCGCGGCTGCGCAAGCCAAAATGCAGGTGCGAAGGTGAATGCGATCACGGGTGTTTTGCAAGATTCAGACTTTCGTTAATGTGCAGGCTCTCAAGGACCCGAAGGAGAGACTTACTCTCGGACCACCGCTTACACCCATGCAGCTTTCGGTGGCGTGCTTACTGCTTTTTGAACCCCTCCAATAAATCTGTGGGAGAAGCGCTCTACGTCCTACGAGGCGTTGGAGGACATGGCTTCCGAAGCGGGCTTGCACTTCGCAAGGCAGATCATTCGTTTTAGCTTCTGACATGCAGCCTTTGTGGATGTGAGTGTGAGGAGAACATCTGATGGGGTGACGCTGGTCGTGTCGAAGTCGGAGATCCCACCGCCTGGAGACGTGGATGTCACGGATCCAGCTGCGGATGCGAGGCTGCCGCAATAGCCCTTCACTCATCAGTGCTGCAAGTTTGAGTGTTGCAGGTCCGTGACCGCTGCGCCGACTCGGCCTCCCGGCGTGCACAAGGACGGCCTGCAGTCAGAGCATATGCGATTCTGCTTGGCGGTGACGAGCGCATTACGTACCGTGTTTGTCCTTGCAAGCCAGGTGCATGAGAAAAGACATGCCGCTGACGATTGCATTGACCCAGCACCGCCAGAGAGAGACTCTCAGGCGGGCCTGTCATGATCCGACAAATTGCACAGTGCAGAGACAAGTTCGGCGAATAGCAGCCAAGACAGTAAGACCCAAAGGGCCAAAAGGCATTGAAGAGGCGCTCTGGAAAGTGTTGGGATGGGGGCTAGCGTCAGCTGACAGGTGTCGCTGATAACAGAGGTCTTCGAGGCACGTTGCATCAAATTAATGTCGAATCCATGCGATGTGTTGTCTGTACAGCTGCATTCACAGAAGATTCACTTGGACAGAGGTGTACTCTACCGGCCATCATCGCGGACAGCGAACCTTCCTGCGCTTCTCAGACTTGCGAGAATTTGCAGAGGAGCTTCGTGAATAGCAGGCTTGGTAAGCACTGACAGAGTGGCTTCTCCAGGACTTGAGGGAGGTCCTGCCTGAGGTGCGCAAGAACTTTCACAAGTTCACAGGCCGGTGCCACCCTGTGACTCTAGCCAACCCCGTCTTTGTTGTGGACGCAGGCGAGCTTGAGAACATCTACGATGACACCCAGCAGCTGCAGTGTGACCTGGGCATGTGGATTCATCCAGCCACGCAGAAAGCCTAAGCCCTAAGCTCACAAAAGCTAGGCATCCTAACCGCAAGGTGACATGGGCGACCACTCCTCTAAAGGTCGGAGGCCAAGCATTGGTCGAGCACTGTTGGAAAGTAGGGCGAACCCACTTTGAAGACATCCACGTTCTTCCGAGAGATGTCGCCCAGGACTCACGCTGCGCTTCTTTCAGGTCTTCGTTCAGAAGGTGATTCGAAGGCTCTTTGCACGTCGTGGAGGTGTCCAGGTGCTCACTGTCCCTGGGCAGGCTAGGCCCGAGCATCGTTGGCGCCCTCGGTGCGTTGGTCGACGGGCGCGACCGCTTTTAGTCGGATTTTGAAGTGAAGCCTGTGGCTCTCTTTAGGAGAGCCGCAGGCTTCCCCGCCTCAGATTTCTTAAATGCTGAGCCGTGGCCAGGGTGCCCTCCCCACAAGCAGGAGGTGCATTGGTGGCCAGTGACAGCTTAATGTAAGTGAGCCCACTCGTGAGGGCTATGCAAATGTAGTATTTGGTAGGAACGGAACTTGCCTCCTGAAGGGAGGGAGGTCTGGATGGAGATTAAGGACGGGTTCTTGTCATGCCGCATCTGCAGCATGTTCCGGCTCTGTGTGGTGTCAAATGTGAGCACTGCATCTCCACGAGTTGGCACACCTGGGACGGGTCTGGATGTGATTTTGTCTTGTGCATCCTTGACTCCATGATAAGGCACAGCCGGCTCCCCCAGCCGAAGTCGCAGGCTTGGACAGCATGCTCAACACGTCACATGCACCCGAACTTGTGGCTCGAGAGGAGCGTCGTCAGAAACGGTCTCCTTCGAACACCTGCAAAAGGATTTTGCCGAGGCATCCATCCCGCTTGTTGCCGCGTTTGGCATCCTTCGGCAGCAGCTTTGCAGGACGACTGGCAACTGGGGCAAGTCTTTGGCCTGCTTCGTTGCAGTCACTACAAGCGGAGCCCCAAGCTCCTCGTCAACAGACGGGGGTGACGATCCCTCAGATGTTGTCTCCGAGGACGAAGCCGTCTGATTTGCGTTGCTTCCTCGAGACACCGAACGTTCGCCGCTTGGACGGATTCGAGATTCGAGAGCCGCTTTGAGACCTGGCCGGAGCAGCGAGCAGCAGTGGGTCGGGGCTCAGACCGCGTACTTGCACCGGTGACTGGATCTCAGGCTGGTATGTTCTGCGCCACAACTCGCATGTCGTCGGTTTGGGTATCGTCGGCATCGAAGAACCCATTCTCGACGCACGCACTGCTAAAGTGCGGTGACCCAGTTGACGCGGCGGTGGGTCGTGTTTCCATAGGGTGCTCAAGATGCCAAGTCTCGAGGCTGTCTACCTTCGGCAGATGAAGGTGCCGCCTCAACTGATGGCACAGACCATTGCCTCCGAGGTGGGTACACGGGCGTGTCCGATGCAGACTGGGCACGGTAGTCTTGCCTCAGGCTGGCTTCAGCGAAGCAGGAGGCTATCGTTTTGCGCGTGTTCTGGTCTGAGTCTGCGTCAAGAAGCACACTATTTGGCAGTTTCCAACGAGAATCTGGAGAAAAGTAGATCTGCAGGTCATGCGGCTTTGCGTTCATCCTGCGCTTGCCACAGCTGGCAAAAGCTCTTTGGCTGCTTGGGCTTGGGCCTCTGAGAGAAGTCCCAGGCTGCGCAGCGACGGGGCCTGGGAAGCCATCTGCTTCGACAGATGATGCAGGAGCTCCGTGAAGAGGCTTGAGCCGACCTGCTGCTTCAAAGCATGTGCATAGAAAATGTCTTCACGTCTCAGTCTCTGACAGGATGTTGATGCTGTGGGGGCCATGTTCGGACTGACACCTTGGTTGTTGCAGCTGTGGATGCGGGAGCAGACAAGGCAGGCAGATGCGAGACCGCGTTTGGTCTTGATTCCTTTGCTCACCTGATGACTTGCATGCTAGGCTGGTTTGGGTGGCTCACGGAAGTGACCCCAGTAGTGGCCACCACAGTGTCCCGTGGTTGCACCGAGGATTGCCTCACTGCTTGTTTTGCAGTTCAGAACTGGAGGCCACTGTTCTGTCCGCCGTCAGCAGCCGGTGTGGAGATCTCATCGATCGACTCCAGGCCACAAACTAAGTAACGCTGGCTTGAAAGCCGCAGAGCAAAGATGGGCAATGGATACAGTGGCAGTTGCAGGCACGCTTGGCCTTGCAGCTTCCGGATCTGCTCCGTGACCCATTGCGTGAGTTGGACGCAAACACGTCCCTTGCCAAGTTTGCATGATTTGACCCGCAACTTCTGCCGAATGGCCGTCGGCGTAGGATCGTGCACATAGCGACAGATTATGCAGACATCTTTTGCCTCATACGAGCTTGTGATACTGTAGCGTCACCGATCGAGCAACTTCGCAAGTCACCTTCAGTCACCAGTCTGCCCTGTATTTTCTGGCCTTGATGTCTCCCGATCTTTACGCGCTCCGCAAGTGAACCGCTGAGCTTTGCGATCTGCGCAAATCTTCACTTCCAGGCTTTCTGGGATTCTCGCTGCTTTGCCGGCTTCCTCGGGGAAGGATGCCCAGGCGAGCACTCCAAAAGCCTTCTGGCAATGCGGGGATCCGCGGAGCTGTGCGCAGGATCTGGCGGATGTTCGGAGCTATGCCTGGGGATCGCCGGACTCACGAGAGGGGTCTTCGGAGAAAGTCTTTCCGCCCTCTGTGTTCTCTTGACACCGAGGCGCAACCTGTCCTGCTGCCGCTATGCCCTTGTGAGGAGGGAAGCGGGGAAGCGCTGGCGGTTCTGAATGTTCCACGTTGCCACCCGCTGCAGCCCGCTCTTAGCAGGGCAAGCCTCGATGGCCTCCGATCTTCCAGGACGGGGCTTGAAGTTCGCGCCCGAGCGACGACCTGCAAGCCTAGCCTCTTTTGTGCAGAGGCTTTCGGAGCGCTACAGCCGGGTTCTAATGGACATGCTTGGCACCCAGGGGATCACAAGTCTTAGGGCAGCCTCATCCATGTGGCCATTGCTGTCAGGCTTCAGGGCCGCGAGGTCAATGAGTCCATCCTGCGGCAGGTGGGCGGAGGGGTGGCCGACCAACGTCGCAAAGCCTGACGCGGTGGACAGTCGAGCCAGTTCTTCGCGTCAGGCTGTTCGCCAGCTGCCTTGGTTGACCTCAGACTTGGCTGAGAGAAAGGATGGCGGTGGGAAAAACACGGCTGACAACGAACTTGCGAAGGTAGTGCGTGCTAGCTCCATCCATTCCACAGCCATCGTTGAGTCTGAGTCTCTGTTTTTCGGTCAGCCTTATGTCCAGGGCAGAAACCTGGTAGTTTTTGGTTCTAGATTTCTGAAGTACAGGCCCAACCGAATGAGCTCAGCGCACAAGCTTTCAGACAACCTAGCTAGCGTACGCAGGCAGCAGCCCTTCGGGCGGGCCACGTTAACACTCTTACCCCTAAGGACACCATGGCGTGATGATGATGATGATGAGGATGAGTGAGGATGTGGGTGACAATGATGACAATCATGATTCCGGTGATGACGCCGATCCGGTTGAGGCTTGGGGGAACGACGGGGAACTGCCGCAGCATTCGAAGTATGTTGAGGCTTCTTCTTTATCTGACGTGAGAGCACACATGCTTGGATCCCCGATGTCCACATTCCATGTGCTTCTAATCTGAAGAGCACACATGCTCGAACCCCTAACGACGCCAATGTACGCATCGCATCCAGTGGCGAGAGTGTTCCCAAGCGAGTCCCAAACTTGTGATACGCTCTTGCTTGATTCCATCTCTGGTGGCGTGGCCAGCACATGCGATTCAATACTCCTGCCACACGTTGCTCCACTGCTGCACCCTGCCAGGGGTTTTCTGTTGAAGCGAATGTTGACTGCAAAGGTAAACCCATCGCCAACTGTGATGAAACCCAACTGCATGACACAATCTAGGTTTTAAGCCTCTGCTCTTGCAAGCATTTCATTTTGGGAGTCGGCGACAAAGTCGGCGGCCTAAAATCGGGCGCTCGCTGCCCTGTATGGTCTTAGCTTGGCTCAGCCGAAGGAGGGAGTTTCTGCGAAGCAAAAGCCACGACCGCCTGTGCCGCCGACCCGCCGCCGACCCTGCTTCATCGGACCTTCGTTTCTCCATCGGGCCGCGCGGGCCCTCGCCCGGAGGCTTCTCGGAACGCGCACGCGTTTTGCAACCATTCCCCACGGTATGGCAGGTTTCGGGGCCTCCGTGGACGATCCCAGGAGGCCAGCCGGCGAGCATCATGAGCACTCGGGCGCCCGCAACCGGCCTTTTGGCCGGAGGCGATGTTTTGGCTATGCTTTGCCAGTTTTTGAATTGGTTTAGGAAGCCCCAAAGGGGCGCGCATCATGAGCATCAGCGGGGTTCGGCGGAGGGCGGGTGCGGGCTGCCGACGAGGGCTGAGAGGGCAAGGGGAGGGGAAAACACAAGGGCGGGTGCGTGGCCTAGCTTCGGGCTTCTACCTGCGCTGCCCGCACCTGGGCGGAGCCCCTAGAATATTGGAACCCACCTGCACCGGTTTTATGACAGCTGCTGCAAGCACCGGGAGCTGCAGACAGACCTGCTGCTTGTTGCCTCACTTGCGAGCTGCAGACAACCTATATCTCGAAGCTGATATCCCACGACGCGGATAGGGTACATCGTGCTTTCTGTTTTTCTGCCGCAGCTTCTCAATATTTGTGTGCCGTACCTGCCCTTCGACGAGTCTACTTTTCTAAGCGATGCTCGGCTTGTTTGAAGAAGGCTGCATTCGATCTTGAGGGTTCTGGTACCTGCAGCATTCCGTATCCAAGGAGCAGATCCTTCGCAACAGGCTCGTGGACAGTTGCCATTTCTAGATTGCCCTACATCCCATTTGAACCCGTAAGCCCTGATCCTGGCCTGATCCTTCCAGGCCTTGGCTGAGGCAGGAAGGAGAATTTCGACGACTCCGCAGGTGCACTGGTGCCCTCTCCTTTCGGCTTTCTTGACCAATGTTCGATGGCTTTGGGCCCCTGGGCAGGGCTGTAAGATTTGAAGCACAACAGCCAGCTGATTGAATGCTGCAGCCTGAGTACTTTGGCAGAACGTGTGCTGAGCATGAGAAGCGGCGTGCGTTGTTGGCAAAGGCCATCTAGCTGAAGCCAATGTCTTCGGCCATATTAGTAGATGAGGAGTCCGTGCATGGAATCGAGTTTACATTCTTTAGGAAACGGGTTCATGGTCATCTTTCAACGGCCGGCACTGCATTGCAGGAGATGGAGGACAGGCGCGAGCTGCTCCCGCGAAACTCCCCCTTCGTCGGCTCCTTGCGCCATGCACCGCAGCAGGCAGCCGCCAATAAACATTTGGGTCAGCAGCGGAAGATCCATCTCCCCCTCGAAAACACCTTACTCTGAGCTACAACAGCTCCAATACCAAAGCAAGTCCAGTACAAAACTGCTTCAGTACGAATACGCACCTCTGCCGAAGCATTCCGCTCCACTGGAGCTATCGAGACGCTGCCCATGCCGGGGAGCATCCGCAGAAGTGAGTGCTGGCTTCTTCTGGAAGACTGACATGACTTCAGATGCTGCGGGGCCAACTAGATCGGCTCCTGCGTCGGCGCGCCCCGGCTAGTCTTCCGGATGAAGGCTGTCTTTGCGGCATCGGGCGTGTAGCTGCTCTTCTCGAAACTCCGCAGACTCGGAGGCATTGATGAGATGGATGCCTCTCCAACCTCCAGCAAGGACAAAATTTGGTTGCTTTTTTGCTTGTAGTCGTAGTCGCAGAACAGCGCATGACCAGGAGGAGCCGGAGCTAAACGAAGCTGAGAACAGCAGGGACGGGAAGCTTCCATCCTCGTCGCCGTGCGCTGCCAGTTCCAGGGCTGCTGCTCGTGTCCACGCGATGCATGACTCTCGAGGTACGTGGGTTTCCAGCGACATGCACCGCCCTCCTCACCAGTTCTGTATTTCTCAGCCTTGCACCCAAAGGTTTTTGCACTGCACCAATTGCTTTGCGCTCATGCTTGTTGTTCCTGTCACATCCGGACACGGTGAGGTCAGCCCTCCACCAGCCTTGGCAGGCAAGCCGAGGGCCATTACTTCTCAGTTTCCTTAAAGACGACTTCGTGGGAAATTCCCAGAATCAGAATCGGTGCAGCATGACAGCGCAGGCCTGAAAGAGCTGGAGCTCTCGAAGGACAGTTGGATGCCAAAAGCATATGAGAGAGCTTGGAGCTTTGAACAGCTTGCTCGTGACGCTTGTGCCAGTCCGAGCATTGTGGCGGCGCAATTGACAGGGTTTTCAATTTGCAATCAAAAAACTCGGGGGGGATGGTGTGGATTGGACCTATGCACGCCACTTGCGACAATCTAGTTCGGCAGGAGTGTTTGCCTGGTGAGCTTCCAGAAGAGGCCGCACCACCTATGGCTTGCGCGCGCACGCACACAAGCACACTAGACTTGACTAGACCTCTTTCGGGCAGAAAGGTTCTAGAACGATAGCAGGCTGTCTCAAGTTTGCACGGCTGTCTTGCAGTTTGGGGCAGTTGTGCACTTCCTCCGCTCTTCACTGGGTCAGGTTTGGGTGGATGTGCTTCAGTCCGTGATTGAAGTGGACTGCTTGGCTGCTCTTTCTAGAGCCAACAGCCCAGACTTTTCACATGCAATGCAGAAGCTCAAACCAAAACAGAGCTGTGCAACGGCAGTCCAAGGTCAGCGTGGCATTCCACAAGGTATGGGTGATGCTCTTCGTGCGAACCTCTCTTCCTCTCTCATGCCCCGGACTGTGCAGGTAGTCGAGTCAGAAGATGTCTGGCGAGATCGGGCTGTCCGAGTTCCGCCGAGGTTCCAGTCAAAGAGATTTCAGAGATCTCAGATCTTCGGGGCATACGCCATACCGAAGCTGCTCTCAGTTGCCTCGCGGATTTGGCTCCCCACCTGGGCCGGTGGCCTGGCGCTCTGCTTGGGGTCGCAGAACAGTAGAAGAGCCAAGTCGCTTTCAGCAGGCTCTCTGCTTGGGGCTCTGCGGAGAAGCTGGTGCGCGCCTTTGTCGACTTCGCACTGCGGTTAGTGAATTCGCTTCGGCCTTGCAATGCACGCCGGGCAAAGGTGCTGCCACGCTCTGCTCAGCTTTTGAGCGAAGTGGCTACCAGGGCTCCAGATCTCCCGGTCGAGGACGTCTCTGATGGCCAGTGACTCTTTGAAGTCGTACAGTCTTGCCAGGTGAGCTGGCGATTCGACCAACATCTGAAAGGCGTAGGGGTGGAGGCACATGGCTGCAGACTCGTTTTCAGTGTTGGCTGACGCCCGTGTAGTCGTCTGTGCGAGCCATGCCTGAGCTTGACCTCGCGTCCCGCAGTTTCAGGTGGCTCTAGAGAAGTGTGAAGCCTGCAGATGGGTCCGGAGTAGATCGTCAACATCTAACGTTCAGGAAGCCAGTTTGCATCGCAAGTAGAACTCTGCCATAGTCGTTTCTGTTGTCTGTTGGGGAGCCATATTGTTTCTGCCCAAAGGTGGCAGCATCTTGGACGGCAGGCAGTCCTCGTCCTCCCGTGCAGTAAGACGCGACTGTTCGACGATCCGTTTGCCGTCCTCCAAGGCACGGCAGTTTGGCAGCCCCAGATGAGTGGGTCAGTGGCTTACCTCTGTTGCCTGCCTCTCGACGAGGGCTTGCACAAACAGATCGCTTGGGGATGGGCAACCGTCCCATCACGACACAGAATCTAGAATTCGCAGGGATCTTGAAACTTCGCACGTGGAAAAGAGGGGAAGTCAGCGCTGTACAGAGCTCATGCTACTCCACGTTGCGACGTAGGTCGAGTGGTGGAGAGCAGCTGCAGCAGCCAGCACCGCAGGGCAAAGGCAAGCAGCTGTCTTGTACAAGCGAATCAACAAGGGAGGCGGCTGTCCTCAGGACTTGGCATCTTTGACACCGGCAACGGGCAGCAATTGGACCTGCTAAATCACATCAAGGCAAGTCAAGCTCAACAGTCGTGCTGTGCTGGGGCAAGCAATGATTAGCTGCTACAAGCTTGCCAGGCATCCAGCACACCCGTGCAAGCTGCAACATCTTCGAGCCAAGGGGTCGGGGTCTTGCTGAAGTCCTCGGTGCATGTAACTCCTGGCCATTTTATGGAGGCTGCGGCGAAGAAGGCCAACAGAAAACCCAAGGACGTCGAATGCACAGCACAACCTAACATGCGAAGGCGAAGCGTCGCTGTCATGTACTGTCCTGTTACCTGTTCCTGACAGGAGGAGGATGATCAAAGCTACACGACAGCCACTGCCTCGGATTGACATACAGCAAATGCAATCTCCCAGTCCGTTCGTGGACATAACCTTCAGGTGATGCTGCGGCACGTGGCTCAGAATGTCCGACGAGACTGTGCTCCACATCACGCGATCTGCACCGAGGAACATTCCGAACAAGTACACAAGGCAGATGTCTTCCGCAAAATTCTCCTCTGCTGCGGGAAGACCTGATGCGACAAGCAGGCAGATGTTGGTGGATGAGCTCGACAAAGCTGGCTTCGTCGGTGATGTTGACTACTTGCGCGCAGCAGTGTGTGTTCAGAGATGTTGGGCACAGTAGGCAAGACAGTCTTCGCAAAGCACAAGAACCTTGAGTGTACCAGCAATGTTTGTGCATCATTAGTGTGCCCACAACCAACACCTAGTAACTATTTCCACTCCCAAAGTAATTCGCCGTAGTAGCACTGCTAGCAGCGGCACCAGCACCAGCACAAGGAGGAGGAGGAGCGCAGTAGCAGGAGCACTTGCACAAGCCCTAGCAGTAGCGCCAGCAGGAGCAGGTGCAGGTGCAGGAGCAGTAGCAGCACTGGCAGTAGTTGTCAGCATTGTAATGTAAGTAAATACTCACCGAGACCACTTGCTATTATTGGGGCGGCGGAAGTGCAACAGCACGCAGTACCCTAACAGAGCAGGACGCTTTTTCTCTATGTTATCCGGGTACGGTATTCCGACGGAAGCAAGTCATGAACGCCCCATCGTTGAATTGTTAATGTTCAGCTTCGTCGTTATGTCTCTATCACTATTCACCGACACTGGAGTTAGGGGCCAAAGCAGGGGCCACCCTGATAGAACTAAAGGCTCGAGCAGTTCCTTGTTGCCAGGTACTTGCCCACCGACTTCACAAACCGCTGCAACGTGGGCTATTGCTTCTGCAACTTTCGCACGGTGAGTGCAAGGCCCGCCTTGCTTTTACGCAAGTACGAACTCCATGGAATGCCTGGCAAGCCGACGTTTGCGAGGCAGAGATTTCAGCAAATGTTTGATGGCAAGCCAGCGCAGTGCAGCCCTGGGTCTACAGAGAGTGTCTGCAGCATTTGATTTGCCGGCATGCCAGCGGTGTCCATATTTGATGCCGAGGACGTGCCTGCCTGGCTTCAACAGCTACAAGGCTTGTGATTGCTGCAGGATGTGGACTCCTTTGCATTTGCGCTGGGCAGACCTGGCAGACCCACACATCTTTGCAGGTATGCCAAGTCACTCGAGCAAAGTGGCAGGGTCGGGCCGAAAACGTCAAACGATTGAAGAGCAGTCCAGAGCTAATGCTGCAGCTGGCTGCGCATCCGGTGCTTGGCTGCAAAATCATGACGGCCAGCACCATTTCCGCACCTTTCCCGCTGCAGCAGAAGCAGCACAACCACCACGACTAACGCAATCGCCGCTACCGTCTCCTACTGGTCATCCTCATCATCATCGTCATCATCATCAGCCAGCATCTCATCGGCAGGCGCACAAGCAGCATTGGCGTCAGCATTGACACCAACGCCAGCATCATAAGCATCTTGACCATCATCTCAGATCCTTATGAGCTTCCGCCGCGGCTTCGGCTAAGGAATGGCTTCCTGTTCTCATGAATGCGAACGGTGAGAAGGAGACGTTCCCCTTAGATGATGAAGCCTCCGCAGCAGCTCGCCTGACAACCACCAGAGCCTCGTACAGAAAGCCCCGTCCATCGAAGGCGTGCTTCTTGGCTGAGGCCGGACAGTCTGCGAAGCAGCGGAAGAAGCGCGCGCAAGCATCTGACAAACCGTCGGTCAGCGCCCCAGACTCCGGCTCTGTTTCGGGTCACGGACGGCAAATGAATCATAAACTTCACTCAGGCCCCTATGCCAGGATTTCCTTTTCAAGGTCACCCGTCATACGTCCCATTCTGTTGACTGCCACTGCTTCAGCCTGCCAGTTCCTTTCAGCGCCTTCCCGCAGCCAGAGGCAAGTTCTTGAATATGCTTGCAAGCGCAAGAGTTTCCTTGCAGCCGCAACTCGTTGCTCCAGGCGATGACAGTTTGGCAACAGATGGTGCTCGCTTCAGGAACCTTGTTGAAACTCCCGTTGACCCAGCCGAAGCTTGTCCTTCCGAGGCCGGGCTGAATTTGGCCACAGAGACCGGAGGCAGCGGAAACAAATAGTCCTCACGAAAAGAGAACGGATCGCATGTTGCATGGACTCCGGACAGGTGGAAGAGGGAATGGGAGAGGTCGTGGCAAGGTGGTGCCCTCGGTTATGTTCAGATGGGGGTAGGATGCGTAGTCTCGATGTGCGGTGTCCTGGCGTGGCCCTCGACCGAAGGCTGGCAGCAAAGGTCCAGCTCTGAGAGATCTGTGATGACAGAAGTTGTGGGGCATGGCGACCGGCGCCTGTGCTAGGAAAAGGACGGGGTCCTGGGAACGCAAAGTCGGTGCCGTCCTCACGCGGAAAAACCCACGGCACCTTTGTAGGAAAGCAGCCAGCCTGCGAGCTGAGGTTTCTGCAGACTCGCAAGCCCAGATGGCAAAGGCGCTCAAGTGCTCAATGTGCTTGGAAGAAGCTTGTGCCTTTGCATGCCAAGAGGCTTACGGAATGGCTGGCATGCCAATGCCCATGCCTATGATGGGAGCCTTTCCGCCGATGGTCTTTGACCAAAGCATGCTGCCCGGAGCTTTGCTCCTTATGTGCAATGGACTTCAAGCTGTGGCTTTCAGGTGCATGTGGAGGTTCAGGGTGGTAGATACCGAGCATGATGTCTGTGAGCTGTCAGGGCCATGCAGGGCTTGGAGGGCTATGATGCCACGTGCTCAGCATTGTTGAAGCCTGATCGCAGGCTTGCTGGCTCCAACTGTCGCGGAACAGGCAAATTCCTATTTGATGAACAACTTCTACCCAATGATGAGAGCCTTCCATGTTTACCAGCAGACCTCAATCAACTGCGGTGCCGGAATGGATCCGAGCTTTCAGTGCGGCATGGCAGGCCAATGGAGGCCTATGCCAACTTGGCGGCCAGCACTCAAGCCTTGGCAGGGTACTCGCAGCGTCCCCAGACGGTCAGAGCTCCACATGACACCAGCCTCAGGCATTTGTGATAGATTTGGGGCCGATGTTTTGAATCGGTCTCGCAATAGATTGTCAGCTTGAGTCGAAGCTACGCGGGTTCGAGGCCTGATGCTTTGGCTGGCTGGGGCGAAGCTTTGTCCGACCCTCGTTCACATAGGTTCTGCAGGTACCATGTTCGAATTCGCTGTGCTTGGCCTCGACTCTAGACGTTCTTCTGAGGCAAACCGGCATGCCAGATCAGGAGCAACTGCTGAGTATCCAACTTCTCGGAACTGGGATTTGATTCGAAAGTTATGTTGTCCTTCTGGGCTCGGGCTCGGAGTACAACACCAACAGCAACGAATGCACAAGGCTGATTATGCTTGCTGTCCAATGTTGACAGGAGGAGGAAGAAGACGATTGATTTGCATCGAATCACATCGATTTCATGAGTCTGACAGATGCGAGGCTGGATGCATGCCCTCAGCCGGTTCATGTCTAAAATCTTCATGGTGCAGGCCGGCTGGATGGAGTGTCGTAGAGCTGCAGGGCTGTCAGGTTGAGATGCTCTCACTGACATTGGGCTGTCTTGGAGAAAAGCTTGAAATGCTGGAAGCCACAGCCAGTCCTGCAGCGTTTGGAAGACCGTTTGAAGTTTCGGTGCAGCGTATTCGCTCCCAACTGATGCCCCGTTGGCAGCTAAAGCTTGCTGCCAGGGGTGCGGGGTCATCGCGGCTGTTTCCAGTTCCGCGTCTTGCGTTCCAAACTTGGGATGCGTTTACCAGCCGGACAGTAGTGCTTTGTCTGAAGCTCGCGTTCCGCCAGTGTGCATCACAGAAATGGCCGAAGTTTGTCCACTGCTGCTCTGAGTAGCCTGTGAGATTGTGATTTTTCTGGCTGATGCATCTCCTGAAAGGTGCTGAAGCATGGGACTGCCGTGCGTCGAGTTGCCGAGGAGGTCAGCAGCAGTAGCATGGTCATGTCCGGGTCTACTTCCGAAGGGACCATCCTCGGTTCTGGGGGAGTACCAACAGGAGCTCGTTGTGCTGGGAGACGCAGCTTTGCAACGATCACCCGGACGTTGGCCGTGCGCAGTATCAGCCAAACTGCTGCACTCCTGATAACCCAGCCGGCATCTATTGGGTGGGTAATCGAGACAGGACAGGTTGCTGAGTCTTTGGGCCTTCGTTCAATGGGCTCCCTTCTTTTCAATCTGCTTAAGAGGCCAAATGTATGGGAACTCGATGCTAAAGAGGTACTTCGAGGTTCAGCTGGACAAATGCGGCGAGGCTCAACCATCTGGATGCACGAACAGTACTGCGAGCTCCAGCCTGCTCTTGTGCAGAGATGCAAATTTGCCTTGGCATGTGGCAGGGCATTGGTGACAGCGTCAACGACTTTGGTTTCGGAGTCACTGCCTGTGACCCTCAGGACAGTGCTGGAGCAGTTAGGTGATTTTGTATGACAGCTGCATGTGCATCAGCGAGAGCATCAGACGGGCCCCATGTGTGTTGCACACCCGACATCCTGCGAAGCACGAGGAGATTGAAGAGTTGGGGTCTGTCGCTGACGAGGCCGCTGTAAGTCGGCTCCCAAATGCATTGGCTCTGATCATGGGTGTTGAGCCCAGGTTCCGCGATCCTGGGTCGTAGATTTCACACAGTCTATGGCACAGACCCGAGTGGCTAAGCTGTGCAGCCAGAAGCATCTGAAGGAGAGGATGCTGAGCTTGTTTTCGTGATATCCGGGTTCTGCAAGGTCTGCCTCAGCATCAACAACCATGAGGCGGTTCGAACTCGGCCCTCGAGCAGTTATCATATGTTTAACTGAGCAATGCAAGATATGAGGCTGCACAGGGGAAGCGGCTCTCAGCGGCAGCTTTGAAGCAGGTATCGCTGCCTTGTGATTCGGATTAGTGTTGAAACAGAGCTCTCATGCTTTGTCAGGGGAGTTGCGTTGGAATGCTGGTCAAACCGATGTCGATTGAGGCTTGCAGTTTCGGGGGACTTTGCAAACCTCAACTTCCATTGTGTGTTGCGTCAGATCTACATCGATGGTGTGCTGCAAGAAAGCCTGCCCATGGAGGATCTGCTGGCAGACACGTGTAGTTTTGGTCTTGCACTGCTGAACTTGTTGACACTGCTTGGGGTGGGGCTTAGGAGCGGGTGCCGGACAACATCAGTCTCTTCCCCGTGCTTGACTTGCCAGATGCTTGGAACGCTTGCGGTTTGCTTGTGTGGTGGTCGGGTCACCAGACAGATCTCTTGAAGCATCCATTGCCACCAGCACTGGTCACTGGAAAGTCTGTTCCAGAGCAGATACTGGTAGCAAGAACCAGGCAGCTCTTGCAAAACAGGTATGGCCGGACGATAGAAATCTCGAAAACCGATGCTGAGGAGCAGTCGGCTGGAGAGTTGATTGCAAGTTCTTGCTTGCCAGGATTGTCAGGATGTTGCACGAATTTCAGGGACAGCTGCCGTTTAAGACCCGAAGGCTCAGATGCTTCGATGCAGGTGCTTGATAACATGCAGCCTTTCCGTATCTGGGGTCCGTAAGTCTACGCTGACACTTCAAGGCCGAAAGCCCTCCTACCACTGTCTTTCCATGTCCCAGCCGAAACCGAGATTCCAAGCCGCGAGCGGTCATGTTCAAGACTTGAATCTTCTGAAGAGAACAAGTCTCTGGCTTTTCCCGTGTCGCAGGAGCCCCGGAAGCCTCGGAAAGAGAGCGTTCGAGCAGCTTGAAAACCGACGACGTTGAAAGGTCGCGTGCGTTTAGGGCAGAGCCGGGCTTAGTGGCATCACTGAGCAAGTTTCTTCACGGGGTGCACACTGTCTTGTGGCATACCACCCTTTCGAGCAAGATGTTATAGTCTGTTAGAGTGTTCTCGCTGCCCAGTCGTGAGCGACCTATATCCTGACTGCAGCACTTGCCTGCATTGCATGCTTTTCGATGTGGCTTTACAGGCCGTTTGGAAGTCATTTAAAAGCTTTGAAGGTGCCAAGCTCCTGCTGCATTAAATTTGTTCCCATGAGACGTGCACCGTGCACATCAGCTCAATGTCTGTAGTGCTTCAGGCCTGGTCTTACTCCCGCTGAGGCGTCGGGCTGGTGGTTGGGTAATTGGACAAACTGTGAAGCACTGAAGCCACAGTCCCTGGCTGTCTTCGGCCTTACACATTCTGAACCAGTCCAGTCTTAGACTTGCACACTTTGTACGCAGCATCATTTCTAGTGATGGCCACCTTTCATCTTCGGACACATGCGGCGTGCATGTTTTTTGTGCACCTGCCGTGGCGAAGAGTCAACATCCCAACACAGCCTGACCATTGTTTCGAATCTTGTGGATGTGAGCTGTTGGAGTGCGAAGGCTGTTCCAGAGCCAGCAGCCCATGTTTCCGTTCCAGCAGCGTCAAGTTGAAGGAATGGTGAGTGGTGTCGTCAATGGACATCTGATCAGGACACACCTTACAACGTCTTGCAACTCTTCTTTTGCAGATGCTGTCATTGGTGACATTGCGCACGGGACATGCGACAGCAGCTGTTGGATGAAGTTCCCCAGCTGCACGATGGAGTTCAACCGGCTCACCGGTCTAGTCGTGTATCGGAGTGCTTGCAACAGGTGTCAAATTCGGATCCCAGCGAGGGCCAAACTAAGCCAAAAGCCGGTGGGTGCAGGGCAGCCATCGGTGCTGCCATTGTTTAAACGTACACACCAAAAAACCCACTAAGCAATGCTGTGGAGGAGAGATCGCGACCGTGCACAACAGACTTTGAAACGTGTAGCAGCATAGCCTTCATTGCTGCGGTCTGTCTTGAAGGAGAAGGCGAGAGCATCGTCACATGAACCCTGCCACAGATTTGGCCCAAGAGGGAGAAGCTATCCAAAATGGGAATGCCCGACCAGGCTTGACCAGTTCGAGTGATCGGCATTAGACTGATCGGGAGTAACGCAATGTTCAGATAATGGTTCAAACAGGTACGGCGAGTAATAACATTAGGACCACGTTGGTACTGTCGGTGACAGCTGTAGCAATGACAGGATGGATGGCGCCAGTGGCATTCTAGTAGCACTGCTGACAGTTGCAGTAACACTAGCAATGCAGTTAGGCCAGCCGGGAAAGTCAACCCAGTCCCAGTAGCAGTCACAGCAGGAGGAGGAGGAGGAGGAGGAGGAGCAGGAGCAGGAGCAGGAGCAGGAGCAGGAGCAGGAGCAGGAGGAGGAGCAGGAGCAGGAGCAGGAGCAGGAGCAGGAGCAGGAGCAGGAGCAGGAGCAGGAGCAGGAGCAGGAGCAGGAGCAGGAGCAGGAGCAGGAGCAGGGAGCAGGGAGCAGGAGCAGGAGCAGGAGCAGGAGCAGGAGCAGGAGCAGGAGGAGGAGGAGGAGGAGGAGGAGGAGGAGGAGGAGCAGGAGCAGGAGCAGGAGCAGGAGCAGGAGCAGGAGCAGGAGCAGGCGCAGGCGCAGGAGCAGGAGCAGGAGCAGGAGCAGGAGCAGGAGCAGGGCAGGAGCAGGAGGGGAGGAGGAGGAGGAGGAGGAGGAGAAGGAGAAGGAGGAGGAGGAGGAGGAGGAGCAGGATAAGGAGCAGGAGGAGGAGCTGGAGCAGGAGCAGGAGCAGGAGCAGGAGCAGGAGCAGGAGCAGGAGCAGGAGCAGGAGCAGGAGGAGGAGCAGGAGCAGGAGCAGGAGCAGGAGCAGGAGTCAGGAGCAGGAGCAGGAGCAGGAGCAGGAGCAGGAGCAGGAGCAGGAGCAGGAGCAGGAGCAGGAGCAGTAGCAGGAGCAGGAGCAGGAGCAGGAGCAGGAGCAGGAGCAGGAGCAGGCAGAGGAGCAGGAGCAGGAGCAGGAGCGGAGCAGGAGCAGGAGCAGGAGCAGGAGCAGGAGCAGCAGGAGGAGGAGGAGGAGCAGGAGGAGGAGGAGGAGGAGGAGGAGGAGCAGGAGCAGGAGCAGGAGCAGGAGCAGGAGCAGGAGCAGGAGCAGGAGCAGGAGCAGGAGCAGGAGCAGGAGCAGGAGCAGGAGCAGTCACAGCAGGAGGAGGAGGAGCAGGAGGAGGAGGAGGAGGAGGAGGACAAGCGGGAAGAGGAGAAGCAAGCAGGAGCAAGAACAGGAGCAGGAGGGAGCAGGAGCAAGAAAAGGAACAGGAGCAGCGGAGCAGCAGCCAGCAGGAGGAGGAGGAGGAGGAGAGGAGGAGCAGGAGGAGCAGCAGGAGGAGCAGGAGGAGGAGGAGCAGGATAAGGAGCAGGATAGCAGGAGCAGCAGCAGGAGCAGGAGCAGCAGGAGCAGCAGGAGCAGCAGAGCAGCAGGAGCAGCAGGAGCAGGAGCAGCAGGAGCAGCAGGAGCAGCAGGAGCAGCAGGAGCAGGAGGAGCAGGAGCAGCAGGAGCAGCAGGAGCAGCAGGAGCAGCAGGAGCAGCAGGAGCAGCAGGAGCAGCAGGAGCAGCAGGAGCAGCAGGAGCAGCAGGAGCAGCAGGAGCAGCAGAGCAGCAGGAGCAGCAGGAGCAGCAGGAGCAGCAGGAGCAGCAGGAGGCAGCAGCAGAGCAGCAGGAGCAGGAGCAGCAGGAGCAGCAGGAGCAGCAGGAGCAGCAGGAGCAGCAGGAGCAGCAGGAGCAGCAGAGAGCAGCAGGAGCAGCAGGAGCAGCAGGAGCAGCAGGAGCAGCAGGAGCAGCAGGAGCAGCAGGAGCAGCAGGAGCAGCAGGAGCAGCAGGAGCAGCAGGAGCAGCAGGAGCAGCAGGAGCAGCAGGAGCAGCAGGAGGAGCAGGAGGAGCAGGAGCAGGAGCAGGAGCAGGAGCAGGAGCAGCAGGGGCAGCAGGAGCAGCAGGAGCAGCAGGAGCAGCAGGAGCAGCAGGAGCAGCAGGAGCAGCAGGAGCAGCAGGAGCAGCAGGAGCAGCAGGAGCAGCAGGAGGAGAAGGAGCAGCAGGAGCAGGAGGAGCAGGAGGAGCAGGAGGAGCAGGAGGAGCAGGAGGAGAAGGAGGAGCAGGAGGAGGAGAAGGAGCAGGAGCAGGAGCAGGAGTGGGAGGAGGAGCAGGAGCGGGAGCATTAGCAGGAGTAGCAGGAGCAGAAGGAGCAGCAGGAGCAGCAGGAGCAGGAGGAGCAGGAGGAGCAGGAGGAGCAGGAGGAGCAGGAGGAGAAGGAGGAGAAGGAGCAGGAGCAGGAGCAGGAGCAGGAGCAGGAGCGGGAGGAGGAGCAGGAGCGGGAGCACGAGCAGGAGTGGGAGTCGTTGTATTCGTAGTCGTAGGAATCTGTAGTAGTGGTCTGTATGTAGTACTGGTCTGAAGCAGTATAGTCTGAAGTAGTAGTCGTTGTAGTCGTAGGTGCGCAGTCGTAGTCACGGTCGTAGTGGTAGTCGTACTTGGTCGTGGTGGTCACAGCGGTGGCGGTTGTGGTGGGGTGGCTGTGCTGGGGGCGGTTGTGGCAGTGGTGGCAGTGGTGGCTGCCGGGCGGTGGTGGTGTCCGATGATTTATAGCATGACACAAATGTTGCTGCTTCGCTGTTTCCAGGCTCGCGAAGATCGCTCGCGCTCTCCGCCGGCTGCTGCAAAGCATGGCGGTGGGAACACCCATATGCCACACACGGCAATGTCAATGTCATGACTGTGTCTGGTAGATGCAGGTGCTGTTAAACCGCGCGTAGTTTGTTGATAGGTCTGTCGTGGCTGCAAGGCAGGCTGAGCATTTCGCCTCTGACCGGGCGATTTGGGGCGTTGGTTGAAACATCACTTACTGCAGAAAGGCAGGGCATGCACTATTTGTCAGTGGTTCTGCACGGGCTTCCCTTCCCTTCCCTGCTCTGCCCGTAAAGTATTCCGTGGGAGTCAAGAAGACCTCGTCGCATAATTAGAGTGGAGGATTCTCTCAGATCGTGGCATTGGGGAGGAGCTGCTTCGAGCTTGGCAGGCAACATATTGACATGCCTCCTCAGATCTTAGCAAACCTTGCACGCGGCCAGGGCTTTGGAGGGCTGCTTGTGCTTCGAGGTGCTGTGCATCTTTCTGCTTTGAGCTGGCAGTTCCAATGTGGAAGCTGTCATTCGGCCTCCCGAATCGAAGCGGCGGTCTGCAGGCTTGAAGGACCTGCAACCTTCCCAATTCGTTGGCATCAGCGCCTTATTTGGGGAGGCTTCAGCTGGCTAGTGCGGCTAGTGTGACTGGCAGACGGCACAATCTGGCATTCGTGCATGTCAGGTCGAGGACGAGCTCGATGATAGCAAGAAAAGGCAAGCAATGTGCCGCTTTCGTCAAGCTCAACGTTGCGCCCTGCATTTCCACATTTGCTCCTTCCAGGTTCGCTGTGCAGGGCGAAACCAAGGTGATGAACTCGGCCTCGGTTGCTGATGTACTCGTATCTGCCATGCCGCTCTCTTGATCGAGGTCATGCGTATTGGCAACACGCGCGACCCAGAAACGAAGATGGCCACATCTCTGAATGCCAATGATCCTCCCCTGCCGGAAGGCGCACATCGGGGCTCCAAGTCGGCTTTCCCGAAAGTCTTCTCCGAACGTCATTTCGTTTTCAGGAGGCTCTCATCAATACCGTCTGGACGATCGCAGACCTTTTTGGCATACTGCGCCTTCTCGCGAAACACTGAGATGGTGTCGTGTTTGATGCAGATGTCTGCACTCTGCTGAGGACTCCGTGTACAGGAAAGAGCCACCGATCGGCTCCCTGCTGTACTGCAAGCCGCGGCCCCGGTCCGGGTGAGGAAACACCTGATTTCACGCAGGCCGGAGTCCGAAGCCAGCAGTGTTCTTCGCCGCAGGCGGCAGCCCCCCTCGGGCGGAGCTACCTGCTTCGCCGACGCCTCGGCCGCTTACGAGGCAGGAAGCAGGGTCTTGGATCCTTTGCCGCAGGAGCAATCAAGACTACCAGGGAACACATGTGATGTAAGTAGCAGGCTCTTGATGCCAAGCTCAAAGAGAAGCTGAAGAACCTGGAGCGGTGGCCTCAGCCTGCACGAGCCCGCGCTTGAATCGAATGCTCTGTTTCCTTGAGCCCCTCATTAGGTGCATCTGTTCGCAAGCACATCATGATGCAAAGGCCACCCTGCTTTCGCGCTTCTAGGGACTTCCCAAATCTTTTGCAGGTTCTAGGAAGACGGACCAAACTTCCACGGACCGAGCACTGTTGCCGCGACTAGAAAGAGCACGGGTACATGTGAGGGCTTGAAAGAAAGGGACGCTCGGCTTGGGAGAGTGTATTGGACAGCGGCGGCGAGCGATCACATCTCTGGAGCTCAGCATCAGATTGATGAAATATGTGTGCGAAACATAAATCAGCTCTGAACTCTGCAATGGACTCTGAGACTTCAAGGTCGAAGGTGATTAGTGGCTTGACTAGTTCCTCCTGTGTTCTACACGATAGGTTTCTTTCGTGTCGCTCTGCATGTGGGTAGAAAGACCAAATGGACCATGGCAGATTCATCGCACTTCGCCGGACTTCCCGAAACTTGGGTTTGCACTATGGTACATGTTCGAGCACGATGACGACACGTAGACAACCTCTCAGGACACTCACCCCGGAGCAGCGCGCAGCTAGCCCCGCTCAGAGAGTGCCGCAGCGACCTCATCTGAAGTACACGTCTTGCTCAGTTCTCTCCTGCTAGGCATGGCTTAGTGTTGCAGTGCCAGGTAACGCGAAATGTCAGTTTGAGACGATGCAAGATCCGAACTACCGGATAATGTGTTCATACTGAAAGCATGTACGAACATGCAGACAGCTGTTGACACAATTCACAGGATGCTGAGCTGGATTCCCATGCACCACTGTTGCTTTGTGGGAGGATGGTTTTGCAACACCCGTTAACCGGGCGCCCGTCACTGTATGGATTCAACGGCGGCACCTGCAGAGTCCTCCCAAAAGAGGTGTGGGGGCCGAGCTGAAGAACGATGAAGCTCCTAGTCATAGCCATAGCCAGCCGAAAGGTAGAGGTCACAGCTGAAGAGTTGGACCACTACGAGCTGGAGGCCGAGGAGCACAGCTCTGTACAGGAGCAGACTTCGGGCTAACTTCGGATGTGTGCTGAGAACTTGAGCCGCTCGGTTGGCGCTTGAGGAGCAGTGGCGATCCTTGCTTCCCTTCGTGACGTCTCCTCAATTCACGATCAAGTGGGAGCGCTTTCCGCGATGCATCACATCACCGCCCAAGTCCTGCTGACACGACTTGGAGGAGTGGACGCCGGGAGACCTGGTGCTCTGGGACAATCGCTGCACGATGCACTGTGCAACAGGCGCCCTGCTCCACCAAAGCAGAGTCACCGAGCGAGAGCTTCGTGGTACTGGAGCATTGCTTTGCCAGCATGCGTTGCTCACATGGAGGCTGAGACTTAGTTGCTAGGATGTCTTGTCAAAGGGCACCCGCGAACTCACCAGATGGAGCCCCTGTGACAAATCTCAGCCATCATGCCATGCACAATTCGACGTGGTGTTATGGTCAAGTAGAGAAGGGCGGAGGCCAGGTATGTCCTAAATTTGAAAAACACAGGCAGTCTGCCTTGATTACTTGAGAGCGTCCACTGTGCAAATCTGCCCGCCGCTGCACTTTTTTGGCTTTGGTGCTAGTCGTTGGGTGCTCAATGCTTGTACAGAAGCTCTTTCCAATTGTGCAGCTCTGCTCCGTCTGCCACGCCTTTCGGGCGGAACACAACGGCCACTCCTTGCAGCATGTGCTGTCACAGCAGCTGTCGCAGCAGCGTTCAAGTGGCTGTGCCGCAGCTACGGCCGGCGAACGGCCAAACTCTTTCGTTCTTGACTACAAGGATGCCCGCCATGTGGACGCAATGCAGCTATGGTCTTTGAAGACGTCTGCCACGTGTGAAGGCCTGGAGGCATGCAAGGTGGCGCTGACGCCAGACATTGACGTGGCTTTGCCATCGAAAAATTCACGCATGCTGATCAATGCCTATGCAAATTGCTCGCTTCACGGCCGCGAGCTCTTTTTGTGCCCTTCACACGGAGGGGCCTCCTGTGTTGTCCGACACCCAGCTGCGACATGAATTTGATCTCGAGGCTTGTGAGACGCTCTCTCTGCAGCTGTAGCTTTGAGATTCCGAGGCTTCTGTTCGCCTGGCCAGGCGATATTTCCGGCCACGAGATTTGTTCAGCTCCATGTTTGATTCGACCAGGACCTGCGTGTTCAAGCATGGAGCCGCACCTTTTTGAATTCACAGAGAGCTCTTCCTCCCGCACTCTTCCGCAGGATGCAGGTGCTTGACAACCGGCGCCTCTTCACTGATGAAGTTCTCGAGATTCTGCTCCTCACCGAGCTGGTAGCCACTGCAGGCAGTTGGGGGAAAGCTGTGCAGCCTCTCAGGCATGTGACCTGTGCTGACAGGTGCTCTCCTCTGGTTTGCTTTCGAGTTTATGTCGTCCTTCACTGCGAGCAGGGAGGTGAAGAGTCCTAGCCCTGACTCGAAGCTTCGGATACCGACGGCCTTCGACATAATGTTGGAAGGATTATTGGACGCCTTGTGCTTCATATTCGGCTGTGTGCTTTGGCTACTGGCATCTTCACAATTCTTGCACAAGTACGGGTCTGAAAGTCGCGAAGTCGACACGATCATTCTTTGCGTGCCCGTCATCTTTGGCCCAGCAGCTCTTCTTCGGATCTTCCTGTCCATGATTCGAAGGCAGCTTTATTATGCCTTGTTTCGGCATGGGGTGTTGCTGAAGCTCGAGCAGACACCCCTTTCCCGTGATTTCTTGTTGATATGGTCCGGTTTGGGCCTGATCCTGGCAATTTCTGCTGTACTGCGTGGCCTATTTCTAGCAGTAAAGACTGGACACACAAGCCTGGATGTGATAGTGACACAGCTGCTGGTGTTTATATCGCCTCTCTACACGATTGTCTCAGCGTTGCTGTACTCCCTGGACATGGAATCTGCATGTTTGAAACGGAAGTGCGTGATAGAGTTGGAAGACGTGGGCGAAAGGTTGTCAGTAAGCACGGATCGTGAGGTCACAGTCCTGACAGAGCATCAGTTCTGTGCAGCTGCCAGCACGGTGACATCTGCATCAGACTTTGTGAACCTCAGTGCAAACAGCGGGCCTCCTGCGGCAGAAGCCTGTGGCCTTCGCCTCTCCACATGGGACATGAGGTGGGCAAGTCGCCTTGTCAGCCAAACGTGCCGAGAGCATCGCATGGCGCTATTATTGTTTATGCCGGTGCTTGCAATCTGCATTTTGGCACTCAACCTTACCTCAACGCTGCTTTGCATCAAGCACCGCAGTGATATGCCGCAGCTCTCCTCCTTGCAGTCGACAATTGGGGAGTTAACGCCTCCACTATCTCCAGAGATTCGGGAACATGCACTTTATGTCGACATCATGCGCCGAGCGCTCTCCATTGAGGCCGGCATGGACGCTACTCAGACGACATCGTTGGATGTGTCGATCGAGGGAGATGCAAGCCCTCCACAGGAGTCTCGATTTCAGCTGGACAGCTTGAAGCTGGACCGCAAAGCTGTAAACACATTCTGTAATGTCAGACGTTTCGAGGATAAGCAGGCGTGGCTGCTAATCCGTTTACCACCATACAGTGGGCAGTACGGCAGGTGTGGCACTGACAGACTAGCCAACTTGTAGCAACATGTGACAGCGACTTGCGTCATTTCGGCCATCTTTCGTATTGCAACTGAGGCGCTCTACCAAAGTTAGACTTCACCGTGATGGTGCTGCATACCCCACTACCGTCGGGATCAAGGTGACGACTCGAATAGAGGCACGATGGAGTTAAAATGTTTAACATTCACGACCTCAGCTTGAGCTTCTAAAGTGTCAGGCTTGAGTTTCCATGACACTGCTAAAGGCCTTTTGCAATTGTTCCATTTGCAGCCAATTTGTCGGTCTTTCGTTTTGCAGGCAGAGAAATACCGACTTCAGATCGTACAAATTACAACAGTTCTACGCACCTTGATGCTGACTGGTGAGACATCCAATGGCATGAAGTACAGGCGCTGCATTTTCGGTAATTGGCTATCACACGGCCATCTTGCACTACCGACAAAGCTTCAAAGCCTCCGGATCGAAATCACCTATTCGAACATTCCCTACGGAATCCCATTCAGTTCTGCCCAGGCAGACAGGTTCTCGACCGTGTACGTACCGATGAATCAACGGGACTGTGAGCGATACTGTCTCCAGGAGCGCAGATGCTTCGAGTCCAGGATTTCCAGCACAAACGGCTGCTTCTTCATTTTTGGGCCCAGCGACCGGACATGCGAGCAATTGCATGTGCAGGATGACAGGGGTCAGCAGCCGCCTTTTTCGCTTCATCTCCTGGCTGAGCTGTGTTCTAAAGGTCGTACTGCATGCACCTGGTTGGGGCGTGGCTCGCCACAACACTTGCTGCTGGATTTGCTCAAGGACAACTTCTCAAACAGCACCGCGTCCCTGAAGACCTACATTAACTCCAGCGGGTCCGTATTCCCATTGAAACAGAATGACATAGCATTCCATCTCGGTACTCCGCCCCTGAAGACTGTTCTCGTGGAGGCTCGACAGGATGAGATGAAAGTCCAGGTGAAAACTCGAAAAATCGACTCTGGCTTTCGGTTCGAGGTGGTGTTGATCTACGATCCAACCGCAACTGCTGCTCCGTGGAACAACAGCTGGTTAAACGTAAGCCTGGCAGGCCTTCCCGAAGACTCGAGCTTCTTGTTGCAATGGGAAGGCGGGAAGGCGGTGGCGTCCTCGGCACAGGAAGCTCTTTTTCGTGTTGGGCAGTGCGATGATGGCTTCTCCCTTCACCATTACAAGGTATGTGGGGGCCACTTTGACTCGCCAATCACGACACTCCGAGTTGATCCGTGGGCCCCAACCCAGTCTGTCTACGGGACATTGAATTCCACTGCCTGGTGGTTGAACCAGGCACAGACTGTGGAGGTGCGGCTGACAACTCCAGACAATTTGGAGCCAATGCAGTCCTTGATCCGAAATTCCTGCAACATACCCGTGTGCTTGGGTGGCTTTAATGAATGCCTATCTCGTTGGCAGTGCAACAAGAGGAATTCATGTTTCCACTCATGTAGCCAAGAAGCACTTCGCAACTGCAGCAGAGAGCGTGAGACTGGGTCTCAGTTCGTTGCTGTCATCTCGCCGAAGTTCGGTACCGGTTTGACGAACTCATACAAGAAGCCCTTCGCTTGCAAGTAGCATGTTGGGCTTGGAGGCTCAGATCACTGCTGTAAGTCCTCACATGTGCCATCGCGGGTTTACGTTCTTTTCTTGGGGCGGGGAAGGGTGAAGGGGAAGGGGGCGGGGCGAGGCTGGCGGAGGTTTGCTGTGGCAGGCCCTTGAGCCAGGATATCTGGGCTGAGCTACGCTGAGGGCTGTTGCAAGAGGCTTCGGTAGGGAGAGCTCAGGTTAGGCCTCACTGCAATTGCGGACCCCGAGCCTGGGATGGAGAGGCACTTCACGCGCGAGGCAGGAAGCCTCCGGTTCGAGTAAGCAAGCAAGAACAGGGATACTTATTTTCCTTTTGGCTTTGAGCAGTTCCGTCAGGTGATCAAGGATGTCGCTGCTCACTGTGGGGTCAAATCCGGGATGCTGCACCTCGTGTTCCAGCAACTCCGATCGCTTCAGCAAAGTCCACAGAAAGCGAGCGCCATGCAGCTTTTCCAGCGTTTGTCCCAGAACCCGGACTTTCGGGAAAAGCAGCGGGTGTTGAAAAGCCCACTCCTAGCTCCACTGAAAGATATCTTACCGACGTCATGGATGTCTTTGAGGGAAGTTGCGCTATACTCTCCGGACTTTGCTCTCTTGCAATATGCCTTGTGCCTCAATGCTCCCATGCCCAAAGACATAGGGGGTATCCTGTCAACTCTGCTGGACAAGATTGCAGCTGCTGGCGATGCGAAAGAGTACGAAGCCAGTTCTCGCTGGCAACATATCCTTTCTTCCCTCATCCAGTGCGTGCAGGACAAGAAGAAGACTCCATTTCCACCCTCTTCCTGCAGGAGCGATACGGGAAACATGGATGCCCCCTCTCTCTTTCATGCGGCACCAACGCCTTCCACATTTGAGCTCCTCCTGCCACTCTGCGACACCTCCGAGGCTATGGATGCCACTCAGAGCTCGGTGCTCCACCTGGCGGCCCAGAAGAACTGGTCCGAAAGCTTGAAGGCTGTGCTGGAAAGGCCCAGGAAGTTCATCCCTGATATCAACGGTCGGCGGAATGAAACACTCTCACCACCTGAATCGCAATATGAATGGGTGGTGGTCGAGAACCTGACGCCCCTGCATGCTGCTGTCCGCTCGGGCTGTCATGGTTGCACCGCGGACTTGCTAAGCGCTGGTGCTGCCGTGAATCTGACCGTTGATATTGTCGCAACTGCAGGTGTCAGCTACGTACCAACGGGAGTGAACCGACTCGGCTATGTAGAGCGCGATGCGTCGCTGCACGGCGTATCACCGTTACATCTAGCCTCTGCCAGTGGATGTGTGGACTGTATCCGATTGTTGATCGATGCACATGCCCCCATCAACGCGGAGAGTATCCTCGCGGACCAGGACGTATCGTGGGATGACTCGGCCAGGCAGGTCACGGATCTTGGCAACTGCAGCTTGGAGTGCCTACTGGCCTGTGCTGGTCCTTCGGGGGTGGCGATGGGAGGGTGGGGGAATTTCATGTTTGTTGTCGTTTCCACTGCAAGGCACTTTGCGACCGCTGGACATTGCTTTGACCCACTGCGAGCCGTGCGCACGGGAGCTGCTACGTGCAGGTGCAACTTTCGGGCACATCGTTGTGCCCGTGCACTGGAGCTGGGGTAACCATCGCCCACGTACAGACTGGTGGCCTGTCAGACTTACTTTTGGTTTCTGGGCTCTGCAGCTCCTGGGTCTTAGGTTGAGCATTGGCACAGTGAGTGCGTGCTTCCTGCTAAGGCATCATTCACTGGTTCCGAATGCGACAATTCGTGTTTGCCAGAACTGGTTTTTTGCAGAGGACCTGGCTCAGTCGATGCGACTCCTGGCATCTCTTAAGTCTGTACACAGCATGCAAGATCTCGTTTAGAGAGAGTCTGAGCTCTGTCTCACACATTCTCGGGCTGCGTCTGAAAAAGGAGTCAGGTTCTTCTGATGCAAATCACGAAACTTTCGTTGCTTCTGTCACAGGTTTCGACCGTGAGCGCTTTACTCGCGAGATGTGGCGCACGACCCTGTCCCGAGATCTTCCCAATGCCTCTCGTCTGCTAAAACATGCGGACGGGCGGTAGTCCCCAAGCCCATGCCGGCTGCGTCACATCATTTTTCGTACTTGTGCAAAATCGCGTTGGGGTTTCAATCCATGTTATCAGAGTACGAGAGTTGCAGACCGCGAACTGAACTGCTGTCGCGTTCATGGCTCGTCAGATGACAGCTGTTGCCGGCACTCCTCATGTTAAGGAGGAAGACGGCAGGATGACAGACAAAGCATGGCAAACAAAACACATGCTGCAATCTAACTTGATAACTTGAGTAGCCAAGACTGACAGTACTCCTACCTCGCATCAGCGCTCATGTTTGAGCCTCACAAAACAAGCCACAGACGCGTCGGTAAACATGTGGAGCCTGCCGATGTGCGGTGTGGTCATGACTTGTCCAACTGCGTCCTCGTCTTCCTGCATGTCTGCCGCCCAGTTGCTGTGCAGCTGCACACGGATTCGTGATTGCAGCTTTTGAACGTCTCAGGCCGTGCGCGGCACTGCCGGTTGCAACGCCGGCGCAGCGTTGCGCACTCAGCCTGTGCCGCATCTTCAACTGGGGCGTGGCTGCACTGTGGTCCAAGAAGCAACAGAAGCTAGACATTCAAACATTATCTTTACAGACGAGACTACTGCGTGTGTCATAAGACTACCGACCTGTATGTGACGTCTTCGGGTCGGGAAAATTGATGTTTCCATGCCTTCCGGAACAATGCCTTACCAGGCAGTCTCCCAAGCGTGGTGCTTGCTTCGCCTGTTGCGTCAGGTCTCCAGGTGAACTTCGCGCACACCCTCAAGTGGACATTGGCTCTGCTGGTGTGCGTGTGGGCCGTGCGATCCTAAGTCCAGAAGCAGACGACACGCAAGAAATACCCGTGCCGATGTAGTCTAAGGTTTGGCGAGTGCGCCGGGCTCGTCAGTGACTGGCTTGGAAGCGTCCTGATGCCGAGCTAGCACTTCGGTTTGTTTGTGTCGCTTGAAAGGCAGCCTCGGCGTAAGCTGAAGGGATTTCCGGTTCCGGAGGACTACCGAGCAGCCCTGGGCCCGGATTCAAGAAGCACTTCTTTTGCGACTTATCAAGTCGGAGGCGGGTGTGATCTTCTACACCGTGGACGAACTTCAGAACATAGGTGGGAAGGTTTGCAGCAAAGCTGCCACTTGTCCCGCTCTTGTGGTGACAGGACAGATGTTGCTTGCCGTGGAGGATCGAAAGGTCAGTTTGCGAGAGCTTGGCTGGGGCCCCTGAAGCTTGTAACAGCCGCCTTCTTGGCCGCTGACAAGTTAGAGCAGAAGAGCAGACATGCATGAGCCAGTTTGGTGGCGCTTCCACGGGCCAGCTGGTGGTGATTTCTGGTCCCAAGGTGTTGGCTCGGGTTCCGGCCAGAAAAGGGCGCCGGCCTTGGCGGGGGCGGGGGGCCAAGTCCTGCAGGGCCTTTGAGCTGCTGCACTTACGAGGTGCTGCTGTTTCCACAAGGGAAGCGCGAGCAAGAGGTTTGGGCTGGTGCACCATGCTCTTCGCTTGACGACGGCGGCTGCAGGACGTGGACTTTGTCGCTACCGCACGGCGAGAGTTCATCGAGGAACTGACTGTTCAAGAGATGCTAAGATTCGAAGGCTTCTAAGGCAAAGCTGGTACTGCAGAGCATCTTGCATGGTCTGACACCGGCATGCCCCCCGACACCAGAAGGTATAAAACTGCAAATGCATCTTCATTCCTAATGCCCCAGACAAGACATGAAGAGCCTGCTCCATGTTGGTGCAGGAAACAGGTGATCCCACAAGTCTTTCTGGGTATCTGGAAGGCTGATTTCGGTGATAGGGGTTGATGTGCAATGCAGCCGAAAGTGTATAGATTGTCACTGAGCTGCTCTGCAGCATAAGCTGCAACCAGGGGACCTGCCGTCGACATGGTTTCCAGCCGCGAAAATGGGCGTGGTATTTTGTGAGGCACGGAATCATGCTCACCAACAGCATTTTGCACAGCTCTGCAGAGATCACCGGTGCAGGTTCCAGCGAGTGCAGCTGAGCCATTCAGCCAAAGAGTGCCGCGGCGGCAATGTCAAGACGGACAGTATCAGTGCGTTTTTGCGCACGCGTGCCAGAGAAAGGCACCTGCGCCACAGCCAGAACCACGCCCCAGGCGTCAGCAACCGCGACAGCAGGACCAGTTGTACTCCAGTGCCAGCATGTTAGTGAGTGACAGAAATGCCGACAATGCAAGTTTCTGCACAGGAAAAGCAAAGTCAGCAAAAGAAGCCCTGGCCCTTGCAGCCCGTCTGGGTCAACGCTGGATGCTTTGCTTCAGTGTTGCTGTGATGGTGACAACCATAGTGCTCGGCAGTGAAGTGAGTTCTCAAGGGCTTGTACACATGCCAAAGACGGCCAAGGTTTCCTCACTCCGTGATGCTTTAAAATCAAGCACAGGCGGGAGGACGTTTGCGTTTGAGCGTGGAGGGAATTTTGCAGAGTAGATTGACAGTCAAGGCCAAGTGGCAACGACTATCGGACTGTTCCACCTGTTTCCAGCTGCGGCCTCGTCCACTTTGACGATGTTTGGACCTGGACCATGTGCTTTGACACTCATGTTCAAGTCCATTTGCAAGACAGATGTTTGGGTAGCCAAGGTGACAAGGAAATTCTTGCTGCTCAATGAGGTCAGTGGTTGGCTAGGCATTTCGCATGCTCGCCACAAGTGAACCGCATTGTCACTGCGTCTAGTACTAAATGACGGTTGCGCTTGTCGCGACTTCGCCACTTTCTGGAGTGACCCCTTGTACAGAACACGAGCGACAAAAGACCGACATTGTGTGCTCCCAGCATGAGGCTGCAGCCAGGTCCTTCACGCAGACGTTTCAGATTCTGTCCCGATCGGCTGCTTCAGCCAACATCTGGCTTTGATTGCGCACGTTGATGTGGGACATGACTTCAAACAGCAATATCGACCCTGCAACGCCATCTCGAAGTTCCGAAGAGCGACATCTTGTGCGGCATGCTTTCCGTTTCACCGGTCTGGCAAGGCTGCGAGATCCGAAGAGAAGGACAGAGAGAGAGCTCGAGCTCAGAAGCTGCTTTGCTGCAGGCGCCGGCGGTCTCACCCGATCTGCCGACAAGGCCCGCGGCCCCGCACTGTTCACGGTGCCCGCGGTGTCCGCGACGAGGCCGAAGACTGCGGAGCTGTGCTGAGAGAGCTGTGAAATGTTGTCGGAATGCTCTGATGGCGTTTGGGAATGTTTGGGATGTCGCGCGTGGGTCCAGGCAAGGGCCGCAGTGCCGGGGAGTGGAAAGCCGCGTCAGCGTCGGCCTGGTCGCGAGCGCTGTTCTTCTCAGAGGCTTCCAGGGCCCTTTGTCTTCCAAGCGCGTTTCCCAAGTCCCGGCATGTCAAGGACGGAAGCACAGACTTGGAAGGACAGCTAGAACTGCTTCTGCAGGCAGCTTCTCTGGATGCTAGTGTGATCCGAGCCTAAGTTTGGGCGAACAAGGTTCCTTGTTTCTGCTTCCGGATGGGCGTGACATCCGTGTACTCACCAACGAGGGAGAAGTGAAAACGGCCGTAGCGGTCCGGGGCTTTCTGTAACTTCCAGATTGATCAACGTGCAGTGCATTGTTCTGAGTTGCGTGTGCTTAGGCAGAAGTTGCCAGTTGCTCAAGTGCCCCAAGCTTTTGTGCTCATCGGAATGTTGTGACCGCTGCGCATCTCTGACGCCTGCCGTAGCATTGCCGGCTCTTCGGTGTCTGTAGTGAGAAGGTGCTTGCAACCCGAATGGGGATCTGCTGGGGCCAAGCTGCGCAGCCAGCCTCTGATTTGCACGGAATGATGTGACGGCCTGCCAAGGACTGAGAAGCCACTCATCATAGTCTCATGCTTTCATCCTTCCTCCAACCAGGGAGCACACTCACAGCGTCTCGAGCACGACCGCGATAAACACCCAAGCAGAGAGAAAGATAGAGAAAGCTATAGGACAATGATTCAGGGAGGTTGTTCACATGTCCGCGCGGTTTGTTCCCTGCTAGGAGTGGCTGCGCGGCGACCAACCGCAGCGTGGCAAAGACTTGGAGTTGAGGTTCGACGACGCAGTGGACAAACTCCAGGAGAAGCCGAAGTCAGCGCCCCCTCAGTAGATCTCAGTAGTGAAGAAAGAAGGCGTTGCAGAGCAGCAAGACATGCACACCCGGGCAGCGGAAGCGATGCCGGTGCGGAAACGCAATTCGTGCAGTGGCCTGCACTCCGTGCAGAATGCGCCTTGGGAGTCCTTGGGAGGTGAATGAGGCCCCAGATAATGCCAGCGCTCGCCGAGCTGAGCTGGCGGCTGGCGGCTGAGAATCTCCTGGGCAGTGAGCGGGAGTCGCAGCGTGAGCGGGATGACTCTGCACGAAACGGCGGAAAAGACAGTTGGAGTCGGAGTGCCGGAGCTTGCGGCTTGGCCCGGCATCGTGGCTCTGGGTTCATCCATTTGAGAGGTGCTGCAATCGCGGAGAAGGGCGCCTTCTCAATTTGTGTGCCTGGTAGCTTCGGACCAGCGGATGGCCAGGCAGCGGGTTCGATGCAATGAAACGATGACTCAAGTTCTCGCAGACTTGCAGATGCCGAAAGGCTGACAGGCTCTCGCATGTCCACTGCGTTGTGTTGCCAGGAGCTAGCAGGTGCTCAGCTTATCGGAGAGTCCCTCGCAACACTCTCTGGGCAAGGTATGGGTTTCCAGCGGAGAAGTGAATCCCGTCCCAAAAAATCTGTGCAGCTGACAGCTGACTTCGACAAGTGGCACGTCTTCTTTGCCGGCGAGAGGTTGGACGGCCAGGCCAGGCCAGAAGCACCAGGAAAGTGCAGCGAAGCCTGAACCGGTTGTGGCAGGAGTCTTTTCTGCTTGCGAAGAAGCTTTGGATAGACAGCTGTGGCATTCCGGAAGCCCAGGCAGGAGTAACATGGCAGGCTTCACAGGACTCCACCCTGAACACAAGACCCAATCATTGCACAGCAGGGCCGACGGGTCCAACGAAGAAGCACACCTCAAGCATGAACCAACCGTAGACTCATGTCCTGCCTTGTGTCTTATCGAAAGTGGTGGAAAGTACAACCCAGCCAACATCAGCCAAGTATTGGCAAAGCTAGCCCTGATTCTTGCCCAACGTTGGTAGGAGTGCGGTCAGGAGATTGCAAACTCCCGCAGCTTCTGCCACCACCGGACTAGCCTGACATTTGATCCCTGCGCAAACCCAAGGCTTCAAATGAAACCGGAATTCTATGTGACCTACAGGAGTGCAAACCTATTGCACACAGAGCACCGAGTCGCGCACGTTACACAGCCCTGAAGGACCGCCCCCAAACAGCACCCTACTTGTAATTACCCTAAGTCGGGATCCTTGTCAAGGGCTCTGTCGGATTCCTCTCTTCGCTTCGGTTCCCTACTACGGTTCGACCCACATCCTGCAAACAGGTTCATCCGGTTCCACAGGGAATGCCTGCAGAGGGGGCGGCAGCTCAATACACGGCTACCGGAATGCAATGTCATGAATGTCTCGCTGCATGATGTCATGCGTTGCGCCGACTGAAGACACCCGCTCGCAAGCAAAGGCCGAAATTTGTATGCAGCCGCAAGCTCAGAACTAACCAACATCCGCGTTGCTTGTTGCTTCGAGTGACATCTCAGGGATGAGAGCATCCTGGTAGACAGCGATCAGGTCGATGTCGCTTTCTGTCGCTCTTCTCCTCTTCGTCAGGGAACCGTTGTGTGCGCTCGCCAGGGCCTCCCTGCTCTGGACCTGCTCCTTCTCGACATGGCCAAAGATGGTACCATTGGGCGTTTGAAGCCAGACTCGCTGCGAACTCAAGCTCTGCAGTCGAAACCTGCTCGAGCTCTTAGTCTTAACGTCCGTTGCAACTCTTTCTTGACAAGCCTTGCTATGGTTCTGTTGACCGAGTTCGTTTCTTCAACTTTCCTGACTCTGTTCTGACAGCGACATGGTGGTGCAGCCGTGCTTTCGTTACCTACTTGTACCATCTTGTACCGATGTACTTCATCGCTTGCCCGTGTCCCTTTCGGTCCTGCAGTTCACGACGTGCACTGCTAGAGACTGCCTGCGCCAGCTTGGCTCCAGGATAGTGGCTATCGATTTTTATTTGTGCGACCAATGCATTGCATGTAGCTTGGCTTTTGCTCCCCATTCGATGCACGATGCGGAGAGGCTGTGAAGATTGGGGGCGACTTGATCCCGTGGAAGATGGTGCTACAACCTCGGACGTGCGCGCAGTTTTCTCCTTGAGAGGCTTGTGCTGCCAAACGCGGCGCTCACAGACCCGCAAGGGAAGTGCCCGATACGTTCCAGTCGTGGCATCGGACGTGCGCCAAGCTCCGACAGAATTGGAGGTTCCAGATTCGATAGGTTCGTCGACCGATTTGGATGGAGCGATTGCTGGAACCAGCGGGAGTCCTGCTCCTACTGCTACACCGTCCTGTCGCAGGCGGCGCGGTGAGGGAGCTCCGGTACCTCGTAGTCCAAACGCCTCTGGAGTCTCGAAGCTGCACCGTGCAAGGGCCTTGCTGGGCATTTCGATGCTGCTTCTTTTGCTTTGCTTGCGCTCCGACTTCCCGCATCCGCAAAGCTGGGCGGCCAGAGTATTTCTTCTGCCTTTGAAGGCAATTTCTAATGCCGAATACACTTTGGTCGTCTTGGCTCCTGCAATTTGCTGGATCACTCTTTTTATCTGGAGTCGGTTGGAGTTGCCAGAGCAGAATGGCGCAGCTGGTCAGCGCATTGCACACATTCTTAGGACAAGCCTGTGGGTCAGCTTGATCTTGGTTGCGCTCACAGCAAGTTTTGGTGGCGATTTTTCAGTGCGCCTCGTGGCGGCACTCATATATTTTCCTGCTGCAGCACTGTGGCTGGTGTACAGGAGTGAGTGGTGCAAAGGCACCCGAAGGCTGATTAGCACATGGGCTGTGTTCCTGCCGCTGATCTTCGAGTACAAGCTGATGTACTGGTGGCTACGCTTTGCTGGGCTGGAGCAAGCCGATGCATACAGACCCTTGCACGACAAGTATGCACCTCGAGTACTTCGATTGCTCGTGGAGCAAGGCGGCGTCTTTGTGAAGATCGGGCAGATGCTTTCCCTGCTGCCTGCAGGGGTCTTGCCCGAGGCCTTTACCAACCAGTTCAAAAGTCTCCAGAGCCGTGTCCCTCCACGGCCCGGCGCCGAAGTGAAGCGGCTGGTCTCGGAAGCCTTGGGTCAGCCAATGGAGTCCGTCTTCAGTCGCTTCGACGAGGCCTTTCAACAAGGGATGTGGTGGACCACGAACTCATGTGTGTTCTTTGCAGACAGCTCTCGCAACGGCTTAGCAACCAAGGTTCCAATTGGGTCCGCAAGTATTGGGCAAGTGCACCGTGCAAGATTGGCAGACACCGGCAGTGAGGTTGTCGTGAAGGCAGAGCTCGTAGCCACAGACATCATCTTTTCCATGCCTCTGCATACTCAGCATTTTGCAAGTCAAATTGATCGGTCAGGTGCAATATCCCGAGGTGTCCCAGACGATCGAGTCAGACTTCACCAACTGCGAGCGTGCTTCGCCAAGCAATGATTGAAATGTGACAACAGTTCTGGAGTCGAGCGTTCATCGGCCTCGGTCTGGGAGCTCCGCAGTGTGCCGTGCCTTCCAGAGGCATTGTGAGGATCCTCGACAAGACCAAGATGGAACAGGTCCGTGAGACGACTTTCAGCTGCATCACGGAGACCTGAAAGTAGACACGCGCATCGGGGCCCCACCCAGGAAAAAGCACTACATCAACGAGCTGGATTTCAACAAGGAGGCCCAAAACCTCTTGCGCGTCAGGGCTGGCTTGTGCAAGCAGTTCCCTGAGGCGCAGACCTCAGCTGTTTCAGATTCGCAGATTAGAGAACTCCTGTGCATGTCACTGACCACAAAGGTGTGCGTTCCAGAGCCAGTGTTGGAATTCTGCAGACCTACGGTCCTGGTAATGACGTCTCTCAGATGCATGTGATGCCACGGTGCTAGTGAGATTGCTCGAATTTTGCAGAGCATGAGTACAGTCGACCACCGGCATCCTAAGGTACTTGACGGGCAGCTCGCTGCTGGACGGTATCATGGATATGGCACAGGCTGGCAGCGGGCATCACTCGTGAGATGAGTTGTCCATCATGTAGCTCCCCCTTCAGGCCATTGCCAAAATGCGAGGCAAGAGCGTCGAAGACCTGATTGCAGAGTGCAGTCAAAGCACGTCCCGTGACAAGAAGGACACACTGTTGATGGACCGATAGGATATCTTGGAATTCCCCGGTCTTCGGGCATTATGAAGGCAGCCCTTGTAGGCGCAGGTGGTGGGAGGTGGCTTTGTCAGAAATGGTGACCCTTCCAGAGAAAAATCACATGTAGGTAGTCAAGAAGTATTCAAAAATGACAGGTTTGATGTTTTGGGTTGGGGGAGGCACACATAGCAGGTACATCGTGCTCCCGCCACAGTGTCGTTTGCATTTCGGTCTGAAGGGCTGGTCTCCGGGCTTCGGGGGCTTGAACTGGTTCTTGGATGTCTACGGTACGATGTCGACTGCTATGTGCCCTTGTGTTGTATGGGGTCTACGTGAACAAAGATTCTACACCGTATTGCAATGCACTATGCCACATATCTCGGTGCGCTCGCGCCTGTATGAACCATACATAAAGTCAAAGGGTAGAACAAAAGCGGTTTCGGAAACTACGTGTGATTACCGAAACTGCTATTCAGAGTGTTTGGATTTATTCAGAAACTGCGGTTCAGCAACTGCTTGATTCAGACACTATTTCGTATGATTCAAGGGACTCCCGCGATTCAGGAACTGCTGAAACTCTTCTGCCGGTTTCCGAAACCAGTTTCCTTGATTTTTCAAGCTGTTCTGCACCGACTCAGAAACTATTGCGTGCGGCTCAGAAACTTTTCTGCGGCGATTCAGGTCCCATTTTTGCACGAACGTACCGACTCAGAAACTATTTCTCCCAATTCAGAAATCGTGGCTGATGCACAAACTGCGCTCCATCCAGAAACAAGAGCTGTCGTCTCCGAACAGACTAGGTGGGACGAGATCCAGAAGGAGGGACCAAGATGTCAATGCACCAGCCTCAGTAGCTGAGTGGATACACTTTACATTTTTGGGATAATATTACCCACTATAAAACCAAAAGTGCACGCTTTTTGGGGCTTATGAACTCAGCAACTACGCATTGGTCATCCCCCCTGTTCCGCCCGTTAAAGAACCGACGGACAAAGATGGCATGGATTGATATTAAAATCCCTCTCTCGCAAAACAGGGAGGAACACGGGAGGTGGTGATAGCCAGGTATATATTCCACGTAGACATCCCTCCGTCTTGCCTCGCGACAACCAGAGAGAGAGACGAATGGTAGTGAAATTCCCGTGCTAGATACCAGGGGGAGGGGTTCACGATTGTAGCGATAAATATTACTTCATCCCTTCTCACTTCGCGAAAAACACAGGAGGAATAAGCGTGGCAGTGGTAGGTACCTTGATCCCACATCTTAAATTTGAGGGGGATGGCGGTTTATCTCGTCTAGAACCTGCCCTCTCTCATCTGGCGACGGCGGTTGACCCATATCTTGAACTCGCCCCCTCATTGGGCGATGGCGGTTGACGATCAACCGCAGATCTTGAATTCACCCCCTCATTAGGCGATGGCGGATGACAGCGTATCTGAAACTCGCGCCCTCATTAAGCTGAGGCCATACTGTACCCTAAACCCGATTCCTCATCAATCAATACTTGTAGTGGGCTAGTCCCATATATTCAGCCTGACTCCTCATTCGGTTCGGCGAGGTCGGTTCATCCCCATATCTAAAGCTGGCCTGCACCGTCATTATCTTGTGTATTCATTCGGTTCGACTCATTCGACCCCGCGGACGTTACAACCCCCCCCCCCCCCCCCCCCCCCGCCGACATAAGGCCGACCCCCCTCATAAACCGGACCCCAAACCCTTGATCCAACTCTCCAAACCCTAAACCCTATGTTTCAACCTGAAATCCTCAAAGACCAAAGGTTCCTGGCATTTGTGAGCCGCCAACGTCTGGTAGGGAAGCGAGTTGTCGGTTTAGGGACCATGGCAGACGGCAGATGGCTGCGTTAGGCTCGGCCCGGCTAGGCTTTCGGACAACTCGTTGCAGCTGTTTCGGGCAGTTGTGTCAGAGCTTCGTGGCCGACATCTGCGAGGATGCCTCCGAAGCCTGCCTGTCCAAGCAAGACTCGGGTCGCCTCGACATTCCGAAGGCCCTTTGGGCTTGTTGTTTGCAATTTTTGCTTCATCTACCGCGTTTGGGGTGGCCATACAGTCTTTTGCAGATGGGTGCGGGAGGTGAAAAACTGGGGGAAAAACGTATCAAAGCTGAGAATCTTCAGACCGTCTGCTGAACCCTTTTCTGTGTTCACCTGCATTGAGGAAAAGCGAAGATGGCGCGTCTCCCTTGTAAACAGGATGCCTTCAATGCTGCCGAGCATCTCAGATTCGACGAAGCTTAAGCTACTTCAGCTCTGCATGTCCACCTCCCGCTCTGCCAGAAATTTTGGCGTTGCGCTGTACAACTCCTCCGCTGGGCTACTGGGTGCCAACAAGCTGTCATACAGCAGAGATGTGTGTCACTTCGACCCACAGGACATGAGCCAAAAGCTATGGCTTGTGCACGGTCACCAGGTGTTGGTAGATGGACTCTTCAGCACCGATCCGCATCCAGGGAACATTTTGGTGGGTCCTGGTGGTCGAGTCGGCCTTATTGACTTCGGCCAGGTGTGTGAGTTGAAACTTCAAGCTCGGGTTCGTTTCGGACGTTTGTTGCTGGCTCTTGCAAAAGACAGCGACACCGCCATTGCCACTTCTTATCGCGAGCTGGGAATGCGAACACGGAGAGAGAAGGAGGGATATGCGACTAACGAAGAACTCCTGGCCCTCAATGCTCGCATCAGATTTGGTCATGCCTCGGTGCTAAGCCGCGAGACCTACGAGCGTTACCGCAGCCTTTGCGCAGACGATTCCGTGTTCTGCAGCGAGCCTGACGACAGCCTTGGCAGAATCGAACGATTGATCGCAATCCTTCGTGGAACAAGCTTTCTGCTTGGCATTCCAACTGCACATGGGCCCACAACACTTTGGGTTGACATGGCCAAGGAACTGGTCGAGGCTTCACAAGCATGTGCTGCCGACTCACAGAGAGATGATTTTGGGCCGCTCCAGGACACCTTGGCAAGCTGGGTTTACTGTCACAGGGTGAGCATCCAAAAGCATCCAAGCAGTAGCACGTGATCTGTTCGCATGAGGATATCGAGAGACGTGCTGGCGGAGATGATGTGGTTGCTTGCCGTCCAATCAGCACGGCCTGTAATGTCATCTGCACAAGACCGAAGGTAGACAAGCGAGTTGGAACCGAGGTGTGAAGTAAAGCGGCCATTTCTCGAGATGAAGCATGAGTGCCATCGCACGCACTTCTTGCAGTACAGGAATCCTGACGACCAGATTTCGGGTTGTCGGTGCAGTGCTGTAAAAGATCCCACCTGCCTCAGGAGCCGTTTCACACTGCTTCTCAGAGTAGGAGACATGATCGAATACTCTGACGTGAACCAAAGCCACTCCGCGAGAGCAGTGAGGCAGTCTTCTGGTGTTGCTTGCAAGAGCACTTCTAGATTCTAGAGCAGGCTTGCATTCCGCGTTATGATGACCTTTCTGCAAGTCAGCACAGATCGGCAAGCCTGTTGATACAGTGTCCTGCCGAAATCGGCGGAACAGTCCGAGTAGGCTAATTTTCAATCTGGCTTGAGGCCAAGCTGATACGTCCTGCACCAAAGAACCGCGACAGTGTAGCTGTGGCTCGTCATGCCTTGAATTTGATGCTGTTGATCTCTCCACTCCCAGACTGCTGTCACGGTTCCGGAATCGAGCTTTGGCTGCAAAGTCTCGCCTGGCATCTTTTGAAAACACCAGGCGGGACAGGCCCAGTTGGATAGACCCGTGCTGACATGCTGGTGCAACGCGTCAAAAGCAACGGTTTCTTGGTGCCACGCCAGCGGTCCATGGGCTGCAGCCACCCTGCGAACTCAGGCCTGAGGTTGAAGAAGCAGGCTCTGGCAAGGCCCTTGCCTTGTGTTTACCTGTTCTCTTTTGTGGCAAGCTTAGAAGCGAAGGTGATTTTGCCAGTTGAAGACGACGATGCAGAGGTGGCGCAAGTCAGTTCTTCAGCTTCTTGAGCACTTGCAGCCTACTGACAGGCTGCCATCGCAGCTCCTGACTTCATGAATGCAGCACGGACGGCAGTCAGCCGCTAAGTCCAGGCTTTTTTTCCTTCAGCTCTGATTCTGAGACGAGAGATCAGGTGATCGTGGCGACGGGTGCTGCGGCCGCTGCTTCGGTCAACAAAGCCCTTGGCAGCGCCAGGCCTGGCGCTCCTGGGCCAAGCAGCCGAGCAAAGCCTTCCTTTGCCAGCTCGGCCTGCCCGGCTAGTCTGATTCGGACTGGCAAGACGTCAGCCCCCAAGCGATCGGGCTCTCATTCCCCTGTGGCAGTTCTGACTCCTTCGAGGATATGGCTGCTTGACGCGGGGAGCGCGCAGGATGTGAGCGAGCCGTGAAAGATATTCTGCGGGATCGAAAAGAAGTGCTGGATCTAATCTGATCCGAACCAAAGCTCCTGGGATCTGCTTGGCAGAAAGCACACATCCATGGCTGACGCTCTTGCAGGCTCTAGCATCAGGCTACATGACTCACTGTGATCCTTGTAATGACTTGGATGCGTGTACTGCAAGCTCTAGTGGCCTTGGCAGCGTCGGCTTATGGCGGCGCAGCTGCAATCATCTGAGACTGCCGATGAGCACGTGAAGTCGGCTGTAATCTCTTCAGCTGAGGTGTTTCCATCACAATTGATCCTGCCGGTAGTGCACAACGAGAAGCTCAGCTTGTGCGTCCACTTCCCAGCTTGCACGTCTCGCACCTGTGGTACTGGTGCACTGGAGCAGAGACCTGAGGCAAGGATGTGAGACCCAAGCCGCACACTTGCGATGACAAGACAGACTGCGCTGGCTGTCAGGGGTTGGAGCAGTCGGCCTGCGAGTGTCTTGGACACACTAAGTGCAGGCCTCCAGCGTGCAAAACTAGAACCTGCCCGACATGTTGTGATCGCCGAATCCAGCAGTAGTTTTCACTGAGTTCTTCACTGATGAAGCATTCGCCCAGGACTGCTTGCTGGATTGATCAGGGACAGAACCGGCAATGTGTGTGGAGCACCCTGCTCCGGTGTACAAATCAGACTGACGGGGCCTTGTGCTGAACAAAGGCAGCATTGCCTGTAGGAGCCCCGGGTAAAGCCACAGAAGTTGCATCGGTTGAACTGGACGAATTACTCGCATATGGCCAAGGATGCCGAAATTAGAAGCTGCCGCAGACGGGGAGATGAATAATGTGATCGGCATTCTGTTGCCACGGCATTCATTCGGTTGCACAGGTCTGCATGCTTTCGCAGACATTGGTCCTGCCGAGTGACCTCAGCTGACGCTGCTCCTCCGGATCGCCGGCATCGCCCTGGCTGAACTGGTGGAAAAGAAGCTCTGCCAACTCCAAGCCAGCTTGGGTCACAAAAACCTAAGTCTTGTCTTGACAGCTTCTTAGGGTAGTGACTCATGTCCGCGACGTTCGCCCTTTGGCTCGAAAGGAGAGGGCCAGAAGACAGAAAAGACCTACCGTCTCGCCCAAGGCGCTCCCGCTTTTGGGCCCTGGCTCTTGGGGCGAGTGATCTTGTACCCGAGAGGGACTGGGAGCGTGTTTTCTGACACTCTTTGTGCTTGTTTACTGCTGGGGTCTACTTTGCCTGGACGTGTTTCCGACCTGAGTTCTGAATCTGAATTCTGGTTGTTCAGCAAAGATCCCACATAGCGTTGCGACCGTAGGCCCCAAGGCCAGGTGACCCCCCAAGCAATGCGCAGCAACGAGTGTTATGATGTATTTGAGGGGGTGGGGACCCCAAGTACACTTGCTGGGGGCGCGCTCCCCTGATCGGCGCAAGGTGCAAGCACCTTTCTAGATGTGCCATTTTTTGTCTGAGCAGATATGCATGCCAGGTGGTTCTTGTTCGGGGAAGCATAAGACAGCTTCGTTCAGCTCAACAGAACACAGGCGAGATGTCGGAAACAGCTCTTGGTCCATTGAATTTGGGAAGATGTACGCCGAGGCTGGACTGGGTTCATGGTCACGAAACTAGTTGTTTCATCTAACAGAGAGAGAGGCTGCTACACAGTCAAGTTGAAGGTGTTCCTTGTTTACGGTCACTGACGGTCAGAAAGGTCTGGCTGATCGTTTGCCATGTTCTGGACTTGACCAGAGCTTCGTGTCATGACCCAACGACGGCCGGTGGATGCTCAAGCGATATGATAGTTGGGGAACCTTCAAGAGGTCCTCCCCATGTGGCCGTCCACACGTGTGGTCGCAATTTCTTTGGTGTTCTTGGTCGGCGCCGAGCCACAGGGAGCGGCGCAATGCCCATGCTACAACAGCACGCTTGATGGCTATGGCTTCGGCTGCGCGGCCCATGACGTCAATGGGTCTACAGACTACCCCGAGTTCGGCTCTTAGCTTCCAAGAAGTCCAACCGAAGTCCACGGACACGCTTTCGGTAGTTTATCGAAAGTTTGAGAGTGCCCTGCTGCAGGTGCAACAAGACTTCTGCTCCTGCTTGGTGCAGCGACAGTTGGTGCTACGTTCAAGCCTCCAGCTGCACAGTTACCCATGAGATGAGCACCTCTATTCCAGGACTTGCATGGTCTTACACAACCTGCGGCTTTCGAGACCGATTCTCACGTAGCAACATTACGGAGAGCCTCCGTGGCCAGACTCTGCGAGTGCAGTTCTTGGGGAACACAGGTGGCTGGAAAGGAAACTATTGCCCAGGTTTTGCCGGTCAGCCCTGTCAGGGTCAAAGGGGCTACGGACCGGTGGGGCGTTTCTTCGACCTGGTGGCCGGCAACGCAGGGATCACAGTGCAGCAGGTTACAGAGGTGCCAGAGCCCGTCCGTGACCAGTTGGAGCGCATGGGTCAGCGCTCGAATTTTGACCTTTGTATTTGGGCTACTGGAATGGGGTACTTGGATGTTTGTGTGGCTTCACTGGTAATGCTGCCGAGACGAACTGATGCTTCGCCCTTTGTCAATCTGTGGTCAGAGCCAACCATCTTGGTAGGTCCACTGGTGGACACGGCCGCAGACGTTTCCTTCGGTGAAATGCTCGGTGCAGCTTTTCGACCATTCAGTCCCAATCTTTGGCTTACGTTGCTAGCCGTCGTCACATCGAGCTCTCTCATCATCACATACTTCGAAACGTCTCCGGATGGACAGTTTAATGACTTGCGGGGCAAGAGGGAGAAGGCCGCAGAAGCAGTGTACCGGGCATTCTACAGCCTCTTCATGTGCGAGTCTCGGTTCGAGCCTTGCACGTTGGGCGGTCGGATTGTTGGTCTAGGCCTTGCCTTCATGTGCGTTCTCTTCGTTTGCGGTTACACCGCCACTTTGGCTTCGTTTCTCGTTGAGGAACGACGCCTTGCCCCAAGTGTGGAGAGCATTCAGGATGCTATCAGAGCCAACTACAAGATCTGCGCCCACCCAAGCCATTCGATAACCTTGCAGGTTAACGGTGTGCCTCCGGCCAACATTGTGGAAGTCACCGTTCGCTCAGATATTCTGCCTGCAGTCAGCTTGGAGAGTGGCAGTGCCTGCCAGGTTGCCGTCCTCTCGGAAGAAGACTTCGTGTCTGCCCAATCGTCCAATGGTGGCAGCTTCTGTGGTCTCGAAAGAATTGGTGGGGCAATTGGTTCCCACATGGTGGGCTTGTCCGTTTCGGACAAGTGGGCGCGCCAGTTAGGCTATGCTGTAAGCACAGCCGCCGCAGATGGCCAAGTGCAGCGGGCCATTAACGAGCATCAGCCCACGGACTGGGTGTCTAAGACATCAGTAGTTTGTCGCCTAGGACAACTTGAAAGCCCCAGGTCCCCTTTTCTGCACTTTACCCCCCAAAAGGACTACTGCTCCAACATCAATGCGGAGATCCGAAATAGTAACCAGCCGGTGGCTTTGACAGTCCAGGGTATGCTGGGACCCTTCGTCGTCACCATGCTTTTCACGATCCTGGGCATAGTGGCACATGTTTCGCGCCTGGTCCTATTCAAAACCATCGAGGAAGGCCGGAAGGTCAGCCGCCATGGCAACTTTCGCGACGGTCTCATGGAGATCGCGGAAGATATCCACCGGGTTGCTTCGGGGCTGGTCCACCCAAGCTTTATCTCCTCAGACAACAGGTCGCATCAAGCAATGCTCTGCTCGTTTTGATCAATCTTCGAATAGTGCAAAGCGTGGACTCGGACAGAGTGCTGTCGTACTGTAGGACTTCTGCTTCTGCTGCTGTTCTGCCACTGAGGAGCATCCCTCGGAAGAGCTCGGACCGGTTCAAGGGAGCCAGAGTTTGAGCCCAGATCAGCAGGGTTCCAAGGCGCTGGGGGCGTTCCTACGCTCTCAGCAGTCATTCCTTCATGTGCAGGTGGAAGGGCGCGAGCAGACGGACCAAATCTTGAGGAGATTGGAGAAGATTGAGCAGATGCTTGAGTCCGAAGAACGCGACTATGTAAGAGTCAAAACTTGACCGTCTCTTCATCTGTCTTTAAGAACGTGACTATGAACTATGCAACATTCAAAACTTGAGCTGTCTTCTTTGAGACAGCTAGATCATCCGCCGCCTTTGAAAGGCTTTGGGTGTGCTTTCGAAGCTTTATCAAAAGCACGGGATCCTCGAAGGAGATCCGAACTTCGAGACTGCTCCTTCCGTTTTCAGACTGCGAATCTGCTGTACGCAGAACTGCGGACGCTTTCGCACGTCGTGTTTGCAAAACGAACGAGTCATGCTCTGTCAACTGTCGGCTTTGTTGGGAGATGCACTGATCCGGCTTGAGTGTATGTAGCTGGATGTTGGCTGTGCTCCCGCAGGGATGCCACAAAGCTTCTTCGCAATCCGGAAGTTCGCAGCCCCCGAACACCGCGCGTTCTCCCAGCCTTGGACCTGGCTTGGCCGTAGCTTTGATGGCATCTTTGCATCTCTCTGTGCCCTTCATACTGGCAAGGTGGACACTCAGGAGTCCACTCTCAAGGCCCGGCCGCCTTTTCTCGCGTCCCTCTGGTCCCTCCTCCGGCTCTGTTTGGAGCCTGGAGCTTGCAGAGGCGGTCTTCAAGCTGCGGGGCAACCAGCCCAAGGAGGAGCCGCTGCGCAGTTTGCATCAAATTACTTCAATCGGCGACATCTGAGTTCTGTGCCAGTGGTCTCCGGGAAGCGACTCCGTCACAGCCGAGACCGTGGTCAAGGGAGCACACGCCGAAGCCTCGTGTGGCCGGAAAGGAGCTGTGCAGAGATCTCAACCTCTGACCCAATCCTGCTCTCCTTGAAATACCTGACAAACAACTTGCAACATATGCTTTTCTCACCTGACTCCAGCGTCTGCCCCGAACGCCCAGCCTGCTGAGCCACGGAACGCAGGAGCCTGCGACCTTAAAAGGTTTCGGGTGGAGTGCTGGAGGTGAGCTTTGCATGCCGACCCTCAAGAAGTGGACACCTCAGAGTCCTCAGAGTCGGAGGTGCATCTTACGTGCCTGAGGCACGGCAGAAGACATCATTTGGCATCCTTGCGACGCACAAAAAGAAGCACATCAGGCAGCGTGGGACAGTGGTTACGGTCTCATCTCAAGCCTGTTTGTGTGCCTCGCGCAGGTCGATGTACTCGCCGAGGGACTTGTACTCCTATCCACCAAGCATCAACAGTGAGATTGGTTGGCACTTAAGCTACGATCTGAGCTACATGTTCTGCATGTGTTTTGCGATCTGACTGGGAAAATCGGCACTGGAGCCAGGTGAAGATGGTGTGCTACCTCGTCTTACGACCGGAGCAAAGCGCATCTCGTATCCGAAGTCGCCGCTCGCAAAAAAATCAGTAAATAGGTGGGCCGCTGCTGCTGCTGACGGCCTGATTGTTGTTGGAAGACTTGCTTAGGACGTCTTCGATGACCAAGCATCAAGACAACATGTGAGCCAGCTGCCTAGTCCGGCAGCACGGGGTTTTACGCCAGGAAGCGCACTTAGTTCGTTCAAACCCAAGCCCAGATCTGCGTCCAGAAAACTTGAAAGCGATTTTGGCAGACAGCCGAAACGCACTTAAACCCGGAACGCTTAAACTCTGAACCCTAAGCCTTCCTTTCGAAGGTCAACTTTCACCATGAGCCTTTTCCACGAACTGTAGATTTGACCCCTTTCCATGAACACTTGATGGCCAAGGGTCAAGGCCAGGCAGGCAAGGCCAGGCCAGCCACACCCCCGTGATGTGATCTCGCAACATACACGCGGCGATGCCTGTAACAAACCGTACCCTCGCAGTGATGTGTGATCTATAGAATCTATTATGATCGCTTATCACACACACACACACACACACACACATGCCGAGACTCGTAAGAGACCGTACCCTGTGTGCTAGATCTCACAACATGTCTTGAAAACAGCCGCCGTATGCAGTAACAGCGGCTCTGTAAGTAACCCACAGGATGCCGTAACAGATCGGCTCCTAAAACGACCCACGACAGAGACCACTCCGGGCTTGTTTTTGGTGTTTCTGGCTTAATGGCGCTAGCCGGTAAACTTTTGGGCGTAATGGGACTGGCCAAGAGGGTTTAAGACTCTACTTGGAGTTGTGAAGCTCACGTGCTCAAGCTTTCGCGCCCCCTTTCCCCTCTGTAGCCCTCACATGCGCCATGGCAGACCAATCCAAGGTGCTGGAGACAATGGCCTCGCAGCTCACAGCGGTAACTGCTGGTCTGGAGGCTCTTCGAGTCCAAGGGGCGGCTCAAACAGCCGCGAACGCCGAGACAGCCGACAAGCTCGCGGAGATGCAGCAGCGCATCTCACAGCATGACCTGCTCACAGGCGATGGTCCCTCGGTGCTTTCCGCAGCAGCACCAGTGGCACGCCCGCAAGACTGGGAGATCCGCATCCCACAAGGAGACGCCGGATCCTCACAGCCAGTGTCCAGAGAGGAGTGTGCGGCCATGATCACCGAAGCCTTGCGGATCAACTCGCTCGAGCACGAGGTCCGCATGCTTAAGATCCGGACGGCCTGGACGGAGAAGGACCTGATGTCCTCAGGTCCTCAACGAGAACAACGTCGGCTACCTGGAGTGGGACCTCACAACCACGACCATGGAGGGCACGGGTGGAAAGAAGCTTTTGGCTCCGATCTCCATCCTCACAGTCCAGACCTATGCCGCGAGAAAGAAGGTCATGGATGCATGTTCTCTCGCAGTGGTTCGCTACTGGCGCGAGGTGAAGGACGAGGCCGGGCACGAGATGGACCAGGGCGACGATGAGAAGAAGCAGGAGGCGGACGCGAAGACCGACGCGGCCACCGACAGCAAGGACACGCCTGGGAGCGCCAGCTCGATTCCCAAGACCACGGAGACAGACGCCACCGCACAGCCCTCACAGAAAGTCTGGGAGATCAAGGCGGGGAACTGGAACTCTCCCATCAAGATGGCGCCTGGCATCACCCAGTTCGAGCCACGCCTTGGAGCTCCCTTGCACGGGTTGATCTTTGCACGCTTCAAGAAGGAGTCCTTGGTGCCAAGATGGAAGACCCTGATTCCTCATCCTGGAGAACAAGGAAGGTACATGGCTGGGCCGTGTACTTTACAGTCGCAAGACGAACAGCCTCGCAGGAACCACAGGCACAGTTGCAGACTGGAAGTGCAAGCAAGGTTCAGCTGCCGGCGGAGCACAAGGACAAAGTCCTGAAGTACTGGCGAGACGTCTGGTACGATCAGCTCAAGCAGCAGATCTCACGGACGAAGGTGGAGAAGGAAGCTTTCTCTTCCGCCTCACAGAAGACAAGCCAAGACTATGTGGCCGCAGCCGCAGCTCGCCTGAACAGGTTCCTCACCAAGGCCGTGCCGAGGGCGAGGAGAGTGGGATCGAGAACTGGGTGGTGTCTCACAGGACCACCCGGACCGCCAGTTCCTTCAAGATCTCCGCCCAGTCGACCAGCTGATGGAGGAGATGTCTGCCGACCAGGCCATGGAGACAGAAGTGGCAGTGAAACCCCGGCCACCTTTGCCTTACAGGACACCAAAAGAAGGCAGCACTCCTGCACCGGAGCCCAGCAATGAGCCAGATTTTGCCAAGGAGCCCCACCACCCGTTCGACTCACAGGAGGAGGTCGACCAGGAGGTGGAGAACGAGAAGAGCAGCCACAAAAACCGCGGCTTTGACGTCTCGGGCTACTCCCCCTCACAGTGGCAGGACTGGGTCAACGGCAAGAAGCTCAGGAACTTGCTCTGAGGCCGCGGCGGCAGTTCTCACGAATCGCCCTCGCCCCAGGCTTTCGGTTTGAAGTTTCGGCAAGCGCACAGGAGCCCTGTCTTCCAGCAGAGTGTGCATTGTCAGTGCCTCTCTCACAGAGAGCAACGCTGCGACACGCAGGAGGAAGAAAGGGAGCGAACTAGCTTGAAGCACGCAAGCACACCTCCCATAGGTGAGCCGGGTGGGCTGAGCCATCCCCAAGCCCTTTTCGATGTAGATTCTCACTGTTCCGTAATATGTTCGGATTTTTCGGGATTGAGGAATGTGCCTTTCGACAACGAAGTGCAACCCACCAACCACCCCACTCACAACCACACACACACACACACACATACACACACACACCCACACCCACACGCACACGCATACGCACACGCACACGCACACGTACACGCACACGCTCACGCTCACACGCACACACACACACACACACATTCACCACAACACCGAAACAAGCCTCTCACACGCTCACAGCACACGGTGCCATTGCCACAGCTGGCGTTGGGCGCCCACACCCACCACCCATATAGAGCCGTCCCAGAGTACGGGTTCCATGGACCGGCCCCACCAGAAGCCTTTATACGACCTCACCGGCCGCACTCTCTCACACCGGCGGCTACTTTGGTGGGTTTTGCTGTTCCGTACTTATATGTCGAGTTATATGTCGGTCATGTGCAATTATAAATCATGCAAGGCCATTTATAAGTAGTGTATTGACATAGCAAGTGAGTTGTAAGTCCATACAGAGTTATATTTGCCTTATAACTAATTGAAGGAGTTAAGGCTCCACTTATAAGTCCCAGTCAAGTCCTCGCTAAGTAGTTATAAGTGGGAGTTATAAGTCCGCCGTAAGTCCACTCGCTGGGAGTTATAACTCCGACGCCCCCGCAACGCTATTTCCCGAAAATTGTATCCGTGGGCCAAAAATTGAACCGCCCAAACCAAAAAAAACGTCGCCTGAAGTCCGAAATCCAACCCCCCCAAAACAAAAAAACAACGAGCCTCAAGTCGAGAATTTAACCGCACCAAAACCAAAAAAAACGTCGCCTGAAGTCGAAAATTGAACTCCCTCAAACCTAAAAAAAATTAGCCTCAAGTCGAAAATTAATTCACCCAAACTCAAAAAAACGCATACCTGAAGTCGAAAATTTGACACTTGTAAGTTGCAAAAACATGCCAGCTGAATGCCAAAATCTGCCAGCCCAAGAACCAAACGATGCTACCCGAAACCGGGCCCTTGACCCCAAACCCCAAGCCGTCTTAACCTCAAACCCGAACTCCAAATCCGCTGTGAACGTGGCTCTAAATGAATGCATGGAGGCATCGCCCCGTGCATCTTGTGCAGGAGGCTTCGCCCCTGCATGCACTGCATGGGCATAGCAGCACGCATGACACAGCAGACAGACACACACGAAGCCAGACGCACTGCAGACAGACACATGTGCAAGCCCATGGCATATATAGAACATGCAGGCAAGTTCCTGAAACCTCAGCAGCGGCACAGCTGCTTCGTTGCGGTCGCCATGGACAAGCTCCCGGCGAAGTCCGCGGCGAAGGGAAAAGGAAAAGGAAAGGACCCTGAAGAGAAGGGAAAGGGAAAAGGAGAAGGAAAGGACCCTGAAGAGAAGGGAAAGGGAAAAGGAGAAGGAAAGGACCCTGAAGAGAAGGGAAAGGGAAAAGGAGAAGGAAAGGACCCGGAAGAGAAGGGAAAAGGAAAAGGAGAAGGGAAGGACCTCCAAGAGAAGGGAAAGGGAAAGGAAAAAGGAGAAGGGAAGGACTCCGAAGAGAAGGGTCCGGGAAAAGGAAAAGGGAAGCGCCCAGAAGAGAAGGGTCTTGGAAAAAGCAAAAAAGGAGGGAAGGACCTCGAAGAGAAGGGAAAGGAAACAGGAAAAGGGAAGTGCCCCGAAGACAAAGGAAAAGGAAAGCACGTCAAAGAAGAGGATCCCTCAGAGAAGGGAAAAGGAAAAGGGGAGGGCCTCCAAGAGGAGGTGAAAGAAGAAGGGAAAGGAAAGGGAAAGGAAAAGGAGGAGGAGGAGGAGGGGCCCATCGTAGACGAAGTCTACGATGGGCCCTACGAGGTCCAGGCGGGGACCCTGACGGCCGCTGAGCGAAGCGAGATCTTTCAGGCCACGGGCATGAGGGTCTCGCTTCGCTTGAGGAACTCCTGGCAGGGGCGAGCCATGGTCCTGACCGGCCCCAGAGACGGTCACTTGCCGGAGGCTTTGTCCATGGCTTGGCGGTACATAGAAGCGTCAGCCAAGGCAAAGCCCCCGGCAAAGGCCTCGCCAGCGGCCGCTTCCACTCCAGCTCCAGGAGCGAAGCCGGCGAGGCCTCGCCCGCCGCCAGCAGCCAGGCCACCCACCTCACCCTGGCCCCAAGCCTTCCCGCAGGCATGGCAAGCCCCGCCCCCGCCGTTCCAGCCCTCCTTCCCAGCCCAACCTGCCTTTTTGGACCAGCAACCTGGCTTTTTGGGGCAAGGCTTCCTCGCGCCACCGCCTTTAGTGCCAGGGCTGCCTGATCCCTGGCTGCAGGCCGCTCAACGTGCGGAAGCTGCAGCGGCCAGGTCGGAAAACGCGGCCAGACAAGCAGAAGCAGCATTGCAGGCAATGCACAAGCTGCAGCTGCGGCCGCCGCCGCCAAAGGCCCGGAGCAGCTCCTCCGACGAGGCCGGGCCTAACACACATGCAAGTTGTAATCACACATGGCTTCGCCTGTGTGATTACAAGTAAATGTGCAGAAGCACCTGTGGCTTCGCCCTTGGGCTTCTGCACAAGGGTACACACATATATATATATATATATATGTATACATACAAATTTATATATACATCTTTACTCTTCCTTTATACATATATCTTTATATAGAGACATAGATACGCCTCAAATCCTGCCAACAACCGACAGGCGAGCTCCGCCAGCTCGGAAAGCCCAAGGGCTCCCGCCGCTGTCGAAGTGAAGCCGGCGCCGAAGGCCAAACCATAAACCCCTAAACCCTACACTCTAAACCGTGGGTTCAACCAGGCTCAACCAAAACCCCCCTATATATAATAGGCCTAAACCCTAAAACCCTGAAGGTCGGCTCAGACTCGTCCGAGAGCTCAGAAGCTGAGGAAGCCCCGCCGGGCAAGGTGCAGGCGAAAAAGGAGGCAGAGGAGGAAGAGGAGGCCGGGCCCTAAACCTTAAATCCAATATTCCATCCTTAAACCCTGAAGGTGGCCAAAGCCGCACCTGCGGGGCAAGATCTACCGATGAAAGAGGAGGAGGCCCGTTTTTATAAGCCCTAAACTTATAAAATATAATTAGGGAGAAACCCTGAACCCAAAAAAAGCCTAAGACTTAACAACATGCAGGTGGACTACGAGGAAACACCGGTGCTGCCGCAGGAGAGGCACCTCTCTCCCACGTCGGAGGCTGGCCCCGGCAGTGAAGCGGAGGAGGAGCCTCCCGTGCCGTCGGACTGCCCCGACAAAGAGGCGCAGGAGGAGGAGGACGTGCCCTTGCCAGGCGTAGGGTCCAAGAGCAAGGCCCCTTCGCCTTCGCAGTTTCCTCGTAGCTGGCCTGCCCCACCTCTCAAGAAACCGAGGGAAGGCTAGAGAGTGTGAGACTTCAGGCAAGAGACCTGGAGCAGCTCTAATCGGCGAGGCTTCGCCCGCCCGCATGTGCATGCACGCAGCACGCCATGCATGCACACAGCCATGGAAAACAGGGCTCAACTTTTTATGCACGCATGCATGCCACACATCTGCATGTTCTGTGTGAGCGAGGAATTGGTGATTCGATGTTTTGAGCTCTTATCGGCTCGTATACAGTTGAAGCATACAAAAGCAGAAACCCTTTTGCACAGTGCCCGCCTGAAACCCTAAACCCTAAACCCTTAAACGATAGACGCTGAACCCTAAAACGTGTAGATGTATCTATATACAAATATGCATACAGAGTAAAAACTCAGATCCTTTGCGAGATATGTTAGGAGCAAGCCTGCTTGGTCAAGGCCTCGCCTGACCATTTCTGTGGATGTCAAGGCTCGCCTGACATGAGCACCTTTGCCATGGATGGCGCTGAAGCGCCCCTTGCAGGCTGAGACGCCGAGGAAGAAGCTGCCAAGGGCGATTTCCTTCTCTACGCTTGCAGACCTGCAGGACTCAGGGAAGAATCTGGATCATCAAAGGAAGGTCATTCGTGAAGGCCTCCGCAGACCGCTGGAGGAGGACGGGCCATGTGGCAGAGTGCTGGATTCTTTAACTGTGCCACTCGATGGTGAGCCATGGCAGTGGCACATTTTGCGGCCAGCTGCTTTGCTGCACAGACTGTGCAGCATCAACAGAAACTTCGGCGACCTCGTGGCCGTCTGTGAAAACGTGGTGGTATACGCAGACGAGATTGTGCCAGGAAATGTGCTGAGGCCTGATAAAGGTCGAGAGCAGCTGGCCTTCTATTGGACTCTGAAAGAGCTACCGACCTGGTTTGTCGGCAGAGACCAAGGCCAGGGATGCTTAAAATACGCGGATCGGGATCAGGACAAACGTAGCTGTCATGTATAATTGGGTGAGATGTTTCATCAAACTCCCTGAGGATGGCTGTTTTTCGGCTCGTTTCCAACGAGCAAGATCTCAGATGTCGAGGGCGGCTACAGCTTTCTCTTCGGCCTCATGCTGGAGTGCTTCTTCGACCTGCAGCAGGACGGCCTCAACTTTGCAACAGGCCTCCCGCTCAGCAGGAGGTCCGGGCATTTTAACTTCAAGCCCAAGTTTGGCTTCTTGATTGCCGATGCCAAGGCTCTCAAACAGCTCTGGAACCTCACTGGTGAGAATGGTACAAAGCCCTGTTTCTGCTGTGCGAACGTGGTAGGCAGGATGTCGCCCGAATCCATTGCCAACCACGACTATTTGGTTCATGTCAGCAGCTCTGACAATGACCGCTTCCAGCTGCACACGTCGGATACTGGCAAAACGATGGTGCGAGACCTGGCCGATTTGGCACACCGCCCGAACGAGCAGAAGAAGCTCGGTCAGCTTTGTGGCCTGCAGTACCACGCCAAAGGCCCGGTGGGTGTGCATGACCAAACAATCAGTCTGATGTATGTGGTTGTTTGCCTTTCGCTCTTATATTTAAGGGCAGAGAGTTCTAATAACGAAAAAAACACAGGGACACAGAGCCAGGAATCATTACACTTCAGCATGCAGCCCCCTTTGAGGCGCCCTGTGGAATCCTCGTCTCCCGATGCTGGACCACGTCGAGCAGACCATGTATGACTGGATGCATGTGCTCGTTGCGAGCTCGGGTGTGGGCCAGTACGAGGTGAACGAGTTTGCGAAGGAGTTGCAGACGACCTGCAATCTGAGCTTCGACTTTCTCGACGACTTCGCAAACACGTTCAAGCTGCCAGCATGCTACACCTCCCTGCCGAAGACCTTTTTCCAGGACCGGGTATGCATGCAGCCCGACTCTTGCATCAGAGGCTTTGGCTCGGAGATGCTGGTGGCGGTCACGATTCTTGTGGCCCTTGTCCAGACCGTGCTGGACCCGGCCGGTCTTCTTCCACAGCACTGCCGCTGCATGAAGCTCCTCGGCGACATTTTGGATATCTTGTCGTCTTCCGCAGCTCGCAAGGCGGTGCTTCTCCAAGAGGCCGTGACCGAGCACAACCTGCTCTATGCCGAGCTCTATCCTGGGTGCCGCAAGCCAAAATACCATTGGCTTTTTCATATTCCGGCACAAGTGCTGAAATTCGATGCAGTCCACAGCTGTTTCGCGCCAGAGAGGAAGCATCGAGCTGTGAAGGCCATTGCCAGCCACGTCACCGGCCCTACGATCAGCCAGCACATTGCCCTCAGACTGGGGGCGGAGCTTTTGGATTTCTTTGCAACAGAGGATGTCTGCCGCTCCCACTTCTTGCTGGAGCCCATACGTGAGGTGCCGTGGGCAAAAGAGGTCGTGGCCTCTCTTCTGGGCACCGATGTGATTGGTGTTCAGGCGGCCAGGACAATGGTCACCCCCACTGGCCGCATCTTCACCGGTGATGTCGTGTCCTGGCAAAAACATGAGCTGGCTGTATTGTATTTTCCTCTCTCTATATATATATATATACATGTGTGCATGTAATTGCAACCCTCATTCAAATGTAAGTCGACCTTGGCCTTCGGAGGTTTTCTGGCCCGAGGAGAAGATGATTGGGGAAGTGCAGGCTCTGCTCTGTGCCGTCGTCATGTCTGGACGGCATTCCTACTTGGCACAAGCCAACCTGCGGCAGCACGTGGGGGACAACGTTTTTCACAGTCGTGGCCGACCCTGCCTCACGCTGCTGACGGACGGTGTTAGGGCAGTCATATATGGCAAAAAGGCCGATGGATCCCTCCAGGCCTGCCTGACTTCTGAGGAGCTGCAGCATGTGACCGCGGGTGAGGCTTTGCCCGCCCCTGCATGCACGCATTCTGCTTGGTCGCAGCTCCATGCAAAAATGCAGCCCCGCATGTGCTATCGCTGCTGTCGCTTGCATTGTTTTTCGATCGAAGCCTTTAAACCCCAGAAACCCTCAAATGTAAAACCTAAACCGTTTTTGATTTATGATTATACATGCTTGCCGCTGCCATATATATCTATATATATATACACAGCAAGCTTAACAGCTGGCCTTCCTCGAAGGCCTCGCCTCGATAGTTTTCTGTTGCTCCGAAGGCTTCGCCTCTTGAAGCCATGGTGGCAGCGACGCAGCAGACACAGCTCGCGGAGACGGTTGTGGAGCCGCAGCAGACCCAGGTGCCTGCAGGGGAGCCACAGACCCAGCAGCCTGCAAGCCAGCAGGGGCCCGAGCCTTCGCCAGCTTCGGTGGCCAAACAGGAGCCAGAGACCTCAGCCGAGGCAGCCGTTGCAGTTGACGGGCAACTGCAAGTGGTGCCTGGCGATGCCGATCTGGGCTCTTTGATGGTGCCGGCCGTGCATCCGATGGTCCCGACCAACAAGCACCCCGTGCCGTTCATCTGCTGCACCTGTGGACAGGAGTCGACGGAGTCCGTGACCTGTGTCAGGCACACGAAGGGTCAGCAGACCCTTCGCTGCCGCAAGTGCCACAGCAGCAAAGCGGCTATAGCCCGCTTAAGCCGGGCCCATGACGGGCTTGTGCAGGACTTTGGCAAGATCGACGATCGCGGAGCTGTGCAAAACTTTTTCAAAGAGTTTGGGCACCTGAGGGGGAGGGAGCTGGTTGTCAAGCTCGAAGAAACTGTCCAGAGCTGGTCGACGGAGATGTCGAGGAGCAGTTTCCAAGGCACGGGCGAGTTCCTCGACGATCATGATCTCTGGCTTCGCTACAAAGAGAAGCCGGATGGTGTCGAGCAGTACGAAAATGTGAAAAGAAACTGCAAGCAGATCTTTGACAGGGTAAGAGGAGTTACCCTCTTCGAGGACATGAAGTACAAGTCCTCCCACGAGGATGTGGGGGAGAAGGGCAAGAAGAGGCAAAGGTCAACCTCTTGCCACCAGGACCTGGCCGAGGAGCTGGAGGACGCCGCTGAAGAGAAGGCCGCTGAAAAGAAGGCGATCTTCAAGAAGAAGAAGGGCAAAGGCGGCGACAACTTGCCCAAGTTCAAGAAGGGTGATCGGAGCAAGATCAACAAAAAGATGGAGGCCGTCGCATCGCAGCGGATGCAGTGCTTGGACTTGCTGTCCAGGGCGGAGAAGTTCGAGGGCATGGTGCCGGCCTATGTCTGCGACGCAGGCAGGGCCTCGATCGC